CCAGGTAAGATCATTAGTATCACCATCACCAGACCAACCGCTTCTGCCGGCAAGGTTCAATTCTCGGATATGAATCAGAGTCCATTCAGTCACGAAATATTTGGGGAAGGAGTTGGGGATGAGCACGCTCAAAAGCGCAAGTATCATGAACTGAAGCAGTTCGCCTCTCTGTGGTTTGCCATTCTTTTTAGGCTTGCCGATTTTGAACCTGGTCTTGCCTCACTTAAGGATGGCGTACGTCTCGACATTGGCATCTCAGAAGTCGCAACCGATGGGCGATTTTTCATTAATGAAGTCACACGATTGTGGAATGCGTCAAGCTTTTCAGAGGGGAACTCTACTAACGTTCAAGAACAATGGGGCGAAGCTATTGGCCATTCGTGTACACAGCCTCGATGTTGGCAGCAATACCCCGAGCTGTTAGAGACTCTTGGGACAGAAGGAAGTGAGGTGGGCTTACCTGGACGCCGCGCGAAGCGACAGCGGCCCGGATAAAGACGTACTTTCAACATCTCGTCTTGCTGGTTATTATCAATTCTTTATTCGTCTCCATAGCTTTCCTACTATATTCAATCAATCGGGCTTATACTTGCCGCACGGAGCTAAGCCGCAATGCGAAGCTGTGCTGCTTTTTCTACTTATCCTGGCCAAGTCTATTAGCGTACGACCATCCTCGTCGCGGTTATCAATGTCGGCGCCGCTATCTAGCAGTTTCTGCATAACGTCGTCACGCCCCCAAGATGTCGCCCATGACAATGGAGTCTTCCATCAATATCTCGGCTATCCACCTGAACGCCTCTCGCTAGCAGCAGATCTATAATGCTGATGTATCCCTTTTCGGCAGCTAATGATATCGGCGTCCGACCATGAATGTCTTTACTGTCGGGCTCTGCGCCACTGTCTAGCAGCAGCCGCACGACGGCTTTGGCCCTGTTGTAGACAGCCCATGCGAGCGGTGTCCGACCAAAGGAGTCTCTTTCGTCAATTCTGGCGTCTCTATCGAGCAGCAGCATCACATTCCGCTCGCATCCCATGCCGGCAGCCCATGAGATCGGTGTCCGACCGGTCTCATCTGCACGATCAACCTCAGCGCCGTTGTTGAGCAGTAGCAGCACTACCTCGTCGTGCGGATTGCTAGACGCCCATGAGAGTGGCGTCCGGCCGGCCGTAATCTACCTCGGCGCCCTTGTGAAGCAGTAGCTGCACAAGATCTGCGAATCCGTTTTCAGAGGCACAAGCTAATGGTGTTCCCGCGTTACCACGAAAGTTGATATCAGCACCTCTTTCTATTAGTAGCCGCACCGCCTTTGTATGCCCTTCGTTGACAGCATACATGAGCGGCGTGAACGCAGGCATCAGCATCGTCATAGTACCATTTGTGGCACTAATTAGCGATCTGGTCAGACGTGCAGCTGGTCTCGGGCTAGATTGTCAGCAGTGGCAGCCAGCACAGGCAACCGGGCGAGAGGAGAAGCCGCGGGTGTCACGGCTCGTCTTCGTCAGTGCAGATCAGGTCAATAGCACAGAGTTCCCGACTTATACGGACTGGCTGCGAAGCCGGGGTCTGCTCAAGCGGTTCTTTGTCGACGAGTGCCATACGATTATTATGGACGCTAGCTACCGAAAGCGGCTTACGGAGCTGAAGTGTATCTACCGGTACGGCTGTCCGGTCATCTTACTGACAGCTACACTACCGGTGCGGCTTGAGGCTTGGTTCCGCCAGATAATGCTTGCAGGGGACGCCGAAATCATCCGAGCAAGGACCGACAAGAAGAACATCAGCTATAACGTCATGCAAGTCACGGGACCAGGTCGGAGCGCAGTCGAGGACGAGGTCGTGAAGCATGTCATCCGACTGACCGGCCGCATGAGCGGGAGGCAATAAGGCGTGATCTACAGCCGGTCCAAAGCAAACTGCACACGGCTGGCGGAGCTGATCCGATGCGGGTACTACCACAGCGACATGAGCTTGTTTGGATTACGCGGCGCTCCAGAGACGACCGCACGGCGGGTATGTGGCATGCGGCTCGCCATCGCTGAAGCTTCCATGGCCCCCGGAAGCCTCTGAGGGCGGCCAAGCGATGTTCCAGAGCCTGTCGCCATGAACGCAGAATCGTCCCCTGCAGCCGGATTACTTTTCAATCCAAGTCGCGCCACACCAGGCGGCCAATTGGGAATGAGCGGCCATGCAACCTTGACCGCACGGGCTGGACAGCTGAACATTGATTCGGCTATGACATAATATCGCTGACAGACTTTGGGACAAGCGCGAGTATGGTGGGTATGGAGGAATTGATAGCGGGGGTTTCACGCCAAGACTCTAGAGCTAGGTCATACTTTCTGTCATTGATGGCGTCGGAAATGCAGGCTAGAGCCGATCTTGCATGTAGATCGGTCGCTCATACCACGGCCAGTGCCGCGATCTCGTCGTCGGCAGGCGTGCCTACTTCGCGGGACGATTCTCGTTGAAAACCTCCACCCATAATCAGACCCTAGGACCACGGCATATCACTCATAACGAAATACCCCTTTCCCCCACATTCGATTTTCATAGAAATCTCTCGTGGTGACTTGGTTCCTGATTGATTGCAAGCTCTAGAGTCCTGCTCGGTCGCCCAGGTGCGCCCCGCATCAGTGTTGCCCCACTCGTTGTACTGCATTAACAGTCTGGCTTGGGCGCCACTCACGTACTGTACCAGACGAAGAACAGAAAATATTAAGGATTTTGAAATCGATATGATCGACAATTTCGTAGTGCACTTGACGATGCGAAGATACTACTCATATACTCTTTGAGGCTCTGGGTGGCCGGCCGACGATATTATTGTGCAGCTTGTGCGGCACGTCGAGGAGCAGTACAGCAGAAGAAAAGCCCGAACCAACTTCCCCAGCGGACGTAGATAGACAGCCTAATCACTTCAGCGAAAAGCTCTTCCATGTGCTTCGCAAAAGCCGGGAAGTTCAATGCTTGTATCTAGCCCATGCCAAGATCACGCCATGATAATTTGAAAGGACCTCCCAACTCGCAGATTTTGAAGCTGTACCCTGATTGATTGATTGATAAGCCTGTGTGCTTCAAGTGGCGAGAAGGATTTTCGTGATCCATTTCCGGGTCACGGGGAATGTGATCGCCTGCATCACGTCCAAAGCATATAGTAGAGAAAATGCTGGATACCGTCAAGATGCGCCCGGATGCTGAAGGGGTTCCTAAATGCTCTCTAGGGAACATCGTAGAGTTAGGCCAATATTTTCAGCTCGCTTGACGTATGGAGGCGCGAAACTAAGGCGCTAAAAAAGAAGCCGCCTCAACAATTAAACCCCAAGTGGGCATTGTCTCCACCTGTTGATTCACTGATACAGAAGGTACTTGACGTCGGTCGCGGAACAGGTATGTTTCCTCCTCATGTTCTCACAATTGGCGCACATAGCAGCTTACTCGTCCAGGCATTTGGGCAATGTGAAGAATGAACGTCTAACTTGATGCCCTGCGAGGCCGAGCTCATATCTTTCAGTGATTTTGCAGACCACCATCCTCATATTGAAGTGATCGGCCTGGACATCTCCCCGCACCAGCCACACTGGATTCCTGTAAATCTGAAGTTCGAGATGGATGGCATCACACAGGGGGTGGACATATCCCGCCGACACATTTGACTACATCCACATGCGCTGGCTGGTGGGCTCAATAAGCGACTGGATCACTCTCTACAAGGAGATCTTCAAGGCTCTCAAGCCAGGCGGCATATTTGAACGCAAAGAGTCGTCCTGCCTGATTCAGAGCGACGACGACTCCGTCGGCCCGAATACTGCACGAAATCTCTGGCGCTTCTATACGGCAACGTCTTGTCTTCGGGGTTTCGACAAGTTTCCGTCCTTCACGCGCGCCGATTGATCTGTTAGATATTGCCACTTGTCCCAAGTCATGAAAAACACGCCCACTGCTCAGTACCCCCAACGCCCGAGGGTAATTTCTAGATACAGACTACTCTCAGCGACTCGCATCCTTAGGGTATACGTCCCCAACTCCAATAGACTTCTCCACCGACATAGCAAGGCGAGATAATTGGGATCTTCTCCCGAGGACCGATGGCATGATACCAGCTGGATATACGCGTCTGAATGTTCTGCGCAACAGCGTTAGAAATTCTTGGGCTCACGATAAACAATTGTCAACATTTCACACGAGGCTGACATTAGATGCCTAACATGAAAGCCGCCTAGAGCTCGTAGGCTCAAATAGCCGATCCTGTTTATTTCAGCGACATGTTTGGATTTTTGTAGCCATCCATGTTAAGCTGTGCCTCGTGGCCGAAGACCATTCAGTTCTTGCCCTGAGGTGGCAGCCGACTTTACGTGCCCCACAGTGGAGGCATGATGCTGCTGCCACCCATTCGCTGGTGAGCTTAAATCGACCTCCCAATTCGAGGCTGAATGAGAGTCATTCTCAAAAGCTTTAGCCAGTAACTCCGGCTTGTACTCCGATTAGAGAATGCATTTATATTATACAGGTCCTCTATAGTGTGCAGTCCCTTCATCTATGCATGGCCAAACATACTGTTATCGACAGCGAGCAGTCATTAAATGATAGCGGAGCTGTGCCGCAGATAGGCGGATCGTCATTCTTGAAAGGACGTCAGGAGGCGAAGTCCTCGCACCAGCATGAGACAACGGCCGCAGGCTCGCCGCAGATTTATCATCTCCTGAGGTGCTTTGGATCGGTCGGCTTTTTTTCACTATGCTAGGCTGTGTTTCTGTGGCTACCTACCTGGCCTGGCTGTTATGCTCGGATCCACGTTGATTCCCATTGATCCCCATCGAGAGACAGAAGGATGCAAAGCCAGTTATGCGTTTATGCTCCATCGGCTAGACCTTGTTTGGTCAAAACCCTGTCGCATCTGGCCCCGCCCATCGTCTGACCCATGGCTGCAGCGTTCTGTAGTCGACGCCCCGGCAGAAACCGCCTCCACTACGCTCCTTCCCGAGGTCATGGGAACTTCGACATGAGCCCGCCGTCATTTCCATTCCGTTGGACACCAACACCCAAGCGCTCACAAGCACGACCGCGTCGGACATTCCCTTACTGACGTTGGATAGAGTACGCCTCTGAAGCCCGGGACAAACCATCGCGCGTTACAGAACCCGCTTCCACTTTGGGTCTGTCTGACCGCGTCCTTGACAATGGCATCCACATTCACGCCGAATCCGCATTTTTCGCCGACAAGCTCGCTACGGAGGAGAGCCTCGCCGCCTTTCGCAACCTCGCCTTCCCCAAGCAGCTCAAGGCCCTCGAGCAGTACTTGGGCGCTCAATTGACGGAGCCCAAGACTGCTCTGCTCGCCGTCGTCCGCAAGTCGGGACAATGCGAGGCAGGAAACACGCAGAAGCGCCAGGCCTGCTGCCGCTCAACCTACTACGAGCCAGCCGAGGCCGAGCGCCAGCCCTTCGTGGCTGTCCAGGATGTCTTTTGCAGCAAAACCATCGCAAGCCCACCAAGCAGCTGTTCCTGCACATCGATGAGTCTCTCGGGCGAGGCCTTCGCGTCATTGCCTATCACACCAAGAATGACTACGTTTGGTCCCCTGGTTCGGTCATCCCTTCAAGCCAAATCCTGCCTATCATGGATTTTAGCAGGTAGTGACTCAAGTCGAACGAGAGGAGCTAATCGGATGGCTCACATATCACCACACCCCGCCTTCGTCGGAGAAGGAGTTCGGCCGTCGAAACTATGTGTGGAAGACTTTCACTTGGGATCAAGATGGCCAAATGCTTGCGGCGGTTTCGAAGGGCGGTGGTAAGAAGCGGACAGTCATCATCGAGGATTGCATTATCGAGGTAGTAGAACTCGTGCATACCTCAAACGGCCATGCAGGATGGGACACCACATGGAGGGATGTTAATCACTCCTCTTAACGCATCATGCGAGCAGACGTGATCTTCCTGCTTAAACGGTGGGACATTTGCGTATCGAATCCTCGCAAGCGTCCAAAGGGATCCAAATTGACAGAAGCTAGCCCAGACCGCGCTGGTCTAGATGCTTATGAGCGCCAGAATGGCAAGGACCTCCTGGGTCTGGTACACAGCTTCATGATCGAGGCCTTGGACATGGCGATGCCGTAGGGGCGAACAGGTGTTGAAGAGAATAGACAGGGGGCGGATCTGACTCGGCGAGGATCTCTTGGCTTCTGCGTTCTCTGAGATATCAAATGGAAATACTGGACGCGTTTGTGTCTTCATTGTGCTGCTCCTTCTGTTCTCGCGCTCTCCTCCATCTGCTTTTTGAGCCACTCGGCAAGGTGCTCCAGGGAGGTTGGTTCGGCAAGACTAGCGTGCCCCAGGGGGTCCCGTTCGGATCCTTGGATGTCCACCCTCTTCAACCCTTGCAATGTACAAAGGTCCTGGATGCCTGCATTATTCTTGAAGGACTCGAATCCTCTCTTCTGTATCAGGTCACTGTCAAATTGAAGAGACAAGTGCCGCAGCCGTTTGCACTGTTTCAACAACTGGATACAAATCGACCACGTGGGAAGCTGTACGAGCCCCAGGTCTGAAGATATAGCCCAATTGTTGGTAGGCTCCGAACTGCTTTCCCAAACTGAGTGCAGCGTTTCAATGTTCTCGCGTCCGATTTGGCCAGCTGCCATGAGGAACATGGTAGCGCTTTTGAGGCTATCGAAGCAAAATGTGATGAGGCGAAAGGCCAAGGGCAGCGCTTCTCCGCGTATCTGCTTGTTGACATGAAGAACCGATGACGCTTTGGCTCAATGGGTAGTAGAAGCCGCTGGGGTCCCCTATACCCCGAGGGTAGTCATTGTGTTCGAAGTCTTCGTCGTCTACTATTGTCCATTTCACTCCACGCAGCGCGAATTTGTAGATGATTTGGCGAATCTCCGAGGGTAAAGCGCTTAGAAAGCCAGGGGCGGGGTCAGGGGTAGAGTTTTGAGTTGCTGCCATTTGCTTATGGAGCTAGGAAAAATATGCATCGTCAGCTTGGTGTTAAGTTACAGCCGCATTGCACGATCACGGACGCGGAGAGGACACTGACCTCCGCCGTAGACAGCACGTTCGATGCCTGGGCCTCGGAAAAGGGAATGACAAGGCCCAGTCCGAACTTGTAGCAAATTCTCATGAGGACTCCGTAGGAACCAGGACCGCGATCATGGCTAAGTATGACGGAATCCCCGTTATACACCACGGTCTGGTGAGCATTTTGTCATTAGCTTGCCTCAATAGATTCAATTTGCTAAGCTTACCTCGCGGTTGTCGTTGGAGACGGAGTCCCAAACGGAGAATAGGCGCGGCGTGAGCATTCCGCTCGAAGCCGTTGGGCCGCTCGACAAGGCCTCATTCAGGCTCAGCCAAAATCCCTTCTTTTCCTCCATCGTCTGGAGGGGCTACGTTTGCCATGCTTATGCCAGTGTGAACATAATTCGAACAAAAGGATGAACCAAAACAAACATACAAAAGAGGTTGTGGTAGTACCACAGCAGAAGCGTTCAGCGGAGTTACGTTTCTTGAAAGGCCAGTTGAATCTCATCCACACCTCCACCACAGTATTTTCTTGCCCCTACAGTACAATAAGCCAGACTTCATGCACCGTAAAGCTTGACTCCATGCCACGTACAGCCGAACGTAAGCACTCCATGTTTTATAGGTCATCCCGGCTCGCCCCCTTACTCTCATATTACAATTGTCGTCTGCTCCGGTATTGTCGCGAGCCCCCTGTCCCAGTACAAAGCGGCCTTGAAGGCATGGCATGGATTTATTACGCCCGGAGGGAAGTCCCTATAGGGCCTCGACGCTACCTTGGCCTTGAAGGCGGTGGAATGGGGTGACGATGGGAATTGCCTTTGAGGGCAATTTGATGTGGGCGGGGCGATTGACTGCTGGGCCTTAAATTGCCGTCGAGTGCAGTGCACGTGGTGCGAACGGGCGGTAAATTGGGCCAACGAAGTTTAACTAGGGAACCCCCCCGGACGGAAGTCAGCGACTGGCATGTCGTGTCGTTATTTTACCGTCAACATCGTCGGTATCTCCCCTGGGGTCAGCACCAGGCTCGTCGGACAACCAATGACGAAGAGGTCACGGACGGACGATGGGGGCAGACGGGGCCAGGCAAGCAGGCCGGTCAAAGAAGCAAGCAAGTCAGAAGGTGGGCAGCAGCAGGCGGAATGGAGGGTTGGAGCGGTCGAGGCGGATGTGGACGGCTTCATGGAGGCAGAGTCTCTAAGAAGGCAGGCCAGGCCGTACCTCTTCGGGGTGGCCAAGGTGTCGCTATCGGGACTCGATGCAAACTGGGGCAGAGCGACGTCGGGCTCGGGAACCGGAAGGAAGACGCCCGGCATGTGAAGAGGTTATGTGAAGTGTTCCTCCAACAGAGCCTATGGTCCAGGGAAGCCTCCCGCGACTGGCGCCTTGCGCTAAATCAGGGCCTGATTCAAGGGCGCTCGGGCCCCGCCGGGCGTGCATGGTTGGCAAGGGTTCGGGATCGTGATTCGAAAGACAATTGGCACAGTAGTGACCGCGAATTGTGTCCGCTTTTTAGACTTTAGTTACTGCTCCCGCACGGACCATAAAACTGTGACACATTATGCCGCACACTGTGCAGATTGTCCTAATAGCCAGTACCCTCCAAAAGTGGATTACAGCATAACATGCGGCAGTTGGGGGCCGTTTCTTCGTCACCTCATCTGCAATGGTGATCATTGCGAATCGTCGGACAACGTTCGCCATGCCCGTCGCAGGATGACGGCACAGTATGACACGGTTCTCACAACACGGAGCATTAAAGTCCACTTTGTGCCTGTTGATGCGGGATAAATTTTACTCGAATGTCTATTCTGCACACATACATATGCAAACACTTTCTGCTGCGGCGCACGACCAAAAGTTGGCGTCATGGTCAGCCTCTCCTTACGCGAGGAAGCCCAACCGGGTATAATAAAGGAGAAGTAGCCCTTACACTCGGCCCACTGATTCTGGCCTCCTACAACGGCAATTGAGGAAATGCGCTCTGGTCGTGTCACGTTCGTTGCTCGCGATTCGCATCTTGCAGGTTATTGTAGAACGATGCGAACTGTTTATGAGCGTCATTGCTCCGATCACGATGCTTCCTCATTGAAGAGAGCATTACGATTTTCTAGCACTCCTTAAGTAGCCATTTGGATCTCCGTATCAGGTGCCGATGCTACCTGAGTATGGTGTGCGGGAGACGTTGTCATAAACATGGTACCCATCAACATGCTCCTCATTAACTTTAAGTTTGTGAGGTTGGAACTTTGCCCAGGATTGATCCATGTTTGATACTGTAATTATCTCAGATCATCAACTGCAGCTCTTTGCACTGCCAATGATTCAAAATCGACACTCCAGATAATATGAGGCAAAGTTATATTGCATAGTTATGCACATTGTATCGTCACAGGTGAGTGACGAGTCTGCCTTACCCCGCACTTTCAGCCTTACATTGGGACTGAGAGACGGCCCAATATCCCACCATGATAATGCTGATGCCTGCTTCTTTGCATCCCATTTGACCTTCACGTGGGATATTCGGCGACCGAGATTCCCTCACCCCAACCAGGAACCCTGAATGCCATCGGTAATACTCTACAATGCGGCTACTGCAACGAGATAACGCCAACAACTACACCCTCACGGCCGATCTGCGCGCTGACGACATCCCCCCCTACGCCATCCTTTCCCACACCTGGGGCGCCGGCGAAGTCATCTACAACGATGTCAAAACGAGTTCAAATGACTGGCAACAGAAAGCCGGCTACGATAAGATCAAATTCTGCGCCGACCAGGCCAAGCGACATGGCCTGCAGCATTTCTGGGTAGATACCTGTTGTATCGACAAATCTGACGCCGTCGAACTCCAGACGGCAATCAACACTATGTTCAGGTGGTACCGTGGCGCGAAACGATGCTACGTGTTCCTGTCCGACGTCTCCTGTCCCCCGACCTCCAGTCAGCAGCGGGGAGTGATATCGGGGGAGGCTGCGTTACGAGGCAAGTAGGTGGTTCACGCGGGGCTGGACACTTCAAGCAATATGATGGGCCTGGTGTCACGATCCGGTCTCCGGGGGTCAAGCCGTCTGACCGGGCGCTGGGGTTTGTGTTCTGAGAAGGTAGGTAGAACCTGCGCAATACTGACTCCGTGCTGTCGTGATCTCTGGGGGTTGTCGTTCGTGTCTCTTGCGAGATATCACACTTGGATCAATTGAGTGACTAGGTCAGGTGAGTGATATTTAGATTGATCGCTGAGGATGAAAGGTAACGACTGTCTAACTAGGAGATGCCTCATGGCTAAATATCCTTTCCTCCTCATCAGCTTTCTGTAGCGATTGCCTGTGCTCACGGGTCCTTGTCTGCTGGCTCACCGTGATCCAAGGTTTGGATCACTGCGAGCCGGTGGTGAGGGTCACTGGCTCACCAAGTGAGCCGGTGATCCTTATCGTCCCCTTATCGCTTCTTGGTTTACGTAAGCATGTCGTGGTTCCTGGTATCGTCCCGCGTGCATGACCTGCCCTTGTCCTTGGCCCGATCTTGCGACCTGTTGGTCGGGTCGTCACACTACGGGCTCCAACTCCTAACGAGGGGTTCGCCGACATACCCGCCCTTTGGGTTTCTAAGACGCCCAATAACCCGACGGAGGCGAGCTCGCAGTCTGATTTTATCAAAGGCCGAATCGCCCGTCATTAGAATAGCTCTCCGAATTCGATTTACGAGGCTGTTGACCAGTTCTCGAAGGGGGCGCAAGGAATCATGTACAAGGCGGTGTGGACGAAGTCGGAGATCATGATCCTACGAGGGGAGATCGAGGCCCTTAGTAAGCGTCGTAGGTCCAAAACAAAACGAGGAGGGAGCCTGACTCTAGCCGAGGGACAGGACATACAGAACTAGAAGGACGTGGAGGTCCGGATCAAGGAGGAAATGCGACGGAGTAGTGGTCGGAAGTAGAGGACTAAACTGAAGGAACGGTGTTGTGGTATATGTAGCCAGCCCGGACACAACGCCCGCATATGTAAGGTAGATGTGGAAACGTCTTAGGAAGACGATTCCGATTGATTTCAATTGATTTTCTGGCGCTATGATTGACCTTGCTGGGATTGTTGTCGCGTGGTCGTTATGGAGTGTCCAGCTCACGTGTTTGTCCGGCTCACATGTGGAGTACGTTACTACCGAGACGTACGGCACCTTCACGCACCCAGTTTGTACGTAGATTTTTCTCCATCTTGATAGTAAACAGCATAGGGGTTAGTCAGTGGAATAACTCGCTAGAGGCCTTTTACACGACGTATAGGGTAAAAGAGATTCAATCTGTCGTCCACACGAAGTTCGGAGTGCTTGCAAACCGCCGGTCCAGGCAGCAATTGGATTTTGACGCTATATGTGCTATGACCATATCTCTTAAATCACGCACACCAGCCAACTTCTCCCCCCCTCACGGTCGTGCGTCAAGTAGGACATTTCAGCACCTAGTCAATGCGGTGCTCCCGGTATCGCAAAACCTCCGCCGGTCACTTGATCCACCGACCGTTCCCGTGCAGTCTTGGTTCAGACCATCTAGAACACTTGGCTCTCCCGAGTCAACCCGGATCAACATATCCACACAGCCGCGTGTCAGGGTTCCCGTGAAGATACCATTGGTCTCGCTCTCAGCGATAGTGAAAGTATCGCCAGCTGTAGTGAGAGAGGTGGGGAACTCGTAGGTGCAGCCGTTGCGCTCACCGTTAGCTCTCGCCCAGGTCAATTGGCAGTTCACGCCGTTGTGATCGAAGTTGAAGGTGGCAGAACCACTGGGATCCGTTCCGATGTCGGCTTGCCTAGGCATGCCTGCAGTGAACCCATCACTGTTTAGAGGTCTGATAGTATCTGCTGTGGCCAGTCCGACGGGAATAATGACGCAAGCTAGCTCGAGAATTGCCTTGGTACGCATGATTGGGGCTATGAAAGGACCGTTAGTCACCTTGGCTAAGACTGCAGAGGATAGGAAAGCATGTAGAGGACGGAGTAAGCCTAAGGAAGGAAGCCGCACCTTTTGATAAGAGAAGTTGGCGCGGGGCAGATACTAAAGACGGTAAATAAAGAATGGTGGGATCTATCAGAGGTTAGCAAATATTACTAAAGTAGAGTTTGTTATGAAAAGTGGAGGGAGAAGGGAAGTGAAACGCCGGCCCACCTCGTGAAGACTCAGACCTTGAGCGAAGATTGAAGTGCCGGATGTCTCTGAAGGAGTGAAGAAAGACGAAGGCTCAGAGATAAGTCGCATATTTATATATATGGCGATGGCTAATTGTGTTGAATGCTCCGGTAAACTGACGAAAGTATTCAGTGCCAGAATCCGGGGTCCTGAAACTGAAACTGCTAAGCCAATTCATGAAACCCCTTCTGTGACGCCGAAAGCTCAAAGAAATTGAAGGATGCCTGGCCAAGTAGAACGTATGCAACACTCCCGAGCTCCCCTAAAGCATTGCCAAACGCCCCAAACATCGTTAAACTCGATAGCACTTTGCGTTGGAACAGGTGATCTACAGGGTCCTGTCTTAGCCCCAGGCCTAGGAATCCTTGGCAGAACTTAGCCCGAACCTAAACTCCGCCTACTACCCCAACTTATTCGCGGAACCTTATGCTGGCCGCAAGCTATTCTACATTAAGTTACTCCCCTTGGTACTAACCCTTAACACTCTTGAGCAGCGGGCGGTTGTGGTGCGGCCACTTGGGCCTTAGATATGGATCACCCAGCAGGTCAGGCAAACATGACTCCCGTAGGCAGCAATTCTGCCTGACAGGTTGATACATCTGTTTCGACCCAATGGTGGACGCTAGGTACGGCTTCACTATGTTCCATGGTACTTGGGTATGTTTGCCTCTGTCTACGGCCTGCTATGTCACTTGGGTGCTATCGGGTATGGACGGGCGGGCAGTATGGGCGCGGAGCAAGCAGTTTGTCCAGGTATGGCACGAGACTCAGTCAGAGTGGGATCGTCTCTGTGCCGACGTGGGGGGGCTCCTACAGCGCTCGGACTGGATCCGTTTCTGTCAGTGCTTCTCTGCGGCCTCGTCCATCTCACCCCAGCTGTGGAGAATACGCGATTCATATGCGTCCAGAGCCAGCAGGTCAGAGTCGGTCACGGCGGGTTATTCGGAATCAGGTACTCTGCGCCTGGCCTCGCCGACAGTCCGGTTTCCCTTGGTGCGGACAAGAGGAGGAAGGCTATTACGTCAGCCCATTTTGACCGATACTTGCTGTGGGCTAGTGCGACAAAAGCGAGGTACGAGTAAAAAAAACGTTGTGTCAGCGAAGGGCTCCACCTATTCCCGCTGATGTAGAGCAGACCCCTGCGCTACAAAACCGGCTCACAACCCCGCCGGGCTGGGTCATCCTATTTCGAGCGATAGAGTCCCTCGGATTCCTGCAGCAGGACGACGCTATTCCTAATACAACCATCATTCCCGTGCTGCCAAGTCACGCCTCAACGTGATGTTCAGTTGGCAGTTGGTCGCTCATACCACCTAAGGTCGGAGATGATGTTCTGCCCTTTATTTTCCACCTTTCTTGTCGATCATTCCTTCATAATTCCGCTTGTACTAGCCGCCGGTTCATGTTCAATATGGCTTCCACTGATACACCCGCGCCGGTTATAGAGTCGCCCAAGTCGGGTCAATCTCCCAAGTCGGCGACCTCTCCCAAGTCGGCACGGTCTCCCGGTGAGACAACTGCCCCGTTGGTATACATCGACCGCACCGAACCATACTGAGGCTGTTGTAACCCGCTAACAACCCCTCCAGGAAGCCGACACGTTTGACGGCGACTCCGTTCTGGGGGTGGTATGGCACGCGGACGACACGCTGGCTGCTTGATTCTGACTACTTCACTTGCAGACGGACGAAGAGCTCTCCACGGCGTCCCTGAGTTCCAGCCTCCGCGAGTTTCACATGGTCCATGGCCGTGCTTACCACAAGGACGAGAGTGGGTGGCCGAGCAACCGTACCACTGATCGTTGCGACGGACGTGCGCCCCAGACTACTTCCTCCCCAGCGATGAGGTGATTTTGCTATGACGGACAACTAGTTATTGAAATTGACTGACAAACCTCCAGTAAGAGTCAGACCGTCTGGGTAAGTGTGGTCACTGGCCACTTCATGGTCGACCGTCAGCTCATGTGATGGACAGACTTCCAGAATCACCAGCTCCTTCTGACCTTTGACGGTCGCAAGTACTTCTCTCCTAATGCCGAAACAGCAAAGAGGGTTCTTGATGTTGGCACCGGCACCGGCATTTGGGCCATTGACTTTGGTATGCAGCCTTCCGAGCATATGTGCACCTCTTGGACACGTGGAGTTGACATTCTGCAGCGGACGAGCATCCCCACGCCGAGGTACGTTCCTTGTCTGAGTGTAGGCTGAACGGCACTCATAATCTCTGGGTTGTGGGAGTCGACATTGCACCCATCCAGCCTGGCTTGTAAGTATCCTTGTTGAACTTGGCTGGCATGACATGGGGCCTGACCGCAGAGGCAGGGTTCCTCCCAATCTGCGTTTCGAGGTTGACGATGTCGAAAAGCCTTGGACGTGGACACAGCAATTCGACTACATCTTCGTCCGCATGCTTGTCGGCTCCCTGGCGAGCTGGGAGCCATTCTTCAAGCAGGCTTACGAGTGAGCTCCTGCATCTCCATCAGTATTGAAACGCAGCCCGCTGACCATACGCCAAAGTACCCTCGAGCCTGGGGGCTGGATCGAGCTCCAGGACCCCGGTACCCCCTCTGTCTCTGATGACGGCACCTTGAAGGACAGATCCCCTTTGTGGCAGCATGACAGACGCTTCATCCAGTCTGCTAAGAACCTTGGCCGCCCGATCCATCTCGCTGCCGACCACGACGAGCGCCTCAAGGACGCAGGATTCATCAACGTCGAGCGCAAGGTCTTCAAGTGGCCCATCAACACATGGCCCAAGAACCCCAAGCACAAGGAGGTCGGCTTGTGGACTCTGGCCAACATCGAGGGCAATCTCGAGACCATCAGCATGGCCCTGATGACCCGCGGCCTAGGGATAACTAGGGAGGAGGTGGAGGCCTTCCTCGTGGGCGTCAGGAAGGACCTTCGGGACCGCAGGATCCATGCTTACTGGCCGGTGTGAGTGTTCAATATCTGCTCGAATTATTTGGGGAATAAAACTGACATCGTCTACAGCTACGTGACCATCGGCCAGAAGCCGTTGCTGGAGAACTAGACAGCTCAAATTGCATCAAGTCTTGACAGTTGGGATCAATATTACGCGAACATCGCACATACAGATTGGTCTCATCTAGTAGCGCGGGGGCGGTGGGAGCAAGTGTTGATGATGATTTAGTTTGGCATTCATTACATCAAATGGTAGCATATGCTGCACAACAGCACTCTTTACTTCAGCACATCGAATTCGCAAGAGGGTGGTGATTTCAGTGTTGGCGGAAGCGCCCATGGCAACGAAGGCTCTGCAGCCGCCGGCCGTAGCTTGGGACTTTCGCTCTGGCCCGGCGCGGTATCGTCCAGGGCGGTCTCCGGACCCGACGCCATCGTTGAGAAGTCCCATCACAGATGACGGAGAATCTCTTAATCCGTGGACGTCGCGTCGAAGAACGGGTCGTCACGTCGAAGAAGGGTCGTCGCGTTCGTAGCAGGATCATCTAGATCGGCATCCTCAACGGGCTGCCCAGTCCGACTTGGCCGACGTCCGTCTCGACGACGTCGTCCGAGAGGCCAGAACTCCCTCGTTCTGTCTGTGTTGTACTCGGAGGGCGCTCTGAACCAGGGCCGGGCGGAGGCCTCTCTACGTTCGCCAATGCACCGTCGAGTGGGGTCACTGTTGCCGACCACAGGATATATCGGCACGCTGACCATCCTCCCGAGGCAACACTACGGAACTCAGCATCCTCACGCAGCGACAACGTGCTGGCCATGGACATATGCCTGGCAAAAAGTATCCAGGATGGCACATGGGATGGGTCTGTTATTCGGCCAAGCCCACTGCACTCCCATGACGAAGACTCCTCAGTGATGGCTTACGGGAGGGCTTACTGAGCCAGCAGCCTGGCTTCGGGCAACGCAGGGGCCTCATACAATAAGTAGTGCCACGGCCAGGGCGCTGCTACCGTCAAGAGTCACCAGTTTTAGGGCACGCGTTTAAGGGCGGCACATATCCCACAACGAGCCTCGATGGCGGAGGACAAAGGATGACGGTGATCTACGGTGCAGGACCGCCCTATTCACCAACACAGGATGTTTCACATACCACGCCACAGCTTACTTCAAAGGGTTAGAACGCGACATTCGATATTCGCCGCTCCGTCAGAGGGAAGAGAGCGCCCAATATCATTCTTCGGCAGCTGGCTTCTGGTAGCGCGTCGTATACTCAGGAGAGATGTGAGAAACTAGATGACTAGTACCACGGAGACGATGAGGGATGAGGGATGGGCTACCAGGAACCTGACTATCAAGCCCATCCAGACACATCCCAGCCTCAGTCTACGCTTGAGCCTGTATCTTTCTTCACCTCTTGCACAACCTCTAGCACCCTGCGGTTGGCAACATCTCGCTCTTCCAGGTCGAGTGCCCCGTATGCCTCCCGCACCTGTCCAAAGACCTTGGCTTCCCATGCACCGCCGATGTTCACCTGGCCGGCATCGTCCCAGCAAGCTTGCACGGTGGGACCGACGTTCTTGAGCAGTCCTTCTAGACCGCCGGGACCGCCCCCGGCATGGAAGCTCTTGAACGGCCCGGCATATGCCCAGCGCGGCCCCATGCTCGTCTCAAGAATTGTATCGAGCTGCTCAACTGTCACGATGCCCTGGTCCACAAGATGGATTGCCTCGCGAAGCAGCACCCACGCCAGCCGACCCGCCACAAAGCCAGTAATCTCTTTCTGCAGGAGGACAGGCTCACGGCCTCTCCGGCGCAAAAATTCAACCGTACGGTCGATAACAGATTGCGACGTCTGTGGAGACGGTACAATCTCCAAAAGAGGCAGGATATGTGGCGGGTTGAAGGGGTGCACAACGATGAGGCGGGACGGGTCTCTCATATGGGCGTTCTGGCGGGAGGCCGGGATGCCGGAGGTGCTGGTCCAGAACAGGGCGTCTGGCGGAGCATGCTCCTCGACCTCGGACCAGAGGGCAGATTTGAAGGCAAGGTTCTCGGGACCGCATTCTTGGACTATGCCGCTGTCCTTAACGGCGGCTGGCACTGATGAGGCCAGCTTGACCTGTGGGACGCAAGGGTGCAGGCTCTGAGGGAGAAATGCCGGGAGAGACCTGAGAATGTGCGACTCGAGGTCCGGCCGAACATCGACGATGGTGAGGTTTGAAGGAGTCTTCAGATACGTGAGATGTAAAGCGGCAAGAGAGAGCCCGATGGTACCGGCACCAATTATGGTGATCCGCAGATTCGCATCGTCTCCGGTAACATTGACGCTGGCCATTCGAGTATATGTAAGAACTATCCAGCTTCAAAATCAAGACGACTCAAAAAGGTGTGCGAATTCAGTCAGAGCTGGGGGATGGCTCGTGAGGGCGGGGAATCGCGTCGCTTTAACACGATTGACACACGCAGTCACGTGATGCGAATGCGCCTTTCTGATGACATGCTGCACGGACCTCATTACCATTCCCTGGGAGGGCCCGTCGATGGTGGCAAGCTCGCGAGTTGAGATGAAGCCCGACTCGGAATCTTGTGTTGGACACGCGCTGAGAGTGTCCAAGCTCGAGCGACGCAAGATCTCGCGACCGCAGCATGACGCTATGTTGTCGTCTGTTGGGCTGCTCACAGCCAAGGTGGACCCAGTGTCTCTGTCCGAGGCGATTGAGCTTCTACCCAAGCCGCCAAAGACGCGACCCCACTGAGAACAGGATCGATGTCAAGCTCGGAGCAGTTTGCGCTGGCCGGCTCCATCATGGTTGCTGCAGCCCCTATCCCTACCAACAAAGACATGGATGAAGGCTCAGTCGGCGTACTCGGCGCTCGACGGCTTCCCCCTGGTTTCCTTGACTTCTTGGCCGGTCTCTCTGGTTCTCCCGGCAGCGGCTTCCCCAGTCCCTCAAGCCAATTCCCTATCGGCTTCCCCGGTTTCTCCGGTCCTCCCAGCGGTTTCCCTCCGTTCAATATCTCCAATCTCCCCCCCGTCGGCTCTCTCCCCGGCTTCGGTTCTCTCAATATCCCTGACCTCAGTTCTCTCAATATCCCCGGTCTCAGTTCTCTCCCCGGCCTCTGTTCTCTCACCGGCCTTCTCGGTGGCACAGGTAGTCCTCACAGTGGCGGTCAAACTAAGCCCGAGAACGCTGTTCATGGTGATCTTCTTGGCGGCCTTCTTGGGCCTGTTTTAGGTCTTGTTACCGGTCTTCTTGGCGGTCTTGGGCGGTCTTCTTGACCTCGCCGCTCAGCGCTGTAATGGTTACCATATCAACGTTCGAGGCGGCACGCTTATGTTCTGGGCCATGGCGGTGTGCCCCTTGGAATTGTATATTAGATCCCAGCTCAAAGCTTGGGGCATCATGCCAGTCGGACCTCTGTAAGCAGCCGTACAGAAGTGGCCTTCTGGGGATTCCTTATTCACACAAGTACCACGCGCTCTAGTGCCTTCAGATTTGTGAAATGGGTGTCCTGAAGATCGCTCGCGCAGACGGCGCGGAAACGGAGCGCACGGAACAGCAGCTGCCTACATCGGTTTCCGTCCCGAGAGAGAAATCTCTAGTGAATTCCTCGCTCTCGCCGTGGTATTCGCCCGGAACAACTGCAATAATTCCCATGAGTTCTGTCCTACAAGTTGGTATTGCTTGGAGTGCGTCTCGTTCCCTACCAACCTAAAATTGCGTCTTCACCTTCTCCAGCTTAACTGAGTTCTCGTCGCAGTACTTGCGCTGGAACGCCGGAGCAAGAAGCTTCTGACCGGTGCTGTTCTTCTGGAGGGAAATCAGTATTTTGGACATCTCGGACTCTGGCCTTGCTGGGCATCTACGTGCGAAATAGTCGGGCTGCACTCTAGCGATGTGAAAATAGCTTATGGTTAAAATACCGCTGCCTTTGCCACCTCATTAGTGAAGTAGCACGTCCTGGTTTTGCCTAATAATGGATGGATCTACCAAAGTACAGTATCAGGCTGACTCAAGGACTCGGCCCTAGGAAGTGACCCGAATGCCAGGCCGTTACAAAAGGCTTACCACTCGTAGCGCAGTGTGACCGACCCTGCCATGTCCTCAATGAACAGTTATAAGCCTTCACACTATAGGCAGTCCCAGCAGCATGAGCCGTATGTAAGTAGCCCTCGCAGCGTTCCTGGACTTACTAAGGAGACGCGATACCGTAAACACGCAACTTACGGCGCTCCACGCCGGGCCGGCACGGCATTACGTCAGCCGCTCGTACATCCAACAGGTCGGGAGTCGAAGCGGCGCAAATTGACCCAGTCTCTGGCATTATCAAGGCACAGAAAATTAATAAAATGAGAGCTAGTACAGGCCTCGCATAATCTAGTACTACCAGATGCTATATAGGGTACGTAGGCGCTACGTACTATGGACAAGTAAGCTAACACGTTAGGGCCTAGGACCGGTCCGAGGATAGGTCTAAGAACGTCGAGTCCATCACTACTTAGTAGCGACGGCGTGATCCCCTACAAAATTAGTAGGCGGCCAAGCTCTAGCGACTCATCTCCCTACCTAAAGGTACGTGAACCGTGCTCAATTGGCCCTAGCCCTCTCGCTAACTACTTAGTAGAGCAAGAACGCGCCGCCGACACGTCGAGCAGGAACGGCGGACAGATTCTAGTAAAGGTGCCTTAGGCACCTACCTTTAGGTCCTTAAGCAGCTCACATTTCTAAGTGTTCCCCCGAGTTTCCTAAAGACGCCGAGGCTCTTGATTCACAGCTAGAAGCCGAGCGCTAAGAGAGAACTGGAAGTATATCGAACGGGCGCTTTGTTAGCTAATCAGTTGCTTCTGGAAACCTCTCCGGGTCATCGTCATGGTTCCTTCATAGCTTAAGCCCTCCTTGCGCCATCACTATTCGTATAGGTATAAGAAGCCGCCGCTTTTCCACGAAAGCTCAGCGACTTACATGACATTGCTCTTCCCATGGAAAACTCAACAGATATGGGCTCGCGGCTAAGGCGCCTGTTACCTGCCGAAACTTCAAAGACTGGATCGCGTGCCCGGGCTTCAATCTTCTCAGGCGATGTCATCCGAACGCCACTGCAGAAACTCAAGGGCCGCCGCAAAAATACCGCTTCTGCTTGCCAGTCTTGTCAAACGAGGAAGACGAAGGCATCCTTGCCCCAAGCCCGCTTTGCCACCTTCCTGTTCTAACGCCGTGTGTAGTGCGATGGCCGAAGGCCGGCCTGCTCTCGTTGCCTCTCGTGGCTTCCAGTGTAGCTACTAGACTGCCGAAGGAGAGACTTACTCTGTCGCTCTATAGCAAAGATACAAATTGCTGCAAGAAGAGAATAACGTAATCCACAAGTGACTTGAGACACCCAAGTGAATGAGACACTTTCCGGGTGCTCGTACGACAATATATAAGAGAATTCAACCACAACGCCTTAAATCAATTGAAACTATGAGGAATCCTCTTCTTCAGAGGCAGATACAACTTTCTGACACGTACGAGCATTATGGCCGGGCTCGCCGCAGACGCCACATCGTCGCGCGCGCGTTTCGGGCCTCCTCGTACGACCACTATTCTGACTCGTTTCCGCCCTCAACTGCTCCGTCGCGTCGATTTGAGCCTTCAAATCTTTTGCCTGATCAATCGTTAGGGACCCTCCTTTCTGTAGCTGTTTTCTTTTCGTACGACGACGGCGGCTAAGGCGGTCATTTGCATCTCGAAGTTCGGCGAGGTCTTGGCGCATAAGGGTCTGCTCGTGCACCATCATTGTGATTCCTTTATTCAGCTGCCGCAGGCTCTCAATAATGGACGACGGAGAGCTATTCTGGTGTCGTACGATGCGATTTTTAATATACTCCGTCTGCGATTCGGCCTCAATTGGGTTGTTCGGCGTCTTTGAAACCCTTGGGGCTGGTAGTCCAGCAGAGGAACCTGGCGGTGTCGGCGTATGAAACTTCATATCTAGCTGCGAAATCACATAATTCGGGTCGTACGGTACTAGGCCAGTTGCTCTAAAGCCTGCCTGGATGTTTGACTTTGCCATCGCAGCGTCGTACGCCTTATAAAAGGCTGGGAGGAAGTCCTCCTTCGAAACGTGGGTTACGTGCGCCCGTATGAGACCTTCGATTTCTTTACCGTACGCCCGTTTCAGAGGTCCAAAACACCCAACATCGAGAGGCTGGAGCTTATGTGACGAATGAGCAGGCATACAGAGCGTTACAATGTTCTGTTCCTTGCAGTAGAGCTCGAAATCGACGGAATGGTGGCTCTCGTGGCCGTCGAGGATAAGGAGGCGGTGGGTACCCTTCGTACGACTCTTCGTATGGAAATCGAAGTGTTTTACCCATTCTAGACCTCTCTCGTTCGTCGTCCAGCCATTGTCTGAAAGCGCGATTACCCAGTCGGCCGGTAGAGGGCTATTCGCGGTCCAGGAGTCGAGGTGGACCTTCCCCGCGAAGATAATATATGGTGGGATCGAATAGCCGTACGACGCGATGCCCTGGATTACTGTAACCCATTCCTGATTGCCTTGTTGTACGGCACTTGGCCTCCCGCGTCGATCGGAGGTTGTAACGACAGTTTCGGCGGAGATCTTACCCATCGCGAAGCCCGTTTCGTCGAAGTTGTAGATGTCGTCATTGTGGATCCCGTACTTCGCAATTATATTTCGTACGAGCTCAAACCACGCGCGATACGCGTCCGGATCCTCGCAGAGGACCCTCTGGTAATCGATTCTTCGATTAAAACGCGTGCGGAGCTCTAGTCGTCGTCGTACGAAGTTTGAGGCCCAGTTCGTTCCGACGCGTGGCGCGTCGCGTACGCGGAGGAGTCGATCCGCCATTTCTCGAACACCACCTAACCGCGGTGGAAACGATCGCGAATCTAGGTCGATTATATATCGTACGATACTATCCTCTTCGTACGAGGTTAATTTCTGGCAGGGTGGTCGGATATCGCGTTTCGCAGCTTGGCCGTTTCGTCGTCGTGAGAGGGTCGCATGGGATACATTATAGAGTAGTGCAGCCTTTCGTACGCTTAATTTTGGGTTTGAATGGAGCGCATTAAGCGCTAGGACTAGGCCGCTTTCATTTGATTGTCGTCCCATTATTGTTGGTGGAGAAAAGGAGGAAAGAAAAGGGGGGGTTAAGAATGGGCGGAAAGTGTCTCATTCACTTGGGTGTCTCAGTCACTTGTGGATTACGTTAAGCAATTAAAAGAAATACTCGATTTGGTGCAGGAAAGGCTTGATTACGAAGCATACGAGATTTTCCGCCGCATACGGTTCACTCGAGACCCGGTTGGCGTCCTCCAGCACATCAAGCATGGCGATCTCTCCGGAGGATGACCCCGACCGCCGGACCAGGGTGGTAGGGCAGAGAAGGGGTTTCCAGAGTCGGTACTGATTCCCATCCACCGGGAGGGGAGGCTTCGTAATCTCTCCGCAGCGATACGGTACGCACTCCTCGAGTGGTCGGGCAGACGGCGAACTCGAATGACGTCTGCATATTGGGAGCCAGCGGCGTGTTACCGTCACCACCCCACAAATGCGCGGACGACAATCCGACGGGCTTTTGCGTACTCATAGAAGCCGCCGCAGTTTGCATAGAAATCTCTCTCTATTGAATAGGGGCTGGAACAACTCGAGTTGGTAGGTGGTAGAAACACCTTTCGCCGCCACCAATTTTGCTGCTTGGTTCTTGATTAACTCGTCGACCAAAGGGCAACCACACTCGCTGTGTTGTAAAACTATACTTTTGAGCCAGAGTGAAGAACCCTCCATCAGGTTCGGCCCGTAACAGGAGTTAGTGATCTTCGCTCCCTCCAGCCGCCCGGCATTGTCCATTTACGCCTTCGTTCAGAGCGCCTCCTTGACGTCGGATCCCTGAGTGCAGCACATGATTGAAACCACGAGTCACTTTCTGTTTTAAGCGAATGGGCAATATCAGAGTAACGTGTCTCATTTTACGATTCGTGATCTCCACCATTAGTTGTTAGGCAGCAATAGAGACGTTGCGGTTGAGATGCTTCCGGAACCAACCACTGGTGTCATACTTTTGGAGGCATATCTGCAACACAGAGATCCCTGGGGCTTCTTAGGACACTCCTCCTACTTCTCCCATAGCCCCAGCACGACTATTTCTGCTACAATACAAGCGAGTCATCGAAGTGCCCGAGGGGTTTGGCTTCGACAAATTTGGTCTCCGCCAACCACCAACCAGCCACTAACCCATTGGGGGCGGTTGATTGTGCCGACCAAGGCCATTCTCCGGCAGGGCTGGCTGTATTGATCCTGCATCCATTTCTCGATTGCAGGACGGTAGACAAAGTCTGGGTCGGGAGCGAACGGCACCATGCGATGGGGCCTGCGGGAAATCGAGGCATCCTCGATCGTCTGGAGCCCCAGGTGTTTGACCCCCTCCTGGATGTCGACGAGTACGGCACTGGGGTAGCATGTCAGCCTCAGCAGCCTCAGCAGCGGTAGGGGACTCGTCAGTGTGCGCACGTCTGATCAATCTGGAGCCCGAGCAGGATGGTCTTTTCATGGCGCTCAAGACTGGAAAGCACCTGGTCGACCTCTTTGCTGCTAAACGGCCACTTGATAGCTCAGATACCTAGATGACGCATACCGGTGCGTGAGGGTCTCGGCCGAGCGTCTTCTCCAGTCGCTCCAGGTCGACGATGCAGTCGCGACATGAAATGCCGAGCCCCTGGGATATGAAGAGAGGCTTGCCTTTGTTCCCTTCCACTAGGCGCTGGGCGGCCCGCACCGCAGTTCCAGATGGCTGACCTGGCTGTGGAGAGGCTGGATGTCTGCTCGGGCGCCGGCGACCTCCTTGGAGTAATGGAGGCACAGCGTCGCGACCTTCGCGGAGAGGTCGACAACAGCGATGACGTTGGCAGCGACTCCGAGTCCTTCCATGATGATGCCGGCTCGGACTTGTCACATTCAATGATCGATGGAGATAAACGAGGGGAATGAGCGGAAAGTTTGGATACATTTCATTTCTATGCCAGGCTGCAATCTGCATGGAGGGAGACACAGCTGAGCCTTCTTCTATCGTCATTGGCGGGCGGGCCATCAGGCGCAGCATCCATGATGGCGATGGGCTGGTCCACGAACAGCAGCTCAAGAATCAGGCTGCGGACTTTCTCATGGAGTGGCGCTCGCCATGGTGGTAGCGGCCGTCTGTACCAGCCCACTGGTTAAATACGAGGAGGTGCTGCCCCACTACGCCCGCGAATCCTGAGGCCCGGTCGTACACCTGTCGCCTTTTACTCACAACAGGAAGCGGCAGCCAACTCAATGGGCTCCGGCTGCCGTGACAGTGACCAAGGATCGTGAGCAACGACGGCACCGGGTTGCGCCGAGGGTCGGGTTTGGTATTTGGCCGGCTTACCCCTCCTTTTACCACAACAGGCTTGAGGTATTTGAAGAGGTCGCGGGGTCTCGAAGCATTCTTCAACTTTACCTCAATTTTGTCCACCACTCCTCTGGCACGTTCTGCGTCGGAAGCCTCCTTCCAAATTTCGAACGGCCATGGAGCCTCAGACGATACGGGATTTTAACGCCCTAGTGGCGAACTCGAAATTTGTTTTCGCCCTGGGTAAGTCGTGGTGCACCGCTAGAGGACCAACTGACGCTATTGATTTTCTGACGATTCTAATAGTGTACCGCGGGCACTGGTGTCCCTTCTGCATCTCACACATTCGATCCCTGAAAGCCCTCGAGCATTTAATCCGACATGCAGATGGAGAAACTGTCATCATCACCTCAGAGCGTGAAGAGCATCTCCCAAAGGTCAGGTCTGCAACAGGATACACCGGCCCCGCCATCGTTGACACACAGAACCTGTTGGTGGCAGACTTGAAGAAACGGGATATTGTGGATGTGGCTATCAGCGATATGAGGCTGAGGAAGTATGAGCACGGCATGGCTCAGCCTGCCGTCTTTGTCATTCGACAGGGTGGAACCGTTCTGTATCGATGGGCGATTGTGCCTAGCCTGGTAAGCAAGTACCTACTTCGACATTATCGCGCCCTTTGCTACTGCGACTGCTAATGCAAATGCTTCCTGCGTAGATGAACTTGGGCGGAGCAAAGGACAGGCCGCTTCTCGAGGAGATCTGGCATAACGTGGATGCAAGCCTTCATGGGAAGGAAGCAGTACACACGACATATTCGACCGCCGGGGTGGCGGCAGTGATTCGGGAGAAGCTCCGGTCACGCTAAGTTCGAGTGCATCGGGGAATTTCCGTAAGGGAAGGTGCAGTCGCCAATATTTTGCTCCCTCACTACTTCCTAGGTTCTCCTCGCTCAAATATTAACGGTTCAAAGCACGTATTGCACCGCTTCAGCCCGTATGTCAGAATTGAAGGCGAGCGGATCAAGTGTCACTACGCTTCCATGTTCGACCAATCTCTTGATTCCAATGTAGCTCCAAGGCGATTCGTGTCTATGGAAACTTGTAGTCTATCAAACGTCGCCAGCCGCCACTTTCCAGGTCGTAGTCGTATCAAACCTTTTACATACATGCCGACCTCGCGAATGCAGGACCCAGGCGGTACTACAGAAGCCGCAGCGTACCATTATCGTTCCTAATCCTCTCGTCCAGGACGATTGCACTCCTAACCCAATCCCCACGCTCGTTTTAGCTCGGCCTCCAGCCTCCGACCACCGTCAACGAGGCGCACATCCCAGGCTGATGAGGCGAAATTACCTCCAACCCCGCCGCCGTGGCCGCCGCCAGGGATCTGAAGAATTTGTCCCGGGTGAATTAGGTCAGGGTTGTGAAGGCCGTTGTGTCGGGCGATCTCTTCCCATGAGCATCCGTGATCCGCAGCAATGGCTCGCAGCGTGTCGCCTGGGCGAACTGTGACGCTGCGTGGGCCGCCGGAGCTGTGGCCGCCTTGCGAAGCCCAGCGAAAGCTGCCGCGGTCGTTCTCCAGAATCTGGTTCAGGCTTATCGTGCTGGACTGGTAGGACCTGTCCTTCCACTTGCGTATATGAATTCCGGAGACATCGTCCCGGGCTCATTTGTCGATCCCAACATCCGCATGATCGCCATTCGCCTCCGATTGGTTAATCGTTAGCGTGTGGCCTCTGCTGGAGAGAAACCCCGCACGACAGATGCGGCTTGAATGGATATCCTCCTCGCTCAAGACCGGCGTGTGCGAGTCCTGTCGCAGCAAGCCACAGATCGCATGCCATCGCCTTTGTTTATATCTGGGTCTCCCTGCTTTTGACAGGCACTAGCTTCTCAAATCACGTCCTGTCCCTGTTGACTTCTACGTCACTCCAGATTTCTACTCACACAGATGCATACCAATTCCACCAGAGAATGAATGAAGAAGATATGGTTGGGGGCCTCTACCTCCATTCTGGGAACTTGGCCGCCTGTTGGGGCTGGCTCAGGAGGTTGGCGAGACTCGAGTCTGGGTTCTCGGCGAGATAATTATACACGGCATCCGCTGCTGTCAGGTTGGTATCGGAGGGCACATCGGCGTAGACGATGAATATGGAGGAGGAGTTGGTGAGGAGGTCGAGAAAGGCGTCGGCAGGGCGCTTGCGGTAGAGGGCATTGGAGATGGAGAGGAGGAAGGAGTTGAAGACGCGCCTGCAGGCGAGAGGGAAGGACGAGTCCCTCGGCAGGATGGGTGAATACCACCACTTGACGTAATCTCGGATGACGGCGTCAACGAAGCCACCCAAGGCCTCGCGGATCCCTGGTTTGAAGTCATCGAAGGTGTTGATTGCCCGCTCCTCTTCCTCCTTATCCTGAACCTTAGGCTCGGGGACCTTGTCGAGACCCAGCCTCGTGAGAACCTCGGTGCCTCGTTCGCCACGGACGATTCGAGAGATCTCGGGGTGCCGTGCCTCGTAGGAGACGCACCAAAGGCGCCGATAAGGATCAGGCCGAGCTTGCCCAGGACGACATAGGTCGCAGCGGCAAGGCCGACACCGATTCCGCCTAAGGTCTCGGAGGTCGCAGTGGAGAGAAACTTGAGACCTTTCGTAATGAAGTCGTCTTCTGAATTGATATTATGTTGGGGAGGAGCTGTTGAAGAGGGCGTTGACTCGGCCGGAAGCGCCGGCTGCTTCTCGAGGGTCGTCGCATTGTCAACGGTCTGCTCTGCAGGGGGTTGCGACGGAGAGTCCAGGTTCGGCGGCCCCGGCGGGTGCGTCTTGTCCACAATCGTCTCCATGATCGGGCGCGAGTCGGTATCGTCAAGGAACAGTGTGTGCCAGAGTTCTCTTTACATCCCAGCGACGGGGTCGAAATCGGATGCAGGCTGCGCACCGGGGCTGGACAATGGATTACGACAAGGAGGGGGATTGCGCGTGCAGCTCGCGCAGGCAGGAATGTGGCCACAAAGAGGAAATGCCAAGGGCACGCACAAGACACCTAACGTTGTCTCAGGATGTCAGAGCTTCGGCCCCGGATTTCACGAACGTGTTTTCTCGTGAAGAATCCGAAACTCGAGCTGGACGGGAAAGACGGGATTGTGAAAGGGGCTTCCCATGCACACTGCAGAATAAGCGAGAATTGGGGAACGCTGTAGGGCCCGTTTGATTTTAGATGGGTGCTTGGCGGGCTCTAAAATTACGAACCCCAACGCCGCCAGAGCTGTCATCTCTGCACTATCGCAGTGGCTCCCGCCGTCTGCCGTGAAACTCGGCACGGGCCCTTACTTGATTAATTAACAATACCGGCCAATGCTGTGCAGGACGCGTGGGTAGAGTGGCGGGCTGCATCTCTTTCCGGGGAACACCGTAATATCTCGTGCGTGCCGGCGTTTAATCAATACGAAAGGGCCGTCAGATCGTCTCGTTACGAGTGAGCCGTGGTGCCGTGTTGAGATGAAACAACACGCCCCCTGTCGGAAACGGGGGCCTTTGCAGATTAGCGCATCTCCCGAGCTGTTGGTCGCTGCTGCCTTCTGAGGCGTGAGGCGACATAAGTGGAGTAGCAGTCCTCGTTGAATGCATCACGTGAGATCTCTCTGGCCACCACCGCCGTGGAGACCCAATGGCTCAACGATAACACGTACTTGGGCCCTGGCCAATTGTTACCACGCAGTGAGCTGACGAGTGCAATTGCAAATCTCCTGTGTAAACTGTCAGACCATGGATCGGCAGTACATCATGTTCGATTGATTGTGCATCCACGAGAGCTCTGGTAGATGCTATCGATGTCGCGAGACTAAAATGTGTATGAGAGCCACTGGTATGTATGGTACACGTGACATAGTCCATCGGCGGTAGCGAGGATGGAACCTGACACTCCACGTCTTTTCCCCTGCGACATGCCCCAAGACCTCTCACGATAGTGACCAATTGAAGTCTTCATTGAAATCATTGCTGAACTACAGTGAAGAAGCATCCAGCTTTATGCCTTCTTCAGTGAGCCATTGTTCAGTTGCCCGCTACGCACTGCTGGCAAACCCCCTTGGTCTCAGGCTGCACATCTTGCAGATTGTGCCTGGGTCATAACGCCTATAGCGCTAAAGTTAGTGCAAGATGAGACCCTAGGAGATAGCATCAGGTCTCAATAGGAGCTTCCCGGGACTATCGCCCCATGTCCTAGGGCAAAATCTGGGGACGCCTAGAGCCGGATGCGGAGAGTTGCCGGGTGTAGGCAGTTCGGGATGCCTCCGATAATGTTCGGGAGGGTCGGGGATGAGAGTTCACGGTCCGCCCTCGCCGCGGAGGACCATCGGAAAGACCGGGCTTCGCTCTTCTTCAGCACGCTGGCATTCCGCCATGCAAGGATTACTGAGGACGCCTTACCCTCACCCCCCTTGATCAACGACAATGGATCACCTCATCGTGCAACGGGCTTTGGCTGCAGTTCGGGCTCTCGCTCCATACGCTGTATACGCCTCCGCAAAGGTCAACGACCCTCTAGAATATCTTTCCCGCCAGTGCGCCCCTTCGGCCTTTGAGTCCTCGGCAGCTACAGCTCTCTACACCGTCCACTCATTATCCCAAGCCGTCATGGTCCCCTTTTGCAGAGCGCTGGCACTCAGTGTCGCGTTCACTTCCGCCCTCGCGCGGGAGCGTGTCGATACCCATATCCATGCTCTCCCTCCTCCGTAAATCGAGGCCCTCGAGGCAGCGGGTGGTAATCCGTCCGGCTTCCCAACCCCTCAGTGGACACTCGAAGCCACTCTACGGTCCATGGACTTGGCAAACACCCAAGTCGGTAAGTGGCAAAGAAGATGGACCAGGTGGTCAAGGCATATGCTAAGACGTATCCCTTTGCAATAGCCATCCTATCCCTCTCCACGCCGGGCATTCCCATCGCCGGCACGGGCGAGGTTGCCAGAAGCCTGACCCGGACCATAAACGAGTACTTTAGCAACGCGACGTCCCTACCCAAGAACACCGCGCGGCTTGGGTTCTTCGGCGTGCTCCCGGACTAGCGGGACGTCAACGGCACCCTCGCCGAGCTGGACTACCTGTACTCGGAGCAGAAGCTGTGCAACGGCGTCACCGCCTACACCACCTACGGCGACAGGCTGCTCGGCGACCCTCTCTTCGCCCCCGTCTGGGATAGGCTCCAGCGGTACAAGGCGCTCGTCTTCGTCCATCCGGATACCCTGACCGTCGCGCCAAAGTTCGTCGCCTCCAGCCTGGCCCAGCCCATCGTCGACTACCCGCTCGCAACCACCCGCACCGCCGTCGACCTCGTCATGACCCAGACGATGCGCCGCTGCCCGGACGTCGACGTGATCCTCTCCCACGCCGGCGGCGCCGTCCCGTTTCTCGCGGGAAGGGCCATCGGCGGGCTCGCGCTGCCGGAGATTGCCGACGCCGTCGGATACAACGCGCTGGGGGCCAAGAAGGACTTTGCTCGGTTCTACTACGACATCGCTCTGAGCACGAGCGCCGCCCAGCTCCATGGGCTCCTGGACTTTGCGGACGCCTCCCACATCCTGTTCGGCTCCGACTTCCCGTACGTTCCGAAGGCGGCCATCAGCACGCTGCTGGCTCAGTATGCTACGTTCGTGACCACGGACGCCAGAGGGCCCATGGTCAGCCCCGCGAGGCTTCGGGAGAACTCTCTGAAGCTGTTAAACAGACACACTTTGGGAAAGGCTTTCTAGGGGATACAGTGTATCCTGGCTTACCGTTCTTAGTATCTGGATAGATGTAGTGTTTTACTTTTCTTCTGCTTCTGTTATTTCTTCTTCCTCTCCTTCTCCTTCTCCTCCTCCGTCAACCAGTTCGCGAATGGACCACGGGGTCGACAAGGGTCTCTAGATAGGAATTTTACGCCGGAGATGGGTTAGTATAGAGAGATGAATTAAATGATACATCTCCGAATTTTATGGGCAAGCATAGTAGAGCGGTGATACTTCTCGTGGGCTGCGTTATGTGATATGCGAGGCGCCGGGATAATTCCGAGCATGTTCGCCATAACCGTCGGAATACACCCGACTACAGCCATGGCGCAAGTGCCGGCAACGTGGACACATCGAATCACTTCTCCTCTCTTAATAGTTACAAGGACAATAATAAAGTGGCTGCAAGACAGTCGGCATATGGAATCCGCGGACTCGATCAGCCCTATCCAGAGACGCCTGCACCCGTCCCGCCCTGCAACATCATGCTCACGCGTCTCCTAGACACCGTCACGGCCTTCCGCCAGCAACACCCCGCGTCCTTCCACCTGTTCACGGCCGCAGTTGTCTACGCATCGGTCGCCTGGGCGGTTCTCGAGTTCTTCAAGCCGATAGGCAAGCGAAGGGCGAAGAATAGTACGAAACAGAGGCTACCTCCGGGCCACCCCGGAGCGCCCCTCTTTGGCTATTTGCTCGATCTAAAGAAGGCGGATGGCCCTTCGCTGAGATCAAAGGTACAGGCATAGTGACTAGATCAGTACACATGACGGACTCACCATAGAGCGTGCGCTAACGACGACGACGTGTCCTGAACAGCTCCGAAACCTAGCAGCGTACGGCGAGATAACAACGCTACACCTCGGGTCGAAGACATAGGTGCTTCTCAACTCGCACCGCGTCACCGAGGAGCTAATCGCCAAGAGGGGTAGCCAGACGAACACGCGGTCCCCCATGCCGGTGTCGAGCGGCCTCGTCAGCCGGGACCGGCGCTCGCTGCTGCTCCCGGCTGACGAGTGGACGGAGCGGCGGCGGGTGATGCACGGGCTCCTGAACGGCACGGCGCTGAGGCAGTACGGCGCCTGGCAGGAGCAGGAGAGCGCGCAGATGATGGCCGAGTACGTCCTGCGGCCCGACAGGTGGTACAGGCACCACTACCGCTACGCCAACTCGGTCGTGGTCCGGATCGCGCTGGGCGAGCGGCCGCACAAGTCCAGGAGGGAGCTGGAGGAGATGCAGAACGCCGTGGCCTTCTTCGTCGGCAGCATCGGGCGCAGCATCGTCGACTGGTTCCCGGACCTGGCGCGTCTGCCGCGCCGCCTCCAGGTCTGGCGGCCGTACTGGGCGGCGCTCCGCCGCTGGAACCACGACCTCTACAGCAAGTGGTACCACCCCGTCAGGGACAGGGTGCGCGACGGCACGGCGCCGCCCTCCTTTGTGCGGGACCACCTCATGCACCCGGACACGCGGTTCAGGGGCGACGACGACGACCTCATGTACATGGCCATGCAGCTGATCGAGGCCGGCAGCGACACCACGCGCGAGGCCCTCAACATCATGGCCATGGCGGCGCTGGAGCGCCCCGAGGCCTTTGCCGCGGCCCGCGCCGAGGTCGACCGCCTCTGCGGCGCCGGCCGCGACGCCAGGCCGCCCGTCCTCGCCGACATGGCATCGCTGCCCTACGTCTGCGCCACGGCCAAGGAGGTCCTCCGCCGGCACCCCATCTTCCCGCTCACGCCTGACCACGTCGCCTCCCAGGACATCGAGTTCGAAGGCTACTACTTCCCCGCCGGCACGGGCTTCACCATCAACGGCGTCGCCGTGTGCGACGAGTGCAACGACCCGCGCGTCTTCCGGCCCGAGCGATGGCTGGACGGCCACGAGACCGACATCGCCCACGGCCTGTGGCAGTTTGGCGGCGGCGGCCGCATCTGCGTCGGTTACCGCCTAGCGCAGCGCAGCCTGTTCATCAACATCGCCCGCCTGGCGCAGTGCGTCGACTACAGACCGGTGAGCTGCTTGGCCTTGAGCCCCCCCCCCCCGGCTTCAGTGGGCCAAAGCAGCCAATATCGAGTGGCTGGAGGAGGTGGGATGAATGTGGAGGCATGCAGAGCGTGATGATATTGTTCTGCTGGCAATGGAGCTCGAATTCGGTCGAGTGGTGGCTCTCGTGGCCGTCGAGGATCAATAACCGGTATTGGCCTTTCGTACGAGGTGCTGTATGGAAGTCGAAGTGCTTGATCCAATCTAGGCCTACCGCATTGGTAGTCCAACCATTATCGGTGGTTGCGATGCGCCAGTCGGCCGGGAGGTTGCACTCGGTATACCAGTTGGCGAGGTGGTACTGTGCGGCCAAGATGATGAAGGGGGGGATGGCCCAGCCGAGGGCATTGACTCCCTGGATCACCGTTGCCCATTCGCGGTTGCCAGGCTGGGCCAGCTTTGCCTTGCTACGGCCATCCGAGGTCGTAACTACTATACCCGCGAAGATGATGCCCATCATGAACCCAGTCTCGTCGAAGTTGTAGATATCGTCATCCACAATACCGTACTTGGCCTTGACGTTCCGAACAAGGGCGAACCACTCGCCAATGACCTTTGGATCCTCACACTTGGCCCTCTGGTAGTCGTATCTACGCGTATAACGCGTACGGAGCTCTGGCTGGCGTTTGACAAATCGATGGGCCCAGAGTTGACCGACAGGAGGCGCGTCGCGTACGCGTAGCAGTTGGTTGGCCATATCTTCCACACCACACAATCTAGGTGGAAAAGCTCGCGTAGATAGCTCAACAATATATTGAACAATAGCTTCTTCTTCTGACTGAGTAAGCTTCTTCGACTTGGGCGTACTGTCGCATCGTGCAGGCTTGCCGTCGCGTCGGCGCCCTAGAGTCTTACGGGCGACCCCGTAAATCTCAGCAGCGGCTCGCACGCTTAGATTTTTGTCGTTTTGAAGAGCCCCGAGGGCCAAGATTATCTGGGCTTCCTTTGAAGTAGATGGCATATTGGGTGACTGAGAAAATTAGGTGTTGAGAGCGAAGGTGTCGCGTCGCGTAGAAAGTGGGCCACTCGCTGATATGGGCCACTCACTGATAATGTACGTTAGTGCTTCTGCCGAGTCGCAAGTCCATTCTTCGAGGATGTGCCGCGCCTGGGTATACTCGGGACCATCGTGCAGACCATGAGCTCTTTGGGACGTCCGTCCTCGGCAGTTCTCATTGGGTTTAGTGTTGCCCGAAACAACGAAGTCGTGAACTAGGATTATTCTGTTCGAGCACGATATTAGTACGAGCCAAGGTATATATCGGCTGCTCTACTGCTTACTCGTGCGTGTTGGCTTCGTTGTCCAGCTCCAGAACGCCGCCTGCTATCCTGTTAAAGGCCAGCGAGAATTGTCCCTGTGTGGAATCAGCTTCTTGAATATGGGCAACACTGTGGCCAGAGGGGTCTTACTGGTGCCTCTGAGTCAGCCGCGTAATCGCCTCGATGTTCATCCGGGAGGCTGCCCATTCTCAACCCGGCGGTGATTCAGTTTAAGGATTCGGGCAAGTTCGGCGGTTATATATGCTGTAAAGTGTGAGCTACAGGGATTATAAGAACCGGTATCTTAACGTCATCTACGGAGTGCCGGACAATTACTACACCTAGCAGTGAACAGGAGGAATGACGTTTCACAGGAGAGGTAAACATGCCGCCAATTTGACCTGCTACCGTGAAGCTGGTGTCATTGTTTTGGTCATTTCATAAAGCCCCAGGACGATGCCTATCTGTACTGGACGTGGAAACAATTGGCGCACTTGAAGATAGAGGCCGTCGCATGGGTGCGTACAATGGGGTTAGAGCGGTGATCGGCCACATGAGCGAGACGAAGGTGCTGCAAAGGGATTAATAGAGTTGCAGCAATGAGTGGCGTAGGTTGATGCAACGTCCAGTGCGGCGACGGTTCTCTGTGCGCACGGTCCTTGCCTGCGAGACTGCGACGACCGTGCACCAAGCCAGGGCGTTTACATAACGGATCGAATTAATGCAAAAAAGAGCGTTTGAGGCACTTCCAGAGTTTCTAACTGCGGCGGGTAGCAGCAAAATAACTTTCGATCTATGCACAAATTGTACTTCAATTATCCTATTGGAGCAAACCGCGCAGGTTGTTGCTCGTCGGAGTCAACCAGGCCTTGCACGAGCCCGAACATGGCTCCCACGAATATCGCAGATGTAACCACGACTTCTGTGCCTTCTGGAGGAGGCTGCCTGGCTGGGATTGCCGGCACCACCCTGCGGGCGCAACTTTCAGGGCCCGTGTCGGTATGTGCTCATTTCTTGAAGCGATATTTAATAGCGACGAGGCTTCAAGCCCGCGGGCATGCCCCAAATGGGACACGAATAACCAGCGGTAGGGACAGGGCGGGAGCGCCTCGGTGGGCATAGCGATGAGGTGGGCCGTCAATTAAGTCCGAACAACTCACGGCCGAGTCGCGATTATAAGATGTATCCGGACCGTCAGCTGGTGTTCCTACGTCGCCTTCGGGCACTGGTCGGTTGCCGGAGCTCTCATGATGGTGGCCATCTCCTTGCTGCTGCCAGGTTCATTATCTCATTCCTTTCCACCTTCTCCTTTTGGTTTTCATTTGCGTTCGAGAGTGACGCGCAGTTCCTACCGATGCAAGGCACTTCAAGAACGAATAACGACTTTCTATCCTCGTTGCTTGAATGCAGAACCCAGAGCACCCATGCATATGGAGCGAGCTATTCTCCACACGCTCGCAGACCAGATGCTTGGCCATCGTTTGCAGGCAAAGTTTCGTTGATCACGGTGGGCCCGCTTTCTCAGTCTCCGGCCCACCTCCGTTCAGGACACCAGCTAGATGCCGCTCGAAATAGAGAGTCCAGCAGTGGATTTCTATGGAATTCAAAGAACACCAATGAGTCTAGAAAATCCACAGCTATTGCATATTATGATGTGAGGTGGATGCCGTGAAGGCCCTTTTTAATAGGTAGGTGCACGAAGGCGTACTCAAGAACGACCTCTTCCTTTTGGAAAGCCCCACTCTGCCGGGGTCCTCGCCTCGTGTGTTGGCGCTCACGATAGCCCAATTACAGATATGATCCAGCGTGTTCTATCTTTCAAGCATATCAATCGAAGCCGACGAATAATAAGAGGTGCTGGATGGAGGTTGCCATAGCAGCTGATTGGAGGGGGTGGGGGGGTTGAAATTGTAGATCGAGGGCTGGATGGCCCTGTCGGAATGGGGGTGAGAATGCGCAGTCTGGGAGGCCATCGGCAGCTTGATATAATGGCGGTGGGACAATAACTTGAGCTAGTGATTTCTCGGTGGGGACAATAGATGATTGGTCGAGAGTAGGCTTCTAACTTGAGAGGGTAAATGTACCTAGAAAGCCACTTTCCTATATTGCATTCTCTAATACCAAATCTATCTGGCCTTACTCCTCATCCATTCCCCCGCCGAACGAGATCTCCTGACCGTACTATAGTATAGTGTGCTATCTAAGACCGAATCTAGGCTCGAGTAGTACCCTATTGGGATTGCCAGGAACACCCGCGAACTCTTACCTAATAGTTCGCGACATATCTCAGCTAAACCGAACCAGCGGTAATGTTAGAGGGGAGAAGGGGGTCAGAATTAAGTTGAAATAAAAGGCTGAAGCTTCTCTACGGACTAATTGAGAACCATTGAGGTCAACTACGTTACTCCAATTAAGGTCAATCATGATACGCGTAACGGCTGGGGTTAAGTAGCTGAGCCCGGGTGATCCCCCGAGCCCAGCCGGGTCACTAAAGTTTAATGTGATAGCTCGTATAACGGAGAACAATGCGACGCGACAAGGGGGCACGCGGCAACGCGGGACGGGCGAGATAGACTTGTCGGCCATATGAAGTGAGGAGGACATAAGACGGCTAAGGGCAAATCCAGTCAATACGAGACCAATCCGATAACACGCGAGGGAGTACATCCCACCGTAAAGCAAAACGAACGCTAGCGCACGCTAGCTATGGATAGAGCGATGGGCAAGGAAAGTAGCGAAGTGAGGGCGGTAGAGGGGGGAGGAGGGATAGAGCGGGAGCCAGCAGCGAGAGTCTTTCTCTACGAACCCGCTCGGGTTTTAGTCTGCTTACACTGTAAAGCGGCTATCCGACCGGGCGAGAAGGTCACTGTGCACTTTCGGCGGAAGCACAAGTCGAAAGAGGACGAGCTACAGCGGATTATCCAGCTCGCGGCAGCTGCTGCAACGACAGTTGCTAGTACCGGTGGGCTTGTAGACCCATACATGGCAGATCTTCCGGCAGATGACAACACTCCTATCCAGCAGCTTGCGGTCCAGGAGGGGCTCTGCTGTAGCGAGTGTTGGTATCTCACAATAAGCCAGCAGCTCATGTCGCAGCACTGGATTGCGAACCAAGAAGACAGCAGTGCCGAGGATGGACGCCCACAGCACGATGGCCTCAGTAGCTGGACCGAGGTAGCGCTCCAGTTATTCTCGTCGGCTAGGCAGTTTAGACGGTACTGGATAGTCGACGCTCCGGTGCCAGGAGCACGACGTGGGGCTGGGACCGGATCCCGGACCGCAGGCGGGGCGGGAGTCACGACGACTGGGAGACCCACATAGCCGCGTACGAGGCTAGAATCACCGCCGAGGATGTGGAGCGTTGCCGAACGATCGATCACAAGCCCGGCATCGACTTCGAATCGCCATTAGGTACGCCACATGGGCTGGGCCGAGCATCTGGCCGGCAAGAATATGGCCGATCTAAGGCGAGCTGCAGAGCCCGGGCTGTCGGCTAGGAGAGGTAGCGAGGCTAAGCCTGCATGTACGCAAAACAGGCCCAGTCCACCTTCTTTGGGACTACTAGCGAACTAGGGTCTTGATTGCCGAATTGGGGTAGACATTGTGACTACGAAGGCCGGACGAGCTGTCTGTTCAGTGTCAGTGTGCAGAACATTCTAGACCAGCCCTTGTTTTTGGAACGCAACTGTGTCGGTCGATTCTTTCCGCATGCTGGCTCGCAACTCAATGGGAGCGCCTCCGACATCTAGTATTTTCTCTGTGCTCCTTGCGAACATTGGCTTGAGTGTCGTGCACAAACCTGGCTGTAGGCACGTTGAAGGACGACCAAACCCAGCTCGGATGGCCGACTTCCGTATTGGGATGGGCCTCGGCTCAGTGGGCGCAGCACTGACGGGATGGCCGAGACGTCAGTGTCAGTACGCTAAAAAGTGGCGCTACGGCAGGGGTGCTCCCGCACTCAGGCCAACCAACCATTGCGAACCCGTTGACCCCCTGAAGCCTTTATCTGCTGGGTCAGCTCCCCGTCTGCCAACTTCCACTTACACGTGCCAACCATCCGAACTGCTTGGCTTCATCTTCCTCTGCCGGCCCTGACGCTCCTTTTCCTCACGACAACCCGGTCCTCGCGAATGCCTCTTGTGCCCAACAGCAGCGCCAACATCGCCTCCAAGTGTGCCGACACACTGCTTTGCTGGCTGCGCACCCTCCCGCTGTGGGCCCTCGTCATTGCCCTCGTCCTCCTCGGCGCCCTGCGTTCCCGGCTCGTCGCCTTGTTCACCAGCCGGCGCAGCGAGTCTCGTCGAGTACCCAGCACAGGCGGCGGCGGCAGCGGCGGCGCTACACGCAAGACCAGCTAGATTCCTGACACGAGGACCACACACATACACAATCCGGGCTCGCGCAACACCAGGCCCTCACTCAACATGGCCTCCTCGGCAGGTGCGATGCGGCGCATCACGCGCGTCGCCGGCCCGGTCCTGGTCCCGGCGCTCGCGTACGGCGCATACAAGTCGACCTGGCGCTGCAGCTCAAGAAGTTCCTGACCGGTCCTGGGAAATGGAGTCAGCTGTTCGCGCTGGTGGTGCTATTGTTCAACTGGAAGAGCCTGCCGTTTGCGTGGAGTGTACGTTTGTCTCTCTCTCTCTGTTTCTCCCCTCCCGCCCGCCTTGCTCTTCCCCCGTACCGTTTTTCTTGAAAGAACTACAAACATGTCAACACCAGCCAAACCCCCCCACAAACAGGTCCGCGTCCTCGGCAACATGATCCAGCACTTCCTCGTCCGGCGCCCACACTCGCACTCGCCAGACAAGCTCTTCCACCCGGTCATCAGCACGACACACACCTCGCTCATGGAGGTCGACTACAACATCCACAAGTCCAACTCGACCTACTTTGCCGACCTGGACGTCAGCCGCACACACCTGGTCGCGCACCTGCTCGCAAAGGGGTGCCACCTGGCGGGGAACAACGCCAAGACCGGGCTCGTCCTGGACCCGACCACGGGCCGGCCGGCCAGGGGCAAGTTCGGGGTCATGCTGGGCTCCGTGTCGTGCTCCTTCAAGCGCGAGATCAGGCCGTTTGCCAGGTACGACATGTACTCGCGCGTGCTCGCCTGGGACAGGAAGTGGATGTACATTGTCACGCACTTTCTCGAGCCGGGCGTCGCTGGCGGCAGCGGCAAGCACGCGCCAGGCAAGCCACTCCCCGCCGGGTGGGAGAAGAAGGTCTACGCGACCGCCATCAGCAAGTACGTGTTCAAGATTGGCCGGCTGACCGTGCACCCAGCGGTCCTGATCGGCGCGAGTGGGCTCCTGCCGGAGCGGCCGGGCGGGTGGGTCACTGCTCCCCCGGAGGGCCAGGAGAGCAGCAGCAGCAACAGCAGCAGCAACAGCAGCAGCGGCGTGTCGACTCCTCCTGCCGGTGCTGGTGCTGCTGCCCAGAACGGCAGTGCGCCAGTAGTCGAGGAAGAGAAGGAGGCAAAGGTGCAGGCCAACGGCTCGGCAGACGCGACAGAGGGGACCAACGGCGCCGCCAAGCCCGCCGAGCCAGTCGCCGCTGCTCTGTCAACCACGGCAGAGAGCGAAGACACCTTCCGGGCGGCGGTAGATGGTGAGTGGGACTGGCGCCGCACCGAGGCCGAGCTGCAGCGCGGGCTGGCGTATGCGAGCCACTTTGCCGCGCTCGAGGGCTTGCACGGCGAGTTCCGCGGCACCGAGGAGGGCATGCTAGGCCGGTTCTCGCTGGGTTAGAGTTGAGGCTGAGGTTGAGGTTGAGTCTTGAGATGAGCTTGGTCGCAAGGGGTTCTCACTCACCCATTCTTTCACGAAAAAGGAGATTGTGCCGTGCCTCGTGGCAACAGAGCGACTTCTGTTTTCTTTCACTTGCGATGACAAGGCACACACCCGCAAATGGAATTTGTGTTTGTGTTGAGGCCCGTCGGGTCGGGTCGGTGTTGGCATACCCCGAGCTCAGCACGTCCATGTCCCCCTTCCGACGTCCTGTTCAGCTAGCTTGCATACCTAAGATTTCTGTCATAGAAAGAAGATGGGATGGGCGATTGATTTCATACACTCTGTATATACACTTTTTTGATGGCGGCAGAGGGTCGGATACAGAAGGCGCCAGACAGGACGCCGATAGACGAAGAGACACATCCCCGACTAGAATTACACATCGAGAGAAATGTTAGACCATTCATGATAGTTATGGCCTTTGAATGCGCGGATCTGGCTGTGTAGTGAGTATCGAGCGAGGATGGTCGGTCCCGGGCAGTTGTGCTCCTCTTGCTCTTGGCCTGCGCAGATGGCGATCTGACGAGCAATGATTATCCCCCCCCCCCCCCCCCCAAAAGACTTTTATAAGACGGAACTGGAAAGCCGGCCACAAGCCAAGCATCCGCTGGAAACGCGTTGTCATAGCTCGAGTGTTACAGCCAGACTTGTGGTTTCACGCCGATGACACAACGCAACTGAATAGTCGAGACCCCGTCTAAGCTACCAACACCGACCCGATATGCTGCGATGTACATGTACGTGATCCATGGTCAATGTGGGAGGGACAGGCACGATAAAATCTCGGATCACACACATCCTCGCATAGGACTAACGACAGTTCATTGTGACGCTACGTGAACACAAAAACGACAATAATGGGGGATATCTGAATAAGTAACCACAGCCCAACCGACTTTAGGCAGTCTTTTCTTGTACTGCTTCCGTCCATACAAGCAACCTTCATGTTGCCCATTCTCCAGCTTACACACTCTTCATGGCCTCGAAAATTTAGAGAGCCATGACGACAGCAGCAGCGGCCAGGCCGAGCGCGGCGCCGTTGCGGATGGCACCGGCAGGAGTCGCGGAGGGAGTCGAGGTGGTAGACTTTGTGGGGGTGGCGGAGGGGACGAGGTTGCCGAGAGAGCTGGTGGCGGCGCCGATGGCCGCGGTGGCGGAGCTGACCTTGCTGGAGACGGCATCGCCAACGGCGCCGGCGGCGACGGCAGCGCAGATCTTGGCAGAGATCTCGAAGGTGGCTGGATAGCAGTGGCAGTCAGTACTTTGCTTTTTTTTCGGGAGAGCCTGATAGAAAGAAAAGAGGCATGAGAAAACTCACCAGTCAGGTCAGAGACCTCAGTGCAGCTGGTGGCGACACACTGGGTGCCGGCAGCAGTAAGCTCCTCGACCTTGTTGCACTGGCAGACAAGGTCGGTGACGCCGCAGCCAACCGTGGCGGCAGCCTTCTGAATGCATGGCTGGGCGCACTTGGGGACGGAGGCGACGAGCTCCTGGAGGCTCTGGGCGGTCGCGGCGGCGACGAAGAAGGAGAGGACGACAGTCTTGATCTGCATGTTGGCGGTGTTGTGTGTGTGTGTGTGTGTTGGAAAGAGTGTCGAAGGAGTTTGTATGTGATTAAAGGCTTTGGCGAAACAAACAACTTTTGTTACAGGCTGACGAAAGTGATGATGACTTGAGAAACTGGAGAGAGAGACCAGGCGGGAAAGACGAGGAGGGCCGGGGACGCCCCTCGAGTTATATGGGATCTGGCGATCCGAATATGGTCACCATGCTCGTCCAAGCCTGGAAGTGTTTTCGACTCGAACTTCGAGACAACTCCACCAAGCCCACCTACGGGGATGTTGTCCCCTGGCAGCCGTAGCCCAGGGTCGGGAGCTTGAGGACCCGCCTCGCGGGTGTTCCTGCGCAGTGCGGCAGGGGTTGGACGCGTGAGGACCCCTGCATCGACCTCCAATGATGAGCAGTCCGTCGGTTGCTTGGACCTCGTGCTTGTCTCGTGGGTGCCATTGATGGCGATGCCAACGGGGAGCTAGCGGAGCGCCGCCTGGCAGTCCGGTGCCCAGCTCGACTCGTCGTCTTGGCAGCAAGATGGTGTTTCCCCATTGTTTTGCCATGGAGCTGATGATCGACAAGCCGACGGAGCCTGCTGCAGACGGTGCCGTGGAAAGTGGATGGACTGTACGAATGTGCCCCCCCCACCGATACGACGATGGACCTCACCCTCCGGTGCGGAGGACAAGCAACCATGGACGTTGCGAAAGGGGGGCTGCCGGGCTCAGGGCCGTTGGGGTTGTCGTAATAATTGAGAGTTTGGACGATCGCACTTGACAAGCCCAGTCGCGTGGGCAAGGGGCCTGCTGGAGCTTGTCCGTGATGACCATGTTGAAGGAAAACCGCCTGGATAACTCCACAGAGGTTTTTTTGAGGGGCGAGCTCCTCCAAATTCCCACCGTGCGCACCACCAGACCCAGGCAATCAAGCTTCATGCAGGGGCTGGCATCGTCGACCAGGGGTGTCCCTGGTAGCTCAGGAACATGGCTAAGGGGCACGCATCCCGGAGGCGTGCTTGAATCATGGCAGCATTGCGTAGTGTGGGGGAGGATAGAGGGAGGCGGCCTGGCTCTCGCTGCCGCGATTACTCAATGCATACCGTACTGTACCTTCAGGCTGATCCTCCGCAGTTGCTGTGTTTCACGACGGCGATCTTTGAGCTTCAATGTGAGAAGCACACGGCCCGTTGGTCGTGGCGGCTGTGACCGAGACCGGGCGAAACGGGGGCGGATGGAGGAGGGCAAGGGGGAAAAAGGTGGAAGAATGGATGGCGTGAGCACAGGGGCCCCAGATACGGGTCGGCCCAAGTTGCGTGCAGCTCGGCCGGCAGGGCAGGGCAGGGCAGCAAAACAGCACAAATGCCTTCAGGTACGCCGCTCATCATCAGTCACGCCTACTAATTACTGTCCTAGGTGCCCAAAATGCTCACCCCTGAGATCGCCACGGACGGACGACTTGACGCTGCTGACATGATCTTCCCTTTTGCTAGTCATGACCAGCGTGATACGCGCACAACCCACACCACTTTGCGCACAGCACGGACTGGCGCGCGCACACGCCTGCCCACTCACTCATCCTCGCTTTCCTCCGCTTCGGTGCTCGGATGATCCTTGCACCCATGGGGGGACTACAATACGCAGTAAATCATACAACCTGCTCGCTATTGCAATCGTGGGATCCGCATCTTCCCACCGGGACGGGCCCTTCCTCTTCATGTCTTGTTCTGTTTCAATGATGGGATCGCGACTTTGCAAGGTCATCCCCGTGCTCCGCTCCCGCTATACGGAGCACGCAGTATGTACAATGGCACCAACAAGCAAGACGGCTGTCCAGGGTTAATAGCCACTGCCCTGTCTGTCCATTGCTGAGGTGCGTCGTCTGCCGGCAGCCGAGAGCGGCACAGCACTGCCGAGCAGAGTCCCTCCCACCAGCGCAACGGCGCCTTCCGAACGCCTCCTCCTGGGCCATGACAACATAACTTCTGCCGAGAAAGGAGACTCAAAATCACGCCGGCGGGCTACTAGTGGTTGACCTAAGACAGGACTGGATAGCAACCTGCGTGGACAATTATTAGCATCTGTCAAATCAGCTTAGTAGCGCCGGCGCGGACCCTTTGTCTAGTTCGTGCAGGACCCCCCCCCCCCCCCCCATACTAAAACCTCCGAGCGGGCAGTCTGCCCACAGCCTAGGGCGTGATGGTCCAGTAATTACTGCATGGCCCCTTCGGAGCAAGATAATACAGCACAGGCAGAAGGGAGCTTTTGAACGAACCACGAGTGGCACAAGTGGAGAAAGCTGTTGTGGATACCTGTGCTGACCAGGTGACATGTCACCCAAGAAGTGTGCCAGGCGTGGCCATCCGAACTGGTTCGAAGCAGCAACATCCACAGCCGTCTTTATGATTCTTCATCTAAGTGTTGATTTGAGTCTGTATTGAATGAAAAGCAGCGCGACTTGGGATAGATAGAGTGGATCAGTCGCATGGCGATTTTCTTTCCTTTATAGCATCTACACACGGAATGATCCTTCATGATACACCAATGTCCTCAGCGAAGCAATCTAGCGAGAGACGAACTTCAGAGCAAGACACGCCAGAAAATGGACGTGTTTGGACCCCAAGTCCACTAGGAAGGACGCAGAGTCATGGAACTGATATACTATACCCGTCAAAGCAGACACCTTCTCTAAAGTTAATGAGCGAATAAACCTTAATATTCACAGAGATGCGCGTGCCTGGTGAAATCGCTTCCAGGACAGCGAGCGACCTGGTACGAGCCGAGATGGCCCTGTCATTGTGCTTTGTGCCAAGCTTTCCCCGCATATGGTGTCCTCCATGCCTGCACACACACTGCAACAGTGATCAGGGCAGGCAATTGGCTCGCTTGCACCATTTGCCTGAGAGAACAAGCCGTGATGCTACAATACGAACTTTGCGACTTCAGCAATCAATGACTGGGCAAATTGTCATGTGCACAGAGACTGACTGGACTCACGGCTTGCCTGCGGACCAGGGACCCAGACCATCGCCACCCTCCAGGTAGTAGTTCTTTTGATGCTTCTCCTCACCACAGTGACCAGCTCACTTTGTGCAAGCAGGGGTTTCACACCCAATTATGAACGGATGGACCGTGCGCACAGCGGGGAGTCGGGCAAGTGCCGCGTCCGCACCACCATCAGCCCAGCACCGTCATTTTCTCCGGAGAGCGCGATACGCGAGGGCCCAGGTAATGTCAATGCGGCATAAAGCCTGCCTCTCTGTCGTTAGCCCAATCCTCCCCCGGTCTTTTCCCAACAACAATATCAGACATCGGTATCGCCAGCACCAATAAACATCTGCTCCTTTTCGGTTTTTTCACGTGATAATCGGAGTCTCATCTCGTCTCGTTCGTCACCGCCACTGCATAGTGGGAAGCGACTTTCGGCTGCCTCTTTCCCACATTTCGGCCCGCACCGCTGAATGGGGATAATTCCCCAGGCAGCGGGGGGCGAAAAGCGAGAAGTGAGGTCCGAACTGGGGGGCCTTTGCGCAACGCGTCGTGAGTATTCGCCTGACTTATATGGTAGGCTTCGGTCAGGACTCGTTATTAGTCCCCGAACGCTTGTGCGCGACCACGCAGGACTCCCGAGCTGTTAGCTCCAACGGGGGTGGAATCGTTCCTGAAAGCTTATTATTGCGTTGGAAAAAGAGCTTAGGCCTCTCAACAATGGCGCGGTGGTAGTCTGCGACTAAGCGCCTCAACTGACCGTTCTTCCCCGCCACCACTTTCTGCATCCAGTACTGTGGCTTGCAGGAACCTGGGAACCTGCAGTGCTGGTTGGAGTGGGTGCGCGGAGCGAGGCCCGAAGCGAGAGTGGCTGCCCTCCCACTACTGCAGGGGCACACACACACACGCACACGCGCGCGCACACATCCACGTATAGTACAAAGGCACATGCGTGCGCGAGCGCCGAAGCGAGCTCGGGAGCCAAGAGGGTTCCTGGATCTTATCTGAGTTGTGATAAGACTTGCAGCAGGGATCGATACGGTGAGGTTGTATTGATGTGATGTTGCTGGTTGGCTCGCCGTCTTCGAGAAGGCGCAAGTCCCTGCTTTGGTGTGAACGCCTTGTCGGCGACCAGGCGCGCACGCATTGTCGGGCTGACAGGAAGGAGAGAGCAGAGTCGGAGGCGGCGCTCGTCCGGCTGGGCCAGAGCTTCGACCGTGAGATCGACCGGTGTAGCAGGCGGATCGGCCAGGTCCCCGTCGAGACGCTCTGCTGAGGAGCGAGCCGCGACCCGCACCGGCCATCGCCGTGGCCGTTTAGCGTTAAGCAGGAGGTACAGACGATGGAGAAGTCCCGAAGCTACTGGCGACGCTATCTCTGCTACTGCATACGGTTTTCCGGCTCGGCCGTGCGGAGGCGAGAAGGAAGCACCAGGTCCAGTTTACCGACGAGCAGTGGGCCGCTCTCGAGGCCGTCACGGAGGCACTCGATAGAACAAAGGAGAGCAGCTCCCGGGAGGGCAGCGACGACGACGACAACAGCGAATATCTAGACGAAGCCGTCTTTACGTTCTGTACTGCGTCACTAACACAGCAGATACTGATCTGGCCGTACGTAAATCCGCTACTACACTTGACTAAGGTAGTTCAAGTGTGAGTGAGAATGGTACTTAGATTGATCGCTGAAGTGTGAAGGTAAGGACTGTCTGGTCAAGGGAAACTGCCCGTCGTGGCACTGCACAGTTCCTTCATCGCACTGCGCAGTTCTCTGGTTGCACTGCGCAGTTCCTTCGTTGCACTGCGCAGTTCCTCCTGGTCTTGGCGCAGTGCCATGGTTCTGCTGACTCATCGCGTGTTCCTTATGTAAGCGTCTTCCTTTGTCGCCTGACCTGCCCTTGTCCCTGGCCCGTTCGTGCGACCTTCTTGTTTGTGCTGCCTGCAGCCCAAACACTCGACCCTGCTTGTTGGTCGTCACAGTGTGTTAGTTAAGTATTTCAGTGGAGGTCTAATTTTGGGACCTGTGGCTTTGCAGGCCTGCTTAGTTTGTACCTTGAAGGTACAGTCGCTAGCGAAATCGGCGGCCGCTTTTACTCACTGTCCAATTGTTTAGACCCGTTTTTGGGTCTCTTGACGCGAAATGTTCAGCATAGTCCAGCACAGTGCTTCACTGGCCTGCTGACCTACGCCGAAAGCAGGAAGAGCAAGCAAAGGCCTTTCCGCCTCGTGACAGGGGCTTGCACGTGGTCTTTTCACTGGCTTAACCATGACTTTAGGATACTAGAAAAGAGCTGAAGCGATAGAATCAATTGACGCAGCATTATTATAGTAATTAAGGCTACAGGTGGTTGTTCGTTCTTGTCAAGCCGACGTGCGGCTAGATGCACACATGCACACAGAGGCCAGGTAGGAGCAATGAACTGGCAGAAAACGTAGGTAGGCTCTTATTGCAAAGCTGAAGCTTGAAGGTTTCAAAGAGGCCCCTCGGCTCGAAACGCGAGGCGCGGCACAACATGGACGGTATCCATGTTGTGTACGCAGCCATGGACACGCGGGACAAGTTTCCATGGCCTGCCGACAAATTAGGTCTTCGATAGGACATCCTTTTCAGGGATCTTCATGAGCGCTTCACGGCTCACGAGATCGAGTGCATATGGCAGTATGCCAGCAATTCCGACTCCTTTGGCTGCAAGTGAGACATTCTCGTATTGCTGCAGCCTGAGATCGTGGCCGTATGGCCCCTCGAGCATCACCACATGCTTACGTCTGTCTTGCGATAGCAGTGGTGCGATCTGCCCGCGGGCCTGCATCAAGAGGAGCAGACTGGCTGCTGAAGCCGGAGAAGATTCTGGTCCGTCCCACCAGGCCACATTCATGGCATATCCGTGAAATGGCATAAGTGACCGGCCTATGTAGAGGTAAAAATAGCATCCGGGAAATACACGCGTTGGCCTTTCCGTGTCCCAACAGGAAGTTGAGGTACCGAAGATGGGGTCAACCCTCTGAGCCCTCAGGACTTTGACCGCGACGACCTTCTGTGGTAGGGTGGACAGCTTTGCCACAAACACCGATGCGCCTTTCGTCAAACCGGCACGGCGAAGACGCTGGATTGTGTACTCCGGCTGACCATTGTCGCTGATCTGCAGGACCCGGCCATCTTCACGCAGCGCGGAAGAACAATGAGCTGCAGGACTGGCGACTCGCGAGAGCTCAGGTTGTAAATGCCCCTGAAGCGTCACAGCCAGGGTGGCATATGAAGCTTGTGGTGATGGCAGAAGTGGTGCAATTAAAGGAGGGCACCGCTGGTGCGCGGACCACGGGGGGAAAGGTAGTGGCCAGGCGATTGGGTAATCCCCTGTTTGGGCCAAAAGGAAAGGACAAACAAGGCCGCAGCACCAGGCCATGGACAAGAGCGGGGGCTGCGAAGGAGTCATGGGCCGACTTACGTAAACATCTCATTATGTCAGCAAGACGGATATGTGGATATGGGATCACCAACATATCCAACGATCCATGGCCACCATGGAGTAACCACGATGAAAGACAAATGACTATATAGCTTGGAGGATTTCCTTGACCAGACAGTCATTACCTTTGTACTTCAGCGATCAATCTAAGTATCAGTTTCACCACACACTTGAACTAGTCACTCAATTGCCGAGACTGGTATCTCTCCCAAGAGACACGACAACCCATCGAGAGAGAGCGACAGCAGGAGTTAAGTGAGATTGCGAAGGCTTTACCTATCTTCCAGAACAGCAACCCCAGCGCCCTGCCAGACGGTTGACCCCGGAGGCAGGATCGTGACAATGTCCTACATGGGAATGAGAGGGACGTCGAGGGATGCACGGTCGGCATTACATATGTGGGGCATGTTGAACCCTGAAAACTGACTCAAATCCGGGGTGGAATAAGACAGTAGGGTTCCTTAACTAGGGAGCTTACCCTGCCCATCATTCAGGGCGGTAGTGACCGTCACTACCAGGGGCAAGTTGGGGTAGCGCCATAGTGAAGGCTGAGTCAGCGGGCTGGGGTTTAGCTCTAGTGGCGGCCACTACCATGACAGTCATTACCAGGGGAAACAAGGGGTGAGCGCCCCCTTGCCTCAAACCCTGGGACCCGGGGTAAGGACTAGGGGTTAAAGGGGGCTGCGCGAGGGAGTAATTGAGGGGAGAGAGTGAGAGAGGGAAGCAGGCGACACGTATTTCCTGCTTTGCAAAGTACGCTTCACTGGTTGAGCTGCAATACATTCGGCCGTGGCAATGACGACTACAAGCACCAGCGTATCGGCTATGGCAGTGCGCTACGAGTCTGACGGCGGCGTTACTGGGGGCCAGGTCGGTCTGCTAAGCTGGTCTGCGAGCAGCGGCGGCGGCAGTGGTAGCGGTAGTCTAGAGCACCGGGTCCTCATCTGCATGTCGTGTAAGGTCGGGATTCGGCCAGGCGACGGCGTACAGCTACACTTCTGGCGGATCCACCGTCTAAAGGGCGAGGTGATGCGACAGATCCTCGATTACAGCTGCACGGCCGAGCCGATCGCCGACCCGCAGGCCGTCCCGGTAGCCGCCGACGGTTCGCCTTACGTGCAGCAGCTGCCAATCGTCGACGGCCTCAGCTGCTCGGACTGCCGCTTCCTTACGACGAGCCGGAAGCTAATCAGGGTCCACCGCTCGCAGCCAGGACACGACAGTACCTGGAAGGAGGTACGACTTCAGAGCTTATCGCGAGGAAGCCGCGCTCGGTACTGGGTAGTCGAGCAAGTACAGGGTAGCATAGGACCTGACGGGACGACTAGCCTAAGGTCCACCGCCTCTGGCTCCCCTCAACGTCTACTAGCGGACTGTCTTGCGAGATACGAAGAAAGCCTGGCGGCCGAGCCCGAGGAGACACGCCGGATAGTTGATAGCCGGACAGGACCAAACTTCGAGTCAACCTGGGTTCGCGAGATGGGCTGGGAGGACGCGCCGGAGTTGGGAAGACCACCTTGTGCAAGAAGATTGTCCATGAATTCAAGCAAGGCACATGGGTCGAATGGAAGGAATTATTTGACCGCATCCTTTGGGTGCCTCTGCGAAACTTGAAGCTGGAAGAAAGACGCCGCGAGCCTGCGTACGACTTTACGCGTCTCTTCCGTCATGAGTATTTCTCTCTGCCGAACAACAGACCGGACCTCGCCAGAGAATTGTCCCGTGCTTTGGAGACCGAGAATCGCAAGACGCTATTTCTCCTCGACGGCCTGGACGAAGTATCCCAGGACCTGTCTGGCGACGACAGTATGTCCCGCTTCCTCAATGAACTTCTGAAGCAGCCGAACGTCATCATCACGTCCCGTCCATCCGCGAAGCCTCCGCCTGCCCTGGATCTCGAATTGGAAACGATTGGATTCTACCAGATCAAGTAAAAGCTTATATCGAAAGAGCCTTCACCAATCGAGACACGGGTAAAGTTGACTTGGAAAAGACTGAAAAGGTTCAATCATTCCTTCAAAGCCATTGGCTTATCCAAGGTCTCGTGCGAATCCCAATTCAGCTGGATGCGCTTTGTTACACCTGGGACGATTTCGATCCCGGGAGTGTGCCGGACACGATGACTGGCATGTACAAAGCTATCGAGCAGAAGTTGTGGAAGAAGGATGCCGTGCGGTTGGGCAAGACGCACAGCGGGCAACCCGTAACGGCTGCTCAGATTGGGACCTCAGACCCGAAGTTTCTCGTCGAGGATGAGATCTACTTCCTTGAACGCCTTGCTTTCACCGGACTGCATAACGATGTAATAGACTTTACGTCAGAGCATCGGGGCGCTATACCCAACAAGCTACTGCTCGATAAGACGCTTCCACAACTCTCCTTCTTGCGCACATCAGATCCATCACCAAACGTCAGGGACCGAGAATACCACTTTACACACCTGACCTTTCAGGAGTACTTTGCGGCGCGGTGTTTCGTACGACATTGGAAGGATGACAGCCAGCTCGAATATGTCTTCAAGAAGCAGAGCAATACCCAGTCTGATAGCCCGACGGATCCTGCCAAATTCTTTCGGAAACAAAAGTACTCAGCACGCTATGATGTCTTTTGGCGCTTCGTTGCCGGCTTGCTTGACGCCGAAAAGGACAATAAGACGCTCCAATTCTTCAAGATGATGGAGCAAGAACCACTTGACCTTTTGGGCCCTACGCATCAACGGCTAGTCATGCATTGCTTGAGTGAGGTGTCCGGTGACCTTAAAATCCGAGGGGACCTAGAAAACATGCTATCAAAGTGGCTGCTGTTTGAATGCCGATTCAGACAAAGCGCACTACTAGCAAGTGAGGTGGAATTCCCTGAGAAGGCGTTGGACGCTGTCTTACGTGAAGGGACCGATACAATGGTGATAATTCTGAAGTCGCTAGCAAGACGAGCCATACTTCCGCCGAGCATCCTCACAGCCATAGTAGCGCGGCTTGAGCATCAGAACAGGGATGTCGGCGGGCAGCAATTCAGGCCCTAGGAGGGCAGCGTAGGCTGCCGAACGAGATCCTCACAGCCATAGCAGCACGGCTTGAGGATCAGCACTGGGCTGTCCGGCTGGCAGCAATTCAGACCCTGGAAGGGCAGACTAAGCTATCGAAGGAGATCCTCACAGCCATAGCAGCGCAGCTTGAGGATAAGGACGGGGATGTCCGGCTGGCAGCAATTCAGACCCTGGAAGGGCAGACTAAGCTATCGAAGGAGATCCTCACAGCCATAGCAGCGCAGCTTGAGGATAAGGACGGGGATGTCCGGCTGGCAGCAATTCAGACCCTGGAAGGGCAGACTAAGCTATTGAAGGAGATCCTCACAGCCATAGCAGCGCAGCTTGAGGATAAGGACGGGGATGTCCGGCGGGCTGCTGGGCATATACTGCAGTTGCATATAATGTTTTACTACAGCCTTCTCGGCGGCCCTTACGCTGGTTCCTTATATAAGACCGCGCTCCGACAAAGCTTTGAGGAACAGCAGAGTTGGTATAAGTCTAGACCCCCCATTGCGACCAGTGCGCATCGCGACCAGGGGTCGCGTCGCGACGCGGTTGAGCACCCCACCATACATTTTCCCATATAAACCTGCTCAACCGCGTCGCACCGCGACCCGACCACCTGCATTGTGACCGTCAAAAAGGAAGCTATCGTCATGGTCGCAAAAGACTACCAATTGCGCGCCCTGCGCGCACTGGATGAAGTTGAGGCTGGCGTACCTGTCGCGACGGCTGCTAGACGACACGATGTCGACAGATCCTACCTACGTCGTCGCCTTGACGCGTGCCCAACCTTCAAGCAAAGGTACCAAGTCCGACAAACCCTCTCCGTGACCCAGGAGGATTATCTGGTCTCTTGGGCCCTCGACCAAGCAGCAATGGGCTATGCAGCTCCATTGAAGCAATTCAAGCACTTCGCGATGCGCCTGCTGGCTCTCGACAACCCCTCCGCACACCTCGGCAAGCACTGGTACCGACGCTTCATCCGCCGCAACCCGACCTTGAAGACCTCGAGATCACGACTTATTGAATACAAACGATACGACGGTGCCTCCAAGGCCAATATCGACATCTTCTTCGACCGCCTGACGTCATTGAAGGGCAAACGAGTACGGCCCGAGAACATATGGAACGTTGACGAGTGTGGCGTCGCGGAGGGCCTAGGTCACAATGGCTTCGTGGTCAGTGATGCCTTGCGCGACTTTACCTTGAAAAAGGACGGCGCCAGGAGCACCTGGATCACGATAATTGAGGCCATTTCTGCTGGCGGTGGCTTCATCCCTCCCCTTGTTATTTTTAAGGGCCAATCCGTGCAGCAGCAGTGGTTTCCCGACGTCGAACTTGACAGGTGGAAGCATTGGTGTTTTGACACATCACCAAACGGGTGGACCAGCAATGATATTGCTCTGAAATGGCTCAAGGAGGTATTTATTCCCAACACCAAGCCTACGGATTCTAGAGAGTGGCGATGCCTTCTTCTCGACGGCCACAAGTCGCACGCAACAGAGGAATTTATGACGGAGTGCTTCATCAATAAAATCTGGCTGATTTACCTCCCGGCTCATACCTCACATGTTCTTCAGCCACTCGATGTGGGCGTGTTCTCGGCGGTGAAGGACCACTATCGTCAAGCGGTCGCGGAGGTTGCATATAACACTATGAACGAGTCCCCAGGCAAGCGGGAGTTCCTTGAAGCATACCAAATTGCGCGCAAAAGAAAGCTCAATAAGGAGAACATCTTAGGAGGCTTCAAAGGCACAGGGGTGTGGCCTCACAATCGGTTGAAGGCGCTGGGTTCCCGCTTCGTGATGCGGGACTATGAGGAGGTACGGGAGGCCCAGCAGAATCCCCAAAATCGGGCCCAAACGACGGTTTTAGAGCCAGATTTTTTGACGCCCTTGTGCGCAATTGACGTCAAAACACCAAAAACATCTCGCGATGTCTATAAAATGCATAGGGAGTTGGTAAAGTGTGGTGTACCTTTAGGGGCGGCGACCTGCAGGAAGCTCTTCAACAAGGTCGGGAAGGCAATCGACACTTCGAACATCGCGCGCACCACCGCAGAACACCAAAAAGACCGTCTCCAAGCTGCATTAGATGCTTCAAAGCCTGCTAAACGCCGCAGAGTCGATCCGGATCCCAATAAACAGTTTGTTCAGGTCGTAAACGTGGAGCGCGCAAAGAGGCAATTGCAGCTCGAGATGGGGGCGGACTTCAGCACGGATGACGACACCGACAGCAGCGACGACGAGGTAGAGATCATTGAAGACGACAGTGACGAGGAGAGCTGCATTGAGGTGCGGATCAATTGATTTGAAGCCTTTTTAACGAATGCTTGTTCAGTTATTGCAGAGTGACCATGTGGTCGGTGATGCCCTCATGCGCAGGTTGGGGGGTGGTCGCCATGCGCACTGGTCGCAATGGGGGGTCTAGACTTAGGCTTTAGAGCAACTAGCCTAGTGCCGTACGACCCAAATTATATGATTTCGTAGCTAGATGTAACGTTTCATACGCTAACACCGCTAGGTTCCTCTACTAGACCACCACCTCCTTAGGTTTCAACGACGCCGAATGACCCAATTGAGGCCGAATCGTAGATAGAGTACATCAAAAATCGCATCATATAACACCAGAATAGCTCTCCGTTATCTATTATTGAGAGCCTACGGTAGCTTAATAAAGGAATCACAATGATAGTACACGAGTAGACCCTTATACGCCATAACCTCGCCGAACTTCGAGATACAAACGACCGCCTTGGCCGCCGTCGTCGTACGAAAAGGAAACAACTATAGAAAGGAGAGCCCCTAACGATTAATCAGGCAAAAGATTTGAAGGCTCAAATCGACGCGACGGAGCAGTTAAGGGCGGAAACGAGTTAGAATACTAGTCGTACGAGGAGGCCAGAAACGCACGCGCGACGATATAGCGTCTACGGCGAGCCCGGCTATAATACTCGTACGTGTCAGAAAGTTATATCTGCCTCTGAAGAAGAGGATTCCTCATAGTTTCAATTGATTTAGGGCGTTATGGTTGAATTATCTTACACATTGTCGTACGGGTGCCTGGAAGGTGGCTCACTCACTTGTGGATTACGTTATACAGTACATTAAAGTCAACTGCCCGGTATTCACCAACGCCGCTTTTTATACTGGATTCTAGAGCCTTTTGTCTCAAGGGCTAACTTAGTTGCGTTTAGAAGGATTCGAATGTCTTTTCGGCCCTCGCATGTGTAATCAACGGGGCGGCTGTCAACATAATCCCTTGCGCGCAGTGCCTGTAAGCTACCAGGAAGTTCTAATAGAACTTTTAGGCACTCTTCGTGATCGTTCATCACTGCGTACGTAATTGCGCTTCTCCCGTAAGCATCCAGGTAAAGTATCTTGCAAAAGCACTGGGTTTGGCCTTTCTCTTTACAATTCTTTTTGCAGTACAGCTGGATTCAGGTTTAGCGTCCCGACGTCCAGCTCGGAGAATAAGAGAAAGTGGAGCCGTGGACAGTGCACAAGAATCGTGATTAAGTATCATATTATGTAAGACCTTACCAGTCGCCAGTTCAGGCGCACATAGCTATGACTCACAAATTCCCGTCCAGCTCCACAATCCGCCAGAATCTCTCAAGCCCCGCCCCCCTCGCTTTCAAGATCTTCACATGCTCCACAATCAAAAAGACCGAAGGAGCTCGAAGCTGCTCTCGGCGCCTCTGGGAACCTTAATCGAGTGCTCAAAATGTTCGATTCATGCACTGACGCCACATTTGAGGAAGACTATGCCGATGATGATGACGAACCTTTCTACGACATTATACAGTTAGATGATATTCATTCTGAACAAGGCTCTAACCCGGCATGGCTGGCGGTTAAGCACGTACTACAGAATACTGAGAAACAGGTCCTTGACTTGGTGCAGAAGTATCAGCAAGAACTGGACACGATGAAGATCAGCTTTGAATTCGAGCATCTGGAGAAAGAATTACACATAAAACGAGACTTCAGGTTCAACAAAAGTATCCTACTCGAGAATTTGAGAGGGAGGCTCAGGCAGCTAGGTGTTGCACGAACTGGTTATGTCACGACGCTATTTGGTCCAATACAACCCAAGAAACAGTGGATAGTTCAGGAGACAGATCGTCATCTATATTCAGCCGAGGAGATCAAATATATCCAGGACATGGCAAGAAACGAGCGGTGGAAGGCAGAAATGGGGTATTATTAGATCTAATAGCTATCATACAGGGTTCAGTCCATCTTATTCTTAATATTTTCAGCCAAGTTCCGGGTGCCGAGAATTACCATGAGCATGTTCAGCTATATTAAATTAGTCACTTGAAAAGTCTGGTGATGCAGTGTTGCCCCTCATGCTCTGCACCGCCCTAACTTCCACCCTATGTGACACCATGACCTAGTGCCCCAAATACCGCCGACCTTTACAATGTGCGCCTACGGGTTGCTGTGTGGCTCGAGTAGCTCTTTTAGATTAGATAAAATGGGTTGATACGGTGTTATGACCAGTCTACGGACACGGCACATTAAAATGTTGTGAACGTCTGTCTCGAGCACTGCAATCACCTTTCGACCCCCACAGAGGGTTTTTACCCAAGGGCCCCGCCGCAGGGTCGAGATTGGCACCATCCAGCCGCCAGCAAGCTCAACCTTACTGGATGCAGCAAAGCAAGGGTAGTCAGATCTGTTGTAGGTTGACATGGATCTTTTGGCCGTGCCGGACTTGTACTGCTCATCACTGCTTCCCACTTGACTCAACTGGCTTCACGCGAGTATTGAACCCATCCATGAGATCAGCCTGACAGGCGAGGAACACTGGGCTTTCCATGTTATACTTTAGGACACCGGGATCCTTGAAGGTATTCTGCATCTGCTTGTCATGAGCGTTGCAAAGGCTGAGCAGATAATGCTTTCCCCATCTTAAGAAATACTCGTCCTTGGATAGAGCCATCTGAACAGGCGGCCTGACGGAATAGGTCTCTCCCACAGCCACTGCCGCCCTATTAGGCATATCATAATAAATATGCCTTACCAATTCGATGCCATGGTCGTCGCGAAGCGATACCAGGTGCATAGCGTCTTCGGACGCACTGAACTGTTAATGGCCCCGGATCGGACCACTGAGCCTAGAAAAAGGCCATTCGAATATTGTAACGTTAGTGGGGTACATTACGGAGTGAGTGGGAGCCGTTGGCGCACAAACCATAACTCTCCCCGACCACGCAAGAGTCCCAAGAGCGTTGGGCGTACCATCGTACGCCTGACCAGATTCAATATCCGCGGGCTGAAACAGAGGAGATTCACTCTCAGCCGGTCTGTTACGCTACCGAAACCCGGCAGTTGGATCGAATGTTCGTGGTCGGATGCACTGGACGAAGGAATGGCTGCCTACCGAGGTAGGATCGTAACCGCCCAATTCCGAAAGGCTATCGGACGGACAATCTGTACGGCGGCATGCCTGGAATGAATCACATGGCTCCGAGGCAGGACACAGGGCAAACGCCAGTTTGGGAGGCAGAACACGGGGCAAACGCCCGTTTAGGAGGCGGGCACCGGCAATTCAGCTTCCACGTTTCAAGTTCCATGACTTTCAGCAGCCAAGCTTTTCAGGGTACTACGACTCCATTTCCAACACCCCGTTTAGGAGGCGGGCACCGGCAATTCAGCTTCCACGTTTCAAGTTCCATGACTTTCAGCAGCCAAGCTTTTCAGGGTACTACGACTCCATTTCCAACACCTGACTCAATGGAGAAAAAAAGTAAGGTAGACATCTCGCATCAGAAATCTACTTTCTTGTGGTCATTCAAGCTACACTGCAACTCTCACCTACGCAATTCACATATCAGCTTCTATATCGACTCTTCCTCAAGTACAACGGTGCTTGAACATCGCTCAACATGGACTTTGGGCATAATATTCGCCGCGTTTCCATTCTTGCCTTTCTTCTGGCGCTTCAATTCATAGTCCCCGTCGACGCTGCGCCTGCCTTCACCGACGTCAAGGGCACCACCGGGCAGACTGCCGCCGCCCAGTTTCTCGACCTACGACAGGACATTCCAGGCCCTCTGGCCAAGTTTCCCAGAAGGCCCCTGAACACGCTACTGAGGATGTTCAGCAGTCTGCCCGCGGGTGAACGAGCTCTTGACGCGACACGGAAGCTTTTAACCCCGCTACAACAGGGTCTGGCCAAAGCAGTCGGTATCGAAACGACCAGGGACGACATGGCGCAGAATGCTCCTTGCTCTGATGTAACCGTCATATTCGCTCGAGGCACAACCGAGCCGGGCAACGTTGGCTTGGTGACGGGGCCACCGTTTCTCGATGCTTTATCCGAGCAACTCGCCGGGAGGTCCCTCAGTGTCCAGGGTGTTGAGTATCCCGCGACGTTTGCCGGGTTCAACAAGAACGGCACAGAAGGTGTACCGAGCATGTGCGTAGTGCATTCATTAGCTGTTGGGGTGATGGAAGAAAATCACTAACTGATTAGGACCGCCTTTATCAACCAAGCCGTCACCAGTTGCCCCAACACCAAGATTATCATGTCTGGCTACTCTCAGGGCGCTCTGGTTGTCCGTAGTACTGCCGATTCGCTGCCTGCGGACACTATGTCGAAGATCAACTCGGTGGTGACGTTTGGGGACCCGCGAAACCAGACTCCTATCACTGGCGGCGAGGGCAAGACGATGGTGGTCTGCCTCCCGGACGATGCCGTCTGTAGCGGCGGATTCATCAACATTGCTCATCTGACCTACGGCTCCGAAGCACCTGCAGCTGCCCAGTTTGTGGTAGAACAGGCTGCTAGAGCATAGAAACCGTCACGGAATGAACACAGGGGCGGCCAGGAAGACCGCGCATGGGACGCCCTGGCAGCCAATCACTCACGGATCAATCAAGGAAGGATGACGGGTGTGGAAGGCTTGGCATCGTGGGGAGCCCATAGGGCGACGGGCACCCACAGTATGTCGAAGGTCAGTTTTGTAGGGTGGGTAATCCGATTACCCACCAAGATCCGTTGTCGGCCCCAACACCCACCTGTGACGGCCCGACCAACAGGGGACGATTGTTTGGACAAGCAAAAAGGACACACACAACTAGGCCGCAGGATCAGGCCAAGGACAAGGGCGGATCATGCGGCAGGGCAAGTCACAGGTTTCTTATGTAAGCACGATAAGGATAAGGAACGGGTACGGTACCACCGGTCATACATGAACTGCATGACCGTCGTAGGTGCCAAGACCGACGGTCACGGACGAACCGCCATGACCGTCAGAAGGACAAGACATGACCACAGTGAAGGACAAAGGATATATGGACACGATGGATCTCCTAGACAGACAGTCATTACCTTTGTACTTCAGCGATCAATCTAAGTATCATTCTCACCCATCACTTGGACTAGTCACTCAATTGATTGAGAGTGGTAGAGGCACGGCAACCATCGAGAGAGAAACGATATTCGACAGTTGTGATATTGCGACAGCTTTACCTACTTCCAGAACAGCAACCCCAAAGCCCAGTCCTCGGTTGACCCTGAGGGCCGGATCGTGACATAGTTCTAGCCCCCGGAATCTACTTAGTCCCTCCAGGTTCAAACCCGAGGGGGATTCTACTCATCCACAGAAAGTCTTGCAATACAGGAGATCTCGTTAAAATTGTTCTACAGGGTAGGGACAACGGGCACCTCCTTTTTTAGCCGTAGGCTCTTAGTAGGGCTGTACAGGAGGGGCAGGGGGCTTCTTGACGCAGGAGCTAAGCGCTAGCCACGTTTATCACAGGGGGCTAGGAGCCGGAACACAGAGAGCACACGACTAGGGGCTTACAGGTGCACGAAGCCTGTAGCCAGCTAGGCGGACCCCAAGGGCTGCCAGGGGGACCAGACCTGGATTGACCTGAGCGGGATTCGAACCCACAAGCTAAACCACCCGCACAGCCCTGCTCAAGGCAAGCTGACTTTTGGTGTGGCGCCAACCAGGTGCATAGCCACTACAGCATCGGGCCATGCGGAATAATTAGTTCCCGAATAACAAGTCATTGCATTGTTGTAACCAGTTCCACAATTGTATTACTTGGAGAAGACCCTGCGAAGCAAACCTGATACCCTGTTGAAGTAGAAGCTAGCCTCGAATCTTTCGTACCAACTGAACATCCAATGGTTGATTCTAGTACATCAGCTTCTTCTCCGGAGTAACCTGTTTTGTGCCGGACGACGACTGAGAATCGAGATTACCTTTAGCTACATCCAAATAAGTGGAGGCGCTATCATAACATCTAAGCGTGGGACTAAACGAGACTTCGCGTCTACTTCAGAACAGATGCTCGTAGAACGTAACTTGTACATTGCTGCTAAGGAAGACTCGAGCGGGCAGCCATCAATTTGCCAACAGGTGTACGCGACCTTTCGCTGCCAGGTCCACCCTGCCACGTGGAGCAATACTGCTGGTAGGACAGGAAGACCAAGAAGCGATACCGCTTAAGAACACACCACTTGAAGGCATTGATTGTGCATGTTAAGCAGGGTGCCGATGTTCCCAACAGCCTTCGTGAGTAGTTGTTCGCTGAGGACCAGCAGCGTTCAGAAGAACAGCAGCGAAGAGCAACATCTCGAGCCTGTTGCCCACCAGTGAACATCGCCCACCAATGAACATCACAAATATCATACCAAATGCCGGTACCTCTCCTGCTCCGGAATTCGCGGCTGTTTCTGCTACTACATCAGGCCATTGTTATCTGCCGTTTCTCTCGAGATACCCGGCCCCCGAGACACCGCAGTGAAGGACCACTGCAACAGGCATTGTCTACAAGTGGAACGCCTATCCATTAAGCAGGAGTTCCAGAATATCTATCTCGTCATGATGGAACGTTGTCTTGACCTTGAGCAAGTGTTTGAGGATCAAGACCCGGGATTTCCCATGGAGAAGGGAGTGAAAATCGGAGTTGGCAGCTGCAGTCGTTTTGTCGACGGGCCTTGCCCTCATCGTGTGCCCGCTCATCCGCCCTCTGCGCCGAATATCTCGATCTTTTCTCTCACCAAGACCAGTGTACTTACTCGAATAGGTGCAACCGGTGGCGGGTCCATGATCTTTCAGAGGCGGAAAAGGTAACATTTCCACACAAATTGTAGCTGAGATGCCAAATATAGTTCCACGAAACCAACGAATAACAAAAAGTGAAAGCCCCCAGTGTTAAGAAATCGTTACAACAGGTAGGACATAGTAGAGTTGAGCCACGTAGGCTGCCTGTACGCTTATAGAAGGGTGGAAGAGGCGATACGGCGTTGCTAGACTAGGTATCGAAGATAGAACGCTGGGTAAGTCGGCTTATTCCTGCCACGAAGCAGGGTGAACCCTACCCTACGTTGGCCGTCATTATCATAGCGCTCGGTGAGACAGGGAGGGAAACGATAGAGAAATATGGTGGAGAGGGGCATCTCGGTACCAAGTGCCGACAGCCTGGGACAATAACTTACCCTTCTCGAGACGCTATTGAACCACTCGTGCTTATGCTCAGGGCCACTCAGATCATGATTCTCACAGACGAGCAGCACATCGGGTCTTCTACAAAGAACACGCTCCTGAGCAGTAAGGGTGGCGGGTGTTGCTGGTGGGGTTTAACAGCGATCAGGGGGATCTGCTATGTCGAACATCGGCACCGCTAACGACGATTTGCACCCCGTAGCGCATGGCCCATTGCTTCTGATGATAAATAGCTCTAATGGCTATTAAGGCATGTCCTTCAAGTCCAGAACTTACTCATCCGACTAGAGTGACTTACATAATTTGAAGCTTTCACCATTGGAGACTGGAATATCCAGCGCCATGTTCAAGATCATATTAGCCGACCTCACCAGATACTTAGTACTTTCATCATAATAACCATCTCTATACTAATTTAAGATTCTAGCCGTCGGTTTAAGGGATTTGCGAAGGGTCACTTATATAAGAGCTAGGTCTGGTACCATTCTGTACCTACTGGTTTGTTCTCATAATTACCCAGAGACCTTCACGACCGCTCCACGCCCCCATGGATCGCGTGGGCTGAACGAGCCACCATGGGAGCTGCGATTCGATCATGAGATTCACCTATCGAATGATTTCCCAACCTGAGGAAGACGGTCGCAACGAGTAAGAATGCCTATACCAGGCCCGGAAATCGACCAGCCACCTGCCTGCTCTCCACAACAATCAGCACAAGAACAATTCTCTCCAACAAGACCCCAGTTTCAGTCCGCCCTTAGGCTAGTGCGCGAGGTGATTGGGACAGATCGAAGACTTACCATCGAGCTCGTCCGGTCATACGAACGAGTCCGCCAATGGCGCGAGATATGGGGCTACTCGCCGCTCAGTTCAACTGCATTCGAATCATATCCGCCATACTCGCCTCCCCGAGAAAGGCACTCTCCGCCTATCGCCTCGCCGCCCTCGCCCGACCACCCCTTGTCGCCTGTCCCTGACCCGATCCCGAACCCACCTATCCCAGGCGACCCAGCGCCGTCAGCCGAAGTCCTGTTCGAGTGGGTGAATACTTTCGCGAAGGCTAATGGCTTCGGTATTGTTCGACGAAATGCCTACTCATATAAGGGTCGGAAGATCCGGTACTCTTTCCAATGCGATCGATTCGGAGAACCACGCCCCTCAGAGAGTACCGGTATTCGGCAACGGAAGTCTCGAAAGTGTGGTTGTAAATGGATGGTCATTGCCGAAGCACTGGAGGAGGGTAGATGGCTTCTACGACACCACGATAATTCCGAGCATAGCCAGCATAACCACCGGGCCAGTATCAAACCATCCGCCCATCCCTCCCACAGACGACTCACTACACCTATCAGGGCAACAGTCGAATCGACAAGCCGTCGGGTCGGAATTCGGGCCCGTGACGTACGCGCGATCGTCCTGGAGCAGCATCCCGAGTCATCTTTTACACGAAAGGATATCTATAACGCCAGGTCTCGTATCAGTCGAGACAAGTTGAGCGGCCACACTCCTACTGCAGCACTGATCAAGCTGTTCGACGAGATGGAGATTCCCTATCTTGTTAAGTGGGCGGATGATGAGCCAAACCGCCTCGTCGGTCTTGTCTGGACCTTTCCGTACTGCCTCCAGATGTGGAAGCGGTTTCCTGAGGTCATCAGCTTCGACAACACATACAACACCAACCGCTTCAAGCTTCCATTATTCCAAGCAACAGGACAGACCTACCTTGGTTCTGTCTACAATGCGGCGTTCGGTCTGATCGACAACGAGAGACGGGAGGGGTTCCAGTTCCTCTCTGAGACCATTCGACAGATCTCAGAGCAGCACTCTATTCGCCAACCGGACGTTATCATTACTGACTTCGACGGTCAGATGAAGGCCGCCCTGAATGATCAGTTCCCTGATGCACAGCAGCAGCTGTGCATCCACCACATCAATTCTAACGTCTTGCTCAAGTCAAAGCAGAAGTGGGTCAAGGGCCAATGTAGCAGTAGTAGTCCCGACAGCAGCAACGGGGAGGACTACGCTCCACAGGCACAGGCTGAGCTCGGCCCGAAAGACGGACAGTTGGTCAACGCGCAGACAGCTGAAGTCGTCCCTCATAGCCATCGAGGGGTTCTCATGATGTGGAAGGTCGTCTTGTTTGCGGAGACAGAGGAAGCTCACGAGAAGGCGTGGGGAAGCCTCTGTAGGGAATTTGACGATCAGCGGGCCATCCTGCGGTATCTCCATGGAACCTACATGCCTGTCAGGGCGCAGTGGGCACGATGTTTCATTCGCAACTATCGCAACTTCGGCATCCGCGTCACATCTGGGACAGAAGCAAGCAACAACAACATCAAGAGCTATCTCCTGAATGGTATGAGCAATCTCTATCGGCTTATCGAGGCTATGCAGGACATGATGAAGGACCAGGAGCGAGATTTCAACGACGCCTGCGCAGCGGACGAGGTACTTACCGCGCGAGAGTACATAGGGTCCAGCTCGGAGTATCTAGGCGAACTCCGGACAGCACTCTCTTCGAAGGGTCTCGGGCTGATCAACAAACAATATCGGCTAGCAAGGAAAGCAATGCCGACGGGGAAGAATCCGTTCCCTGACCCCATTGGCGATTGCAGTGAGGACTGCTCGGTTTCGACCGAGCTTGGAATCCCCTGCTGCCACACAATCTACTCAAAGCTGGTGAGTGGCACGCCTCTCACCAAATGGGAGGTCCATCCTCGGTGGCGCCTACGAGAGCCATCCTCTCGAGATCCATACCGACGAATCCTCGACCCTAAGATCGCCACTGCTCTCCGTGGCAGACCTAAGAACACCACACAGGCTGTTCCAGCGCGGCTAGCCATTGAGGCAAGCAGCCAGCCGAGTAGCCAACGAGCCAGCAATCCAGCAAGCCAAGCGACAGGGCGCAGACGAGGTCGACCACCAGGAAGTCACAACAAGTCAACGCTAGCTAGGCTTGCTCTGCAAGCGAGCCAACAGGCCAGCAGCCAGGCTCGTAGCCAGGCCAGTGCCTCATCCCAGCGCCAGACGCGCAGCCGGTCAGCTGTTCTTGGAGCTGGAAGAACTACAGGAGTACGTGCCAACGGACGGAAGACGCAATCTAGCATTCGCAGGCGAAGGAGTCAGTGGGAGCTGCTTGACAGCGACGAGGAGGTTCTTCCATCTATAGTAGTTAGAGGATAGAGATATAGATAGCTGCCCTCTAGGGCGTGCTGGAATTGGCCGTGTTCTGTATTGAAAACCAGACCTTGTTTTGATATACGCCTAAGACCTGCTCTAGAGGCCTGGTTGACCTGGTTGGTTCTGACTATACCGAAAGCACGGCCTTGTTAAGAGAGCTTGCTTCACCGCCTTTGCACTGATGTACCTGTGGGTCGAAGGAAAAAAATGAGCGAATCAGAGGCGATAGAAGTCATGCCCGTGTAAGAGTCATGCCCGGGTAGCAATTCTTCATGCCCGTGTAGTAATTGCCCCTCAATATGTGAAAAGTATGGCGAATACGTCCTCGCTGCATTCCGAATACCACACGACACATCCGATTAGACGCACGCAACTTGCAGATGCTGTTATCCTCAGCATACACACTCGCCGCAATACCCACCTGCCTCCGAATTCCGCAATCACAATCCGATCGCCACTTGTCACCATCAGAGCTGGAATTGCTCCCTCGAGTTGGATCGAGATCAGCTCCGAACCTCGATTAGCAAAGACAACCGGAGCTTGGGACCGTAGTTTGCTTTCGGCCCCATCATGGAAGCTGCAGACGTGGTCCCATTCGCAGCCATACTCAAGAAATAGTAAGTAGAAGTTTGAGGTTATTGAACCGCGGCGCATAGAGCGGGTCATGAAAGATACGTCACGTCCTCGCTCGACAATAGGCAAGAAGGAAAAGGTAATGCGATGCGAGGTGGGCATCGCTCGAGAAAGAGGCTATCTGATTCTTTTAGACACAAGGTGGAAAAGCCGCGTACGTCTGACAGGCATCTCCTGGTACTCGCCGGAACGTGGATGCGCGGCGGCCCGTTGTAGGAGCGCGATGGACGGGTCCACGAGCTTGCAGTTTGCGAATGTCGCTTTTGCGCGAGCGTTGTCGACGATTTAGGACGCATCGTCGCATGAAGGGAGGTGCTTGTGAGAGCCGCGTAGACATTCTCGTTCCTAGGGCTAATCTTTCAAAGCGGAATCCTGACCATGTTCGTCTACGGCATGCAGTCATGCCGTGCCCCTCCTGTATTTTCTCTGTCATATTGGCCACAACCGCCTTCTGGCGCTTCAGGATATGACCCAGAACCAACTAATCTACCATGCCCCAACACAGCGCCTTCCCGGTGAGCCCGTCCTCGAGGCTCTGCGGGTTGTCCCAGTCGGCCTCGTCGGTCATGTCGACCTTGAGCTGCTGGACGACCAGCCCTCGGATCGTATTTTGCGGCACGGTATTTCGTCCAACAATGGAGGAATAACAAACAGCTCGAATACATCTTTACGCCACGGAAGCACGACGTAGTGACCGACCCTATCAGTTTCCTTCGATCCCACAAGTACGTAGCCCGATACGATGTCTTGTGGCGCTTTGTTGCCGGCTTGCTCGACGCCGAAAACGATGATAAGACGCTCCGGTTTTTCAAGATACTAGAGGAACCACCACTCGACCTTTTAGGCCCTATGCACCAACGACTCGTCATGCATTGTCTAGCCGAGGCGTCCGGATCCGTCGAAATCAGAGAGGAGCTAGAAAACCGACTGTCACAGTGGTTACTGTTTGAATGCCGATTCACAGGGAAATCACAGCTAACCAGCGAGATGGAATTCCCCGAAAGGGCCTTGAGCATCGCTTTCAACGAAGGATCAGATGTGATAGAAATAATTTTAAGGTCACTGCAAAGACGAGCTATAATACCGCCTGGAATAATAGCAGCAATTGCAGCGCGGCTCGAGGATCAGTATCAGGATGTCCGGGGGGCAGCGATTCAAGCCCTTCGAGCGCAGTCAGCACTACCGACAGAGACAGTCACGGCTATCGTAGCACGGCTCGAGAATGAGGATTGGGGTGTCCGGCACACAGCGATCAAAGCCCTTCACGCGCAGTCGGCACTACCGGCAGAGACGGTCGCGGCTATCGCAGCACGGCTCGAGGATGAGGATAAGGATGTCCGGTGGGCAGCGATTCAAGCCCTTCAAGCCCTGTCAGCACTACCGGCAGAGACAGCCACGGCTATCGCAGCACGGCTCGAGGATTGGGGTATGGGGCGGGCTGTTAGTGATATACTTCGCTTACACACAACGCTCTACTATACCCTTCTCCGCGGCTCTTACGCACATTTGTTGTATCGGACCGCTCTTAGGGAAAGTTTCGAGGAACAACAAAGTTGGTATATCGATGGATCCCACTTCTACGTCAGCACGCCAGAGCAAATAACGGAATCCCCGATTCACCCACCAAGGATCAACATCGGGGCTATGTTCGGAGAAGTGAAGGCGCCAAACATGTCTCATCTGTTAGCTAGTTGATAATACTTAAGCTTACTGTCTTATTCCTCCCCGGATCATTCAAAACCAATGGACCCGCGCGCCCCACACATCCGAGAGCATCCCTGCGCACCGCGGAGTCTCTCTCATTCTCTTCATGGACATGTCATGTTCTACGAAACGTCCGTGCACGTAGCAGGTCCTTCTCAATCCAGCCCCTTTTCCGGCGGCTTTGGGTCTACACTTTTTACCTCAGGGTTACGGTCTTTTCCCCAGAATCCCCACGAAATGTGATCTACCAACAGTCCACAATACCCACAGCAGTAAGACATCCGCGAGCGCTACGATGCGGGATTAGTCTCCGACTAACTCAGTAGCGACGCCGGAGCGCCATAACAAACCTGATCAGGTCTTCACATACCTACAAGTTTACGCCGAACTAACATACAATGTCCTCATATGCTGCCGACCCGATTGCCGACACGCCATTACACCACACGGAGCCCAGGTTACTGCACACCTCTGGAACAAGCACCGCGTCCCTCTAGCGGATCGTCTAGGACTTATAGAGCATATACACGACAACTACTCTTTAGGGCTTACGTAATCCTATAGAGGCAGATCTGCCGCCCTGTGGTTCCAGACCTCATCCCGACCTCCAGACCTACGACGGCTTCAGCTGCCGTAAATGCGCATTCTTCACAACGAGCTTCCACGAGCTTACGAGGCACCTTTCGCAAAGCCACCTCGATGGGCAAACCGCGACCCGACCGCGCATTGGCCTACTCTACGACGACGTTTACCTACAATCCTGGGCGGGCGGGCCGAATCGACGATATTGGACCGTCACCGATAGATGGGAGTACAGTTCGCCCAGTTTCTGGCCGCATAGCTAAACCGAACCCTCTCGAGACCTCCGAACGGCCTGTTTTCTCGAACTACGATACAGCAAGAAAAGATCCAAACGATAAGTGTACTGCTATCACCCAAAGCAAGCCATGGCTAGATCGGACGAGATGGCAGCAGATCTTCGAGGGCGCGAACTATGCAGTACTAGTAGCCCTTATAGCTTTGCCCTCGAACCCACCTACTTCACTTCGACACCTCGGAAAAGGGCTTCATCCTACAGACGCTCCCTATATTAGTACACAGGCAGACGAGATTAAGATCTCAGGGCTCGTTGCTATGTTCGAATGAGTAATCTCCCGCTGTGAGGAGACTGCCCGAGGAACATCTTATTCGGTCCTTCGCTAGTTTCGGAGCATGAATCCCGACAAGATCTATCCAAAGCGATTCACTCTAGTATCGGCCAGGGCAAGCCGATTTAAGTATCTCCGGATCTTTCAGCGTTTCATAGCCTTCATCTTCCGTATCTACCGCCTACCAACCTTCCAATATCAAGACCTTGTCTCCGTTCGATTTGACTCAGAGCAGCAGCAGCTACTTCATGCTATCTGGTCTCATGAGGCCTGGGGCGATGAACAGCTCCTTCGGTGGATCCTAGCCGGGAAGCCCGCTCGTCAGCTACGGCTAACAGCTAAGGATGAACAACCTACGGTAAAAGCAAGCGAGAATACAAGGGACGACGAAGAACGGAAACAGTCCGATGCGATACCCTCATCAGCTAGATCCAGGTCGAGGAAACGCTCGTTTAATACCTATCGGCAAGCCTCTCAGGCGTACCCGAGAAGTCAGATAAAGGACGAGGAGGAGGGCGAGGAGGACGGGAACGAGGAGGATGAGGAGGATGAGAACGAGGAGGGGGGGACGACGACGACGACGACGACGACGACAACGCGAAAAAAAGCGGTAATTCCAAAAAAGACTTTAGCGACTCGGAGTTCAGCGACGGACAGAGAGAGACGGAAGATGAGGTCCAAGACGCGAGTACACGGAGGAATCAGGCGCTCATCCTTACCCCAGCGCTGAGCCAGCTTCTCGAGCTACTATTCAAGCTATCCGTTACTTTCTGTACGGAAGACTTCGCCGACGGCCATCCCAGCTCAACTCACCTCGTCTACTTTAGTAGCATTCTTGGGATCCATCCAGACGGCGGGGGCTTTCGACCGGCAAGGCTTTATACGTCATACCTTTCAGCCTTGATCTATATACAGCGACTTCTCTTTCTGGAATATGCCCTCCCTCTTCGGGCATACGAGTACATCGGGATCCCCCGGCGACTACGATATCGGCAATTCGAGCGGCTCGATACAGTACGGCATAGGTATATGCTTACTAAGTCGATGACGCCCCTGACCGAGATGCTAAGCCTTCGTGACTACGGAAGAGTGATCGCTAGGACACCGTCATTCTTTCTCCACTGGAGCGACGATCTCCAAACGGTATCATACGGGGACTCATTTACCATCACTATGGACACCTTCCGACAGTTATCAGAGCACTTCATCGGGCACGCAGAGGAGCTTTGCGAGCAGCTCATGCTTGGTCTCCAGGTGGACGTTCATCTTGAGAGAGTCAAAGACGACCTCGTCAATGCGAAAGATGGGTTCAGTTTCATCAGCCACCCGCATAACAAACTGTCCCACGCCCAGCTACTTAAACAGGCCTGCACTCCGTATTCCGGACTGTTCGACGAGAGCCACGGGACATGGAAAGTTACCGCAGTCGCCCGCTACCAGAAGACAGCAGAGAGGCTGCTCGAGTTCCTTGCAGGTTGTTTCCATACGACAAGCGGCCAGACTGGTCGGTCATCGGAGCTCTTCAGCCTTACATACCAAAACAGCGCTTTCGGTGAACGCGGACTATACATCCACAATGGCTCAGTCATGACGCTCACACGGCATCACAAAGCAAAGCGTTCAACCAATCGAGAATTCAACGTTGTACGCTTCCTTCCTCTCCGAGTCGGCCGGGTTATATTTCGATACCTTGTCTACATCCGTCCTTTCCTTACAACGCTTGGTAAAGAGCCGGTCTCCAGCCAGAGATCGTTATCAGGGCATATTGTCTCGCCGCCCCTACTCTTCAGCTCGGGAGTAGACAGATCAAAGCCTTGGGACGCGTCAAAGCTCGCGGCTATCTTTAAGAAGGCGACATCCGTCTGCTGGGATACCTGTGTTAATCCTCAGATATACCGACAAATCGCTATTGGTATTACCGAGAAGCACGTCATCGAGATTGCTACGCCATTCAACCGGTATGACGACCTTGGCCCGAATGCGAGCATCAATGCCGTCTTTGCCTGGCAGAGCAGCCATCGCCCTATTCAGCGCGCAACTACATACGGACTCGACGGAGCTTTCCCTTCGCAACTTCAGCCAGCCCTTATCCGCATCTATGAGTGGGCGTCCTTTCGCTGGCACGAGTTCTTACATCAACCGAGTCGACGAATGCCTCCAAACACCCGCTCGTCGTACGACGAGCTACGACCGCTTGTTAGTAAGAAGCAGGACTGCCCTCAGCTGGAGGGTTTGCAAGACCAAGACCTAGGAACAAACGAAGACAATATTGAGACTGAAGCGACAGTACGAGCGATGATCCGTCCACCAACCCGTCCACCAATTCAACCGGTTGATAAACTGGTTTATATCGACACGACCCGCAACGTTACTATCTGTCTCCTCTGCCGGCTGGGAATTAAACCAGGTAACGGTACTGTTGTACATTTCCGGGGCAGACACAGTATGAAGGGAGATGAGCTCCAGGACATTCGCAGAATTTGTTTCCAACCTACGCTTGTCGATCCGTTTAGCATTCCGGTCCCGGACGACAATACTTCACCATTGGACTATTTACCGATCTTGAGAGGGTTTAGCTGTACAGGTTGCCGCTTCCTAACAATCTCTAATAAGAACATACGTAAGCACTGGAGAGCGACGCATTGGAAGGGGATGCAGTTTGACGTGGTACCCGACGATATATATAGCACTGTACAGTTACAGAGCTTCGGGGTACACTCGCGTGCTCAGTACTGGATAGTTAAGAGCGATATTGAGGGAGAAGATACTATAGAGTAAGAGTAGTTTAGAAGGATAGTAGAGATAGTAGAATCAAAGTTTCATTACGCTATTTGTATAACCTAAGTTAACGTTATATAAAGCAGAGAGTAAAGCACGGTCGTCTCTACAACCCGGAGTCGAACCGAGGACTCCGCTTATAAGGAGACGGCGTATAAGGAGGCAAAAGAGAGAGAGCAAGCCCCGAGGGACGAAGTTGGCTTTCACCGTTCGCATAAAGGGAGAGCATGGACATAGCGAATTTTACGTGGAGGAGCGGCGATACACATACTGCGCAAGGAGGTGGTGGTGTTGGGTACAAAACGGTTCGGAGCGGAAGAGAGGTAGTAGGAGTCATTTCGTTTGAGCTTTGGGGGGCCTTTCTTTACTTCCCGTGCTTCTTTCTTGTGTCTCCTTGATCAGAGGACATTGTTAACCTGAGAGACACTATTGTACTTGCAAACATGTGGTTGAGGCGTTCCTTGCACAGCAAAGTTTGAGCTTTTGTTGATTTCTTGGTAACGGATTTTATCAATTGTCCATATGCTTATTTTGTTGTTTAACCATTTATCTGCCTCTTTCAACTATATTGTCTGCCTACAAGGCGGTCAAATATAACGAGGCAAGCTCAGGCTCTGCAAATGTGGTCCACAGACACCAGCAAAACCCAGTGTATATTATCTTTTTCCAAGTGTCTGGGTTTTCCGTAGATCTTCTTTCTATTGCTCGATATTACAAGATTAGCTCCTCTGGACTTGTCCTAAGAATGGCGTAACGCGTGTAACTGCCGTCTAGGCCTGGGTACTGAGAATACGATGCTCTGTGGAGTGTGAAAGAATAAACTGCCCTTAGGGTGTAGGTACTAAATCGCGAAGTATACATAGGAAACCCGTTAGGTCCCGAGCTGTGAGTCTTACAGTCCCTCTAGAAGAGATCTGGGTAACTTGGTCTAGTAACTGGGGTAACCAAAAACTTTCAGCGGTTCCTTCACTAAACAAACTTACGTCTGCACCTTAACAGCTTCTGGCGCGCCGCTAGGCACATCTCGAAGCAGGACCAGCAATCCAGACAGCGCAACGACAACAGCCAGGGGCAAACCAAGGCAGACAGGAAACACAAAAGGGCGAGGGAAGCGACTCCGGCATGTGGGATGGCCCTGCTACGGACCATTGATGTAGACCCACTTCGCAGATACATAACATTAGCTTCCGGGGGACACGCCGCTAAATCGCAGCTCTGCTGCAGAACACCACGACATATCGCACGGTCCAAGAACGAGGGGTTATGCCATCACGACGGCGACTTTCGCACGCTTCGGACGATGGAGAGCCTGCGCAAGACAAAGGACAAGCGCAACGCCAAAGACCAATCAACCAAACCTATCAAGCAGGCGAGCACGAGTGGACCCCTCGCCATCCGCCGGTCGGACAGCTTGTTGCTATGGCTACGACGCCAGAGGCGAACCGCGGTTCTGACGGACCTCTACGCCTAGCACTCCAGAATCTGCCGCCTGAGCTTATCTCGCTAGTCATCTGACTTCTAGATCCGGGTGCCCTGAAGGCCCTCCGTCTCGTGATCCGAGGATACGAGAACGAAATCCGCCGGCACCTCTACCGCGACATCTGGCTATCACAACTCAGCCACGACCGATACACGTTCCTCCAGATCGCCAAAACAGATCGTCTCGCCAAGCATGTCAAGGTAGTACACTGGGTTATATACCCTGTCGACCAGCTGTCTCTCGTAGGGTGGCTCAGACATCGCGTAGGCAGGACAAACACGGCGGCATCGGTAGAGGAGATCTCACGATACATGGTAGAAGCGTACTGGGATGGGTCGTTCTCTCCCCTCGCTGCTTTCGACATTAACTCCTAGGACGGGAACGTTCGAGAACCGCTGGAAGAATTCAACCCATTACTGGAGCGTGAGATCACTGCGATGCCACAGCTCCGATCGTTCCACTTAGACTCTGTCCGCCACTGGCGCCCCATAAATCATCCGCAGATCGATCAGTACATGCTAGGAACTGGAGAGCTTCCCGCAGCAACTGACGCTGACGAGCCCGCCGGTGAGCCATGGGAGCCGCCGACTGCGACGGAAGCAAACTGACGCAGCGTAGCCTGACTGCGATTACCAGCCTTGTGGCAAGAGAGCTGGGGGCGCTCACCCCGGGGTATTCACGCAAATCAGATACCCTGCCACACCAAACATTATGGCCATTGCAGGTATATGCGGAACGGTACTGCCGGATATCCTGGGAAACACGGTCGACATCAGAGCAGCGTGGCTGTACTTGGACCATGGCACCGTCGACAGCACACGGAAGGTGCTGTCAACTCTGCTCAGCCTAGAGAGCTTGCAATCGCTGTACCTGGAAGACCCGGACGACGAAGCATCGGACATTGGGCAAGATAGGCAATATCAAGGTGTTTCAACTTCACAGATCGCGGCTATTATCGGCGCCCACCCCAAGCCGACCGCGCAAATCACCAAGCTCACACTAAGCTCCATGAGTTTTGCAGCAGACGAGCTGAGGGAGATATGAGCCCGTTCGCTCATTCTTTGGACAGTCTGGACCTCTACAACTGCAGCTGGACAGATGCGCAGTTGGCGAGCTTGGCAAGTCTCCCAGCCCTTCAATAAATGGAGGCTGGATGACAGAGCGGTGCAGGCCCAACGACGAATGCTCTCAATTCCTTCCACCAAAGCAATACAGCTACCTCGCAGAAGGTTCCAAACCACGCGGGAATATCGAGCAGTAGCCTCCCGATCAGTGCTACCGGTAAAAGAGGGCCGTCGTATCTAGGACTGGTTGATGTCACGGATGTGTCTAGATGGAACAGGGGTCGACTCTACTGGCACACACGCACGACGCTGGCTCGCCTGTCCACAGCTGCGTGTCTGTATATTCCTTAGATTCTATCGACGTGTACCTGAAGCCGGAGCCGTACTGGTAAATAACTCATTGTCTACAACCCTCAGGCAGGACTAAACACGAACGTGGTGTATTTCCCATCTTGAGGTATCTTCTATCGCCATGATAGTACACACCAGGCAAGCCACTCACGAGATCGCTAGCTATATGAAAGCGCATGGCATGGAGAACGGTCACCGCAGATTCTTCCCCCCATGCGAAGTGGTTCGCGGACCACGCTGCCAAAGCCGCTGCGATGAGCGAGTTGGCTCCCCTACGTAGGCCCAGCACCTGTCATTAGTCGCTTTGGCAGACACACCATGGGAGAGAGAAGTACGTGGGCAAGCTAGATGCCGCTTGGCTGCTCTCGACAGTGCGTGGCGTGGATGTATGCCGGGGAATGTTGACGAGTTCGCCACCAGCGTCGCGGAGAAGGCAGTAGCAGCGCCGTTATCGCTAAAAATGTCGCTCCCATTGGGCGACGGCTGAGGCAGGGTTATGATGTGCGAGATACTCGGGCTCGAGGTTTATAACAAGGGCCAGGCCAGAACCCCCCTCCCCCAGGCGGACCGGATGGCCACGTCAGTCTCTGCGATCCTCTTGGCCGCAATGACCGGACTCACCACGCAGGATGTCACGGAGCTTAACAGAGCGACTATCCCGAATGATACACCGTAGGCCGGGACTACAGAGGCTGCGCAGAACGGTAAAGGGGCATGTCCCGCGAGATTTGCGGCTTTCCAATTCGCAAATCAAAAACGGCCAGGTTTCCGATCAATCGTGACGGAGCCCGCATAGACGACTAGATAGGGTGGGTGAGCAAACCAGCGCGAGGAAGAGATCTCTGCCGGGGCCGACAAGCTCCTGATGCTCCCATCATCCCATGCCTGCAGGAGTCACCGCATAAACAATTCGTAGGCTCCTGAATGTGAAGGGCGAGGGCGGCAAGTTCGCTGTGTCGGTGAACCCCGGTGGCTGCTCAGGCCGCGCCCCAGTGATCCACGGGCTCGAGGATTTCCTTCCCTTTTACGCAAACACTTATCGGTGCTAGCTATGCACTTGCGTTGACCAGAGCTTGGAGATTCAGGACAAGGTTAACCATCAGCATTGTAATCACAAGTCTCAGGGCAGGTCGCTGGTAGAAAGCTTAATTTCTTGTATGAATAGCCGACTGCGCAAAGTACCTTAGGCGTGGTTATCGACAAACGTGGTAGGTACTACTACGGTAAGCACAAGCATTGAACAGACAAACGAACAGATGAAAAAAACGGGCAAATAAACAGACAGACAATAATCCGTCCTCTCGACGATTCTGACCGCCTGCGTAGGCATCAAAACCTGGGCCGATCGCCCGGCACGTTCAACAGCAGCACCGACGGTCGCTGAGCAGCGCCGTCACGAGCGATCGCGCTGGTCTTAGGACCTCATATACTGCTGCCCTGGTGACGGAGGCCAAAAATGAGACGTCTCCATGCACGAGACCACCAGCTGGGTGATTCTGAGCGGGCTCGCGTCCTATGCGGCGAGAATGCGGTCGGGCAGGGGCTTCTTAGTCCGTCGCACGCCGAATTCGTATGAGCGTTCTGGCAAGGGCAGTGCCTCGATTGTCTGTCCGATATGGCTGTCGTGGCGCGTTTGAAACCGATCGAAGAGGCGCTTGGAGCACTGTATGGTGCGAACGTCCTTCTAGTGGTGAGCCGAGGCCCGGTCGGCGCCAAGCCCCTCTGGCAGCCCTGACCAAGGCGGTCCGGACGTCAGTCGCGGTCCTGCTCCCTCCTCCCCAGTGGAAGGATCAAACTCGAAGACCCGTAGCTCCAGCTCGAAGTAGTACAAGTTGACGAGAGACCTTATCTCGCCACCGGACACACCAGGTTCTGACGGTACTCAGTGGTACAGATACTCCACGGCCCCTGTTGCATGTAAAACATTTGGAAGTCGATTAGTAGCCGAATAAGAGTGTTCCGCGAAGTACAGATTTAGAATCAAGAATAGACCCTAAGCGCGCCACTGGGTGCATGGTAAGGACCACAAGCCCATACCTACCTCAGTATATAAAAGCCAGGTAAATACAAAGCTACGCAGGAGATAATGGGACCGCAGTATGAATCAAACCGCTCAAAGGTTGTATCTGGCTACATCACAGGCAGGGCAATATTGGTCGAAGCTGGGTACGATGGAGTAAATAGCTGTATTGTTCTGCGCCCAGTATTGAGTTAATAATAAGCAGGTACATGCCACAGCCATGACCACTGAACGCCAAGTACCACCAGTCTACCGATCAGGAGATGATGTTGTCGGAATAAGGTTTAGACCCGGCCGCCCGGACCCCACCCGCAGTAGGGTGGGAGTCCACCTCTCTGCTAGTCTGGAAATTCTGGGCGACTCCGAACGAAAGGCGCGGAGGTAAGTCCACCCTCCGCCTCGCGACCAGGGCGCATCACGACCAGGGGTCGCGACGCGACGCGTTCAAACACCCCACCATACAATCTGCCATATAAACCCGTTTCCTCGCGTCTCTCTGCGACATAATTACGACCATTACAAACCCCAAAAATGAGGCTATCGTCATGGTGCCAAAAGACTACCAATTGCGCGCCCGCCGCGCCCTGGACGACATCGAGGCTGGCGTACCTATTGCGACAGCTGCCAAACTACACGAAGTCGACAGATCCTACCTACGTCGTCGCCTCAAGGCCGTTCCAACCTTCAAGCAAAAATACCAAATCCGACAAGCCCTCTCCGTCACCCAGGAAGACTATATGGTCTCCTGGGCCCTCGACCAAGCCAAGCTGGGCTATGCAGCACCATTGAAGCAATTTAAGCACTTCGCGATGCGGCTGCTGTCGATCGACGACCCCGCCGCACATCTTGGGCAGCACTGGTACCGTCGTTTCATCCACCGAAACCCAACCTTGACAACCTCGAGATCACGACTTATCGAATACAAACGGTATAACGGTGCCTGTAAGGCCAACATTGATATCTTCTTCGACCGGTTGACGTCATTGCAGCGCAGAAAGGTGCAGCCCGAGAATATCTGGAACGTGGACGAGTGCGGAGTGGCAGAAGGCCTAGGTTACAATGGCTTCGTGGTCAGTGATGCTCTGCGCAAGTTCACGTTGAAAAAGGACGGCGCTAGGAGGACCTGGATTACGATAATCGAGGCCATTTCTGCCGGCGGTCGTTCCATCCCTCCATTGGTTATCTTTAAGGGCTAGTCCGTTCAACAGCAATGGTTTCCTGATGTTAAAATCGATCGATGGAAGCATTGGTGTTTTGAGACTTTACTAAACGGGTGGACTAGCAATGATATTGCGCTGAAATGGCTCAAGGAGTTGTTCATCCCTAACACGGTTCCTGCTATTCCTGGTCAGTGGCGATGCCTTCTCCTAGACGGCCATAAGTCGCACGCAATAGAGGAATTTATGGCGGAATGCTTCATTAACAAGATCTGGCTGATTTACCTCCCGGCTTATACCTCATATGTTCTTAAGCTACTTGACGTAGGCGTGTTCTCGGCGGTGAAGTCGGCCTACCGTACAGCGGTTATAGAGGTTGCTTACGACACTATGAACGAGACCCCAGGTAAGCGGGAGTTTCTTAAGGCATATGAAACTGCGCGCAAAAGTAAGATGAACAAGGAGAACATAATGGCCGGCTTCAGAGGCACGGGGGTGTGGCTACATAATAGGTCAAAAGCGTTAAGCTCCCGGTTCGTAATGTTGACCCCTAAGGAGTCCTAGTCGACATCTTAAGATGGCCCAAATCAGGCCCAAATGACGTCTACAGAGCCGGACTTTTTGACGCCCTTATGCGCAATTGACGTTAAACCGCTAAAAATAGGTCGCGATATCTATGCATTGCATCAGGTACTGATAAAATGCGATTCTGCGCTGGCGACAGCGACGTGTAGGAAGCTGTTCTAGAAGGTGGCGAAGGCAATTGAGACTTCGAACCTCCGATACACCACTGCAGAACACCAAAAAGACCGCCTATAAGCTGCATTGGAGGCTTTAAAGCCTAACAAACGTCGCAAAGTCGACCCGGATCCTAATAAAGACTTCGTTACCGTTATAAACGTCGAACGCGCGAAGAGATAGGTGCGGCGGGAGATGGGGTCGGACATCAGCACAGATAACAACACCGACAGTAGCGACGACGAGGTGGAGCTAATTGAAAGGGATAGTGATGAGGAAAGTTGCATAGAGGTGCAGGTCAATTAATTTAAAGCCTTTTTATTGGGTGGCTGACGAGCTATTGCAGAGTGACGGCGAGGTTGACGATGCCTCCATGCGCAGGTGGGGGGTGGTCGCGAGGGGGTCTGGTCGCGAGGCGGAGGGTGAACTTAACCCTCTCCGGGCCACTGTCTCTTCAGGAAACTGCCTCCTCAGGCCACTGCCTCCCTAGGTCACTGCCTTTTCAGGAAATGCCTTTTCAGGCAGTGCTTCTTCGGGAAGCTTGCGGACATTCGGCAAAGGGTAGGCGTTGGAAGGGCGGATAGGGTCGAGGACATAAATAGGAGGAATGATCCCCTCGAACCTTCTCTTCCTCTTCAAGCCCTCTCTGTCTATTTGGCTCTCGAAATTTCCCCATTATGCATCAGCAGCTTCAATTCCAGTCACCTTTCGACCGCATGGCATACCAACAGGCCAAAGCGAAAGGCAAAGGGAGTACAAAGCCCATCCACAGCAAACATGGCATAAGCAAATCGACATCCGGAACCTCTGGTACCGTCACCATGAACGTCAGTAAGGATTTCCCGCCTATCGAGACGCTTCTGCCGATGGACGTGGTCGACCTCACCGCAGAAGACGATTCCTTCGTACTGCTGCCGAACCGACTTCCCAGCAGGCCACGCAAGCCAGTGAGAGACAAGCCACCCAGGAACAGGTCACGCAGGAGCAGGCCACTCAGGAGCAGGCCACTCAGGAACGGGCCACACAGGGTCAGGTGCCTCAGGAACAGGCCGCACAGGGGCAGCCGACTCAGGGGCAGCCGACTCAGGGGCAGCCGACTCAGGGGTTGGCCACTCGGGAGCAGGCGCAGGCTACTCCGGAGGTTGAAGACGGCAATGATCAAGGTGTGCATTATGTTCCCTAGATCTTGATGATCGCTAATTTCATCGAGACAGAGAAACCGTCACTCATGAAGCCAGCGTCGAACACATCAAAGAGGATCCGCCGCAGCAAGGCCGCTCGCCAGAGGAGAGCGTGATGTTGGCGAACGGGGCAGGGGATAGCAGACAGCAGTCCGTCGAGTAGGCTTTGACTCGTTCTCCAATATCCTCGGCGCAGTCATCCAATGGCGCGGCAGGCCTTTCCACGGATGCCACCTCCAACGCCTTGCCGACCGGCTTCTCGAACGCTTCCTCACAGGATGCGCCTGAACTCCCGCCCGACGAACCACCTCATCCCTGCGGACAAACGGCCGACAGTCACGACTCGGCACGTTCGGACGAGGGCGTATCTCCCGACCTACCAATGGACGCGGACGACGACAGTACACTGCCCGACGAATGGGAGGGTAAAATTATCGGAGAAGAGGCTGACGGGTACTTGGTTGCTTGGGAAAGCAGCTTCATACCCATGGAATACGCCGGTGAAGCGATGATTCGGGCCTGGGAGGAAAAGAAGGCGAAGATTCTGGAAGGAGGGCGGGAGAAAGGAAGGGGTACAGGATTGAAGCAGCCAGCAACTATCAAAGGTCGGGTGGAGAAACGAGGAGCGGGAAAACGAGGTCGAGGTCGACAGTGTGTCTAACAGCTCATTCTCTGAGACGAATTCAGGTGTTCTCTGTTCCTATAGTTGGCTTGAGCTTGCTGGTTTTTGACGTAGTCACCTTATAAGAGTTGCCCGATCAAGACGTGCCCAGTTCTGGGAATCAATTGCCAAAGCCTGACACCTCGTCTCCATCGAGAATGCCTCTAGCCTTCGATTTGAAGGATCCCAACTATCATCACAAACTCCCAGATCATGAGCAACACTCATCGCCAGGTGGTATCGCAAGCATGTCCACCTCGATAGAGGCGAATGGCAGGGGGTGATGGAGCAGGAGAACCGGTCTATTAGCGGACTGTGATAGCTCGATTAGACAGAGCAAGTGTTCTGCCTCACGGGAGCGACAGAGCCTCACTCGGACTTGGCTGTTCTCGCCTCGCTGATGCGTTCCAGCCGATGTGACCGCTTCCCCGATCACTCCGTCCTTGCATGAAAAGCCGAAGAAAGTCCCTTTCGCCTCTGCAATGCCATCCTGGAGTCAGAGGTTACATCACCTTGCTCACGGGGCCTATGCATCCTGGCCTACCTACCCTTGGGATGTGTGACGCCGAAGGAACAGGTGGCGCGAGTGTGCGCCCGCACGCCGATAATTGGTCACACGAGGTCGGCTGGGTGTGCCTATTTCCTGCACAGTAGTTTCCGAGAGGACTTTGCGAATCGGCATTGCCTTCTCGAGGCAGACGATCTCCTGATTCATCCTCCATGGACAGTTGGGGTGCGACGACAAGGCAGAGTGCTGTCTATCCCAGGCAGGTCGCCACCGTGGATGTGCGGATTCGTTCACTCCTCAGCGGTAGGACAGGGACCACGCGTTTCGGACATTCTAGCTAACGCATGAACAAGCAGCAGACTTCGGTGAAGGCGAGACTGGGCGGAGGGACGAAGGGTCAGGGGTGCAGGAAGGGGGTAAGTGTGAGGGCAGGAGAGGAGAAGCGGCCAAACGGATGGCGTAAAGGCACGGCTGAACATCCATCACATGAAGCAACTGACTGTGACTGCGCCGAGATGCATGAACTCCGCCCTGAGGGAACGACGACCGGCAGTGAAGACCTCGGGGGTCTCCCCTGATGCAACCTCAGGAGGTGGCAATCAGCTCATCTGCCTTGCAAGTAACCTAACAGGAGGCAGCCCTCATGCACGTTTCTAGCCGCTAGTGTGGCTGTCGTCACCTTTTCACATCGTTCCGCTCCTGTAATTCGCCGTTGCCATGACTCCCTCCATCCGCTTCCGCCGAGTCTGCCTTGACGATGCAAGACTGCGCGGGTCTGCTTTGTGAAGCTGCGTAGACAAGACCACATATGGGCGCCATGTGGAACCTTGGCACGCCTGCCGAGATGGGGAAAGACCCAGGGAGCCAGACAAAGCGGTGACAAGCACGGCCCTTCCAGCAACGGCTGTCTGGGCTCGACGATCCAAGTGGAGGCAGCCCATGGTTGACGGAAATCAGCCCAATGTGCCTTGCGCAACATGTCTAGTTGAATCGACTTCGTACCTCCGTTCGTCGCCTCCCAGACAGAGGCGTCAGCCAGACATGGCACAGACTTGGACTGGACCGAGAAGCCCCTGAAGCACCAGCCGTCTGCGGTACAGGGAACGCCGGAGAGGCGAGGACCCGGGATTCTCAGAGGCAGCCGGACGATGCTGTCCCTGCGCCCTCAGCCTGCATTCTGTCCTCGCGTAACTCTTGAGGCGGCCTCCCTTCCGTCGTGGTTGGTAACTGGGAGTGGCAGTAGAAAAGCGTGCCATGACCAACTCCTGGAGCCATTGACGCTTGCGAACCTGGACCTTCACGGGGCCGTACTCCCACATTCACAAAGCTCCCTGAGCAGCAGTTTTCCATCAACATTATCCGAACTCTCGCAGTGTCTGGGCGATTCTATGCGGCGATATTGCTGCTGGACGTTGAGGATCTCCAGCCGGACTTTTTCCGATCCGCCCGAGCCGGATCCATTGGATAGCAGCGCGCCTGCCTGCGTCGCGTCTTCGTCCACCCACGCAACCACGAACGCCCATTATCTTCTCGACCACAACCCACTCCCTCGTTGACATCAGATACCAAACTCCCGCATGTGCAGTCATCACTCTTCGAGTTCTCGTTGCTCTTCTCGACGTCCCTGGTGAATAGCGCATGTTGATTGGTTGGTCGGGGGCCCACTTCTGTACCATGAAGCTGCTGACTAACGGTGCAGGGGCTGAGAATCGGGTGCGTCGGTGGCTGGGCGGCAAATTCCCCACCGCCCAAAATGTCGCGTCGCGCGACCTCCCTCGGCCTTCCCCGTCCTTCTCACCATCGCATTCCGTCGACCATGGCAGACCAAGCGCGGTCGCAGATCATCAAGGAGAACCCCATTGGCAAAGGCCTTGATGCCTTCCGCGCTTCATTCGGTCCGATCTGCGAAGACGCGAGCGTCCCCTGCACTCCGGACTCGCTAGATCGGCTCGGCCAAGAAGGTAAGAACGACACCACAGCTTCGGCCCAGTGTGCCCCTCTAATCATCGTGCAGATCTCCAGAATCTTGTTCTCGACCTGCTCTTCGCTTTACGAAACCTCTCCGCGGTTCGCTTCCTACGATCAAAGGCCGGCCATGGGACCCTTCGTAACGATCTCCTCAAACTTAACTCGGCTGTCAGCTCCGACGGCTTCGATCTCGTCCGCGTCAAACCTCTCCTAAAAGCAGCCATCGCCGATGACCCGGACGACGCAGTTATCTGGAATGAAGTCTACCACGCCGTCACCGAATCCACTCCGCCGCCCCGACCGACAGCATCATCCCTCCACCAAACCCCTTGGCTGCACAACACGAGCAGCTTCGCGAACTCCTCCGAAGGCCGCAAAGATGTGGACAGAGTCCTTAAGTTGGAGCTTGGTCCTCTCTACGTCGGGCTTCCTCGCTTCTGCGAGACATATTTCGGACGTGTGGCCGGTCTTGAGACAGCCGCCGAGGCCGTCTTCGAGGAATGCAAGGGAGGCAGCAATCCGCTCTTCCATGAAGGCTGGAGCGGATGGCCAAAAGACGCAAACCAGGACGACGTCTTGAGCTGGTTTGCGGGCTTGTGCGAGAAGCTGGCGGCCTTTGCAGAACACCACGGGTCAAACCCGGCATGTCGACGGAGACCATTGGCACAACCCAACAAGCCAATCCGCGGTTCCACAGGGGAACGCAAATTGGACGTCGGCTTCGTGAACGACACCAAGGCCGACAAGGATTCTCAATGCCACTGGTCGCGGGTCCTCGTCCCCGGCGAGCTGAAAAGCAATCCATTGGCCGACACAGCGTCCAAGGCATGGCTTGATCTTGGGAGGTACGCGAGAGAGGTTCTCGCTGCTCAAGACACTCGTCGGTTCGTTTTAGGCTTCACCATCTGCGGGTCTCTCATGAGGATATGGGAGTTTGACCGACTCGGGGGGATCGCATCCGAACAATTCGACATCAACAAAGATGGGCTGCAGTTTGTGTCCACGGTCCTCGGATTTCTCTGGATGAGCGAGGAGGAGCTTGGCTTCGATCCGACAATCATGACGGCAAATGACGAACGTTTTATCGAGATCGAGCCGGATGGTTCAACAGAGCGACTCATCATTGAGGAGGTGATGCAACGCGCACGTTGCATAACTGGCCGGGCCACGACTTGCTGGAAAGCCCATCGCGAAGGACACCCACAGACACCGCTCGTCATCAAAGACTCATGGCAATACCCCGAACGCGATGAGGAGGGCGAATTGTTACGCGAGGCAACTGGTCAAGGCGTTGTCAACGTGGCCCGATACTACTACCACGAGACTGTTCAGGTACATGGCACGGATGACAACATTCGAAGCAACGTTCGCGGAGGACTGGATGTCACCACAGCTACGAACTACCGGCCGGAACGCTCGATGCTGCCGCCGAGTATAATCGCGTCTGGGGCTTCACGGAGAGGTCGCAGCAGCAGCCGCGCTGCTGGCAAGAAGCGATCATCCAGTCAAATTGGCGCCCCTCTGCCCCCCAGCAAGCGGTCCTGTTCGGCATCTCCAACGAAGGCTGGCGGCGATGCACTGCCGAATCGCGTACATCGGCGTGTCATTCTTCGTGACTATGGAAAGCCCATATACAAGGCGAGCTCCCGATCGGCTCTCCTTGTCGCGATGGAGGGCTGCATTGAAGGACATGAATCCTTGCGCAAGGCTGGTTTCCTCCACAGAGACATCTCAATCAACAATCTCATGATCAATGAGGACGACAACAATCCCTCCTGGCCTTCGTTCTTGATTGACCTGGACCTCGCCGTCAGAGAGCAACGAGAGGGCGCCTCTGGAGCAAAGGGCAAGACCGGCACGAGGGCGTTCATGGCAATCGGGGCGCTTCTGGGCGAGCAACATTCTTTCATGCACGACCTCGAGTCATTCTTCTGGGTGCTCTTCTGGATATGCATCCACTACAAAGGGCCCGATGAGGGCAGAGCCGTTCCGCGGTTTGAGAAGTGGAATTATGTCGATACGGATGAGCTAGCAGAGCTGAAAAAGGGGCAAGTATCCCATGAAGGGGACTTCATCAGAACCGCGGAAGAGAACTTCACGCATTATTACCAGCCTTTGGTGCCCTGGGTGAACAGGTTACGGAAAGTTGTGTTTCCAAATGGTGGGAGGTGGGAAAGAGAGGACACAGGATTGTATGCTCGGATGAGGGAGATCCTTCAGGAAGCCCAAGAGGGTTCCTAAGGCATTGGCGGACAAATAGATACTGCGAGTTATTGCTCGGAACGGTCAACTTGCGCAATGTCTGTGTGTGTGAGGTCCTCCACCGCCGTCTTCCATTCGAGGAGGTCTGCAGGGATCGGCTCTTGGTGGTGGTGGGAGTCGTCAGGGTGGTTGGAGCCGTCGGAATGTGACCTACGATTTGCGCCCATAAATGCAGCCCCACGATCCGTCCCGCGAGCGGCCATCAATGGCGGTGGGTGCCGGAATAGTCGACATGGAGTCTGTTCTCCCTCGTCGCTGGTTGAACCGAGCGCAGACGCCAGCGAGGGTGGCGGTCTTGGCAGGCTCCTCGTCGTGGGGCTCGTCCGCCGAGGCTAACAATATCTTCGTGTGGCGAGGGAAATCCAATGGACGGTCTGACGATGACCGGCGGGGATGCCGCCAAGGCATGGATGGGGACTTACCACTCGTACAGGCGAATAACACGAGCATCGGACGCCCAGCCAAGCTGGATGGACTAAGGCGTTCATCGTGCCCGCGAAGGAATGAGGAGACGAAGGCAGAGGTGAAGCCAGAAGCGCCTGGAAGGGAGTGCACGAAAAGTTCACTACTGCCCGAGGCAGAAAGGCAGCAACAGGCTGCGCCTATTCTCATCTCGTCGCGCACCAACAGCATCCAGCGTTCTTCTGCCGACCTCTCCAAGGGAATTGGCATCCATTCATTTAGATCATCGGGGTGCACAGGGCACGGACACGCCGCCCTTCCACGCCTACGCAGCGACCCCTCCTTCGCCTGGCCTCCGTCGTGGCACAAGCGTTTCGCCTGTCTCGCCACTGTCGCCGCCTACTGCACCTTTCGGCCAACATCTCATCGCAGGTGGTCTCCATCTTTTTCAGCCACCCCGTCGTGCAGCTTCAAGTGTGCCATCTCCGCAGCGACAGAAGACCCAATACCCTCCTCAGGAATCTCTGTAGCATGTTTGTATGGGGCTTCGACCTCGTCGATAAACCCTTGAATAGACCACTTTCCAGCCAGCATCTCATCGTATGTGATCTCCGTCTTTTTCAGCCGCTCGTCGTGCAGCTTCAAGTGCTCCATCTTGGCGGCGACAAAGGACCGAATATCCTCCTCGGGAATCCCTGCAGCAAGCAAGTCCCAGTCTGGAGTGTGGTCTTTCAGCTGCTCCCAGGGCAAGCTGCCGGGACCGTGGAAGAACCCCTGCAGGACCATGTGGTACCACGTCCAAGATGTTACAACAACTAAGATGCACAGTTCTAACCACAAAGGCCTGGCAGAAGACCCCGAACGCAACTACGAGAAGCACAAACAAGACTCGCTCGAGAAGCAAAGGCAGGGCAAGGGCCACTGGAAGGCCGAGCTGGCGTCCGACAGCGAGGCGGCTGTCAAGGCCGACCGGGCTGCTAAGCCGGAGAGCCCAGCTGACCTGCAGGAACGAACGAAGTGGGCTGCCGAGGAGATCAGCAGGCATGGGACGAGCATGCGCGATGGCCTCTGAAAGAAGGGGTATCTGGTGATTGTTGGACGCTCGGGCGGTTCGTCGATGGAGATGGCGTGTCCAATTTGCTTACGCGCCTAGGTGGGAGCAACTCTAACCATTGCTCAGCAGAGAGGCATGATTGGGAGTAAAGCGGACCCATGTACCGAGTTAAAACGGGACAAGAAGGCTGTATTCTTATGACCCTAAGTCTAGAAGGGATGGCTGAATCAAGGCATTCGTCCTCGCTAACGCGATAACGCGATAGACCTTATCGTCCATGTAGACAGACGTAGACTCCAGCTGGGGCACTGTCCCTGTTCTGGATGTCGGCATGCTGCTCTCCCACCCCTTCTCGTCTCCATCAGTTGCACAACGCCAACTTGGCCTCCTTCCATAGGCCTTAATTCCGGTACGTCGACGTCAGGTTGACCACGCTAGTCAGCGTGTCGGGATGTTCCTCTCTCAGCACTTTTGTTCTTAGCTCGACAGTTTCTAGCTGGAGCCTCTCTGCATCCTTCCATTGACCTGGTAGTGAAACTATCCGGCGGCATGGTGGATAAAAGATGCCTTCGCCCCCACGTGCTGGACCACGTCTCACCTCGGACGCTGGAAGCCTGTGCGCACAAACCTTGCCCCCTTCACCATAGGCCAGCAGCCTTACGCCCAGCTGGAGAATCTCTCTCCAGGCGGCTCCGGCTCGAGCCTTCCAGACTGGAAAGGCCTCCGCTCTTGTGTAAGTGTCAACTCCAGCCCCTGTGTTCCTATGCGGGTTCTCCTCGATACCAGCGTGACTGAAAGCTACCTGCACATGCCACACAGCGACTACATGGACGGTTCCACTAGGGTGGACTGGGACTTTTTAACGACGTACAGAGACTTGCAAAACCGCCGCTGCGATTGACACATCTCAAAAAGAATACATGCACGATGTATATGCGCTAGGGTCCCACGCCAAACCGTATTCAGCCATTGCACAGTGTCAATTCTTACCACTTGGTCATTTGCTTGCGCTAACCGCATAGGGGCTATACTGTTGTCCCATTTGGATGCGGAGGCTTGCCTGACCCGGCCACCGGGCATACTTATTCTTAGTTCAGTCCTGACAGCACTGTACAGGTGACAAATGCAGACAAGACCATGAAAGTCAAACATCGCGGGGGCCAAATGACCGCCATTTTATCAAGCCTGGTTGCCAAAATGTAAGCAATTTAAAATCGGACTTTTCTAAGACTAACTACCGTTGATCCGTCTAGAAATTCTTCTCCGGATCTTCCCAAATCTACATGTGCCAAATCCTTCTACTATGAATGACCTCCCCACCCGAGACCCTCCTATGCGAAGACATGAAAATTATAGATCATATAGGCCATGCTCGAAGATGAAGTCGTTAGCTACTCGGCGACACGACAATACTACCAAGCAGACTCGTAATCACGCGACGAGACAACTTCAGAGAGGGATTCGTGGCGCCACCGTTGTGAAATACGATCAGCGCACCAGACACAAACAAGATCTGGTCTTGGTAGTCGGGAGGGATGGCGATAAGATCGTGGCCGTCGAGCTGGATCCAGGGGCCTCGAGCAAAGAGACAAGGATTGGAGACGTTCGCTGTAGATGAGATAGTCGCGGAGAGCGAATGGGGCAGCAGAATCACTCCACGATCAGTCTTGAGATAGATGTCACAGGAAGAGAAGGCGATTGAGCGTAGATTCGGGTCGATTGGAGGCATGTAGAGCTCTGGCCTTGGAGTGTCTGTGGCCGCTTCTACGGCCGTATCCCAGACCCGGACGGTCCCGTCGCGCGACGCCGACGCCACGAGCCCGCCGTCATGCGAGAACGCCACGGCTTTGACCCGGTTGCCATCCTTCAATGTCTGTAAATGCACGCTCCAATCCTGCATTACGGTCGGTAAAGGTCGATCGATCCACGCCGGAACATGACCTATATAGAGATGCCTAACAATGCTCTTTCCTGGACTGAAAACTAGTGCCGCGCTGTAGATCTGAAGCGGAGCCGCTTCAATCGTCGAGCCGTGGGAAAGCATAAACCGCCTTGCATGATACACTATCTGAGAGAGTCGACTGCCGTGTTAAACCTGTGAGGGCGGGCTGGCTGATTGAGCGTTACCCTCGTTCCGGATCGCCTTTCGCTTCATTTCGATCGGAGCTTACGGAAGAACCCGTCCGTATTCTTCGGATATTGCCATGACTTATGGATTTCGTTACTTTGTATTTGCGCAGGGCTTGCTCGGTTGATCCGGGAGTCTAATAGCCGGACCAAAGCCACGCTTTCAGAAAGTCGACCGATCCAAGCCAATACCTCGAGCCAGAAGAGGGAGTACGTCTCGAAAAGATCGAGAATTGCCTGCATGCCATGGCTCAGATCCGCTTCACTCTTCAGCATATGATCGATCCAGTATCGGCTAGCATACTGGACAGAGAACGGAATAGCCTGATTTATGTCCACTGCCGACATTTCATCAACTTTCCTCCCGGGATATTTAGCACCGCTGATGTTCTCACGTAGACAGCTCTTTAGCAGTTGAAGGCTTCTCTTGACCAGCCGAAAGTGAGCATCTTGAGCGTCGATCCAAATCATGTCCATAGTACATCTGTTCGCGTCAAGCACATAACAGTTGAGCCCATCACCCAGCTCTATGTAGATAACAGCGTCTGGTCGAGCAATGACTGTGATTAGTTAGCCATGGATAGCTCAGACAGCCCCAGTGGCTATCACAATAAGTCTCAATCCTGGAGGACTGGAGTGCGATATACACGTCACAATGCATATCTAAGCGTATAGTCTCTGGCTATTTGGTAGAAGCGAGCCCTGTCCCGCTGCGCCATCATAGCTGCCGTGAAATGGGTGTTTGTGAACTCGGGTGCAGAGGCAGGCTGGTCAAGAATATCCCGAACCATCCACATCACTACGCGATGTGAGCAAGAATATACACAATGATACGCTTCCCGCGGGCCGGTTCTTACCTTTCGAAAGGGTGATTGCCGGGCTCCAGCCTCCGGAAGTGAATCCACTCCTGTCCTGCAGATTGTACATGGACAGTGTGTTACCGTCGTTGACGAACCTAGTTCTGAAGGTCACTCTTGGTGGATTGAAGGGGTAGTCCTCCGGTATTCGGATGTCCACCAGAAATACTCCGCCTTCATAAACTGTGTTCTCCTAGGGCCCTTGTCAGTATTGTGTCTGGTTGTGCATCCTTCGTTTGTTCACTCACAGGTCCGAACACGACACCTTCAAGAGAGGACTGAAGCCGTCGTTAGCCCAAAGAATCGGTTAGTATGTGAGCAGTGATATTACCAGGCTGCCACCAATCGGCACAAATACAGAATAGCGGCACAGGCCTTCGCTACTAAACGGGCGCTCTGAGAGGTGGCTCAACATTTCAGCGATTTCTTTCTTCATTCGTTTCTGGGGACCCCCAGAAATGGTTTGGCTGGTAGCCTCGATTTCGCGATTCAGCCTATCCTTGACTGTCGTTGACGGAACGTGCAACCGCTGACTACCACCTCCCTCCAGGATCTCAATCATTTCATCATGGCCACAGGAGAAAGCAATATCGAGAGCGGTGTGCATCGAGTCGGTGTCCAAAAGCGACTCTAACCCAAGCAGTTGTTGTTGACATTTCCTGATCCCAGCCTGCAGCGGTGTGAAGCATGTAGCATTCGCGCTGGCGCCAGCTTGAAGGAGTAATGACGCCACCCTGCTGTGGCCTTTAACTGCCGCGACATGCAGCGGTGTCTGCCCGTCCGCATTGACGCTGTTGATGAGTAGTCGCAGATCGATGCACGCTGTAGGCAATACAGGGTCGCGCCCAAGGTTCTCATTGTCAGGAAAGTCGTTTTCCACTTGAAACCGCGAGCTGAATTCCGACCCTAGGAGCAAGCAAAGGATGTGGATGTGTCCTGCCGAAGCGGCAAGATGGAGCAAAGTGTCGCCGTGCCTATTCTGTGAGGCTATCGCGGCGCCGCGGCGATGCAACAACACCATCGAGGTGCCTTTACCTTCTCTAGCTGCCACGTGGATTGTGCGATTGCCCCCAAAGTCGCAGGCTTCCATGTTCGCTCCGTGGTCCAGCAAGCACTCGATCATGGCATCATGGCCATGCTCAGCGGCGATCAGGAGTGGCGTCCTACCGAGGGACGCCTCCGCGTTGCAGTCTGCACGAGCACTGAGTAGCAAATGCGCGACAGGGACATTGCCGGCGTTCGCAGCCGTGTGGAGCGCAGTCCACTGACTCTCCGCTCTTCTACTGTCAGAAGCGCATTGAGATCCCGTTGGAGTTCGAGAACAGTTGGCGGGATGGGCCGCTGTCACACGGACATATAGGGCACGGACCATACAGGAGGGGTTGCTGCCTTACTCGTGCAGCGGTTAGAAACAACCAACAAGAGACAACCAACAGATTAGGCAGGAGCGGGGCCCTGACATACAAAAGGCGGGAGCACCCGCCTCCTGAGAAGAAGAGGAACTTAATCCTTAAGGACTTACAGTATCCCTTAAAAGATTATTAGCAATCTAAGCATCATTATGCCAAGCCCTCACATGAGCCCTTGTTACAGCCGCGATCTGCGTGGCGAAGAAGTGTTTGCAGGCATGGGAGTGCGCTGGTCTGGTTGTTGAGAGAAGCTGACGCCCAGCAGCTGTGAGTGCAATGGTGTCCAACAGATAGGCACGACGAACAGTGAAGTACCTGGGTATCGTAACATCGTGGCGTTGAGGGAGCCCGCCTCAGGAACGGTGTGGTCGCGTCGCATCCTTGCGCGCTTGCTCGGAGGCGTATTTGTAGTCATGGTGGATGTCGAGCTGGGAGTGAGGGTGTGGCAGACATTCGTTCTGGGGTTCGTGAGGTTGAAGTTGTTGAGAATCGAGGCCTTGTTATTGTTTGTCGCATTGGGAGCGCTTGGGCTACTATAACCATCGATGCTTGTTAGTCATGTCGATCGAATCGAAACGGACAGGGACGCACGCAGGGGAGCAGGACGCATTCGCCAGTCCTGCGGGGCCATGTGCTTCTCTGTGGTGAGATTCGGAAAATTTTGAAGATCAAAATTGAGAAATAATACGATCAGACAGGACTGTATAGCAGTACGCACGGGATTTGGGGAGTGGTGTCATGGCGGCGTACTGCTGCCGGCGTTTACTCACATACCTGCAGTTGAGAACCTGCCCAGGAGGCTCAATGTCGATCAGAGATACTTCTGCTGAGCTATCGTCAATTATCCTTTCGTCCGCAGTGCCAGTTCAGCGTTGATAAGTTGAGAGGCAGATGTGGAGAAGAAGCGGCTGGGAGGCAGGGGTGGTGGTCCCTCGAGTGGCGACAGAATGAGGTGGGAAGAAGGTAATTACAGTGGGCGCGCAAAAAAAACGCTAATTTCCCCACCTCGCGTCATGACGCGTTATTCCTCCAACAACACCACCAACTTCAATCGACGATGGCGACACCAACACGGCCTTTGAAGCCAAAAGGAAAGCATTCCACACCTCGTACGAGGAATCGCGTGTGGGCAGCATTTTGTGCAGGCAAAAAGGCCGCCGATATCGCGAGTGACGAGGGGATTGAGGTGCACCTTGTGTATGGTATCAAACGCAGGTTTACCTCGCAGGATTGGGGTGTATCTCCTCCTGGCCGTGGCCGCCGGCCACTCCTCACTGAACGCGATAAAAGGCATCTCAAGAAGGCAATAAACGACGACGTTTTCATCTCACTTAGAGAGCTCAAGAGACAGGTCACTCCTCACGTCTCTGTCGATGCAATAAGGCGATACCTTCAGGCGGACGGTATCATGCACCGTAAGGCTGCACAGCGCCCATTCCTTACAGAAGAACATGCTCAAAAAAGACTCCGTTTTGCGCAGAGGTATCGTGATAAACCAGCTACGTGGTTTCGTCGGATTCTGTTCAGTGACGAATACTCTGTCCAGCGCGGCGATGGACAGAGCGAGAAGTGGGTTTGGCGGCCAAAAGGTATGTAACTTCAACCCGCCAGAACTCTATCAATAATCGTCTAATTTGAACGATTCCAGGCTCCAAAGCAATCGATGTGAAGTACGTACAAGGCAAAACAAAGAAAACGCGACATTCCCTCATGTTCTGGGGCGGTATCCGGCACGGCAATCGAGGCCCATTGGTAGTCCTCCCAGGGGACCCTGATGCCAAAAAAGGCGGTGTGACGGGCGCAGTTTACCGGGATCATATTGAAGAATACCTGCCGACAATGCTGGACCACGATACTGTCTTTATGCACGATAATGCGCCTGTTCATACAGCAAAGGTGGTGAAGGAATGGCTCGACAGTTCAGGTATCCCAGTGCTGGATTGGCCGCCATACAGCCCAGATCTCAACCTTATTGAAAATCTGTGGTGGTGCCTCAAAGACCGCATTTATAAGGCAGACCCTCAAATGGCATATATGACGAAGTGCAAGGCTTCATTAGACCACCTCGAAGCAGTTGCAATGGATGTATGGGAGCAAATCGAAGTCGAACTCGTCAACCGCGTGATCGACAGTATGCCTAAAAGGCTAACTGCGGTGATAGCCTCAAATGGCTGGTACACCAAATATTGATTATGTCAGCATGTAGAGCAGTCTCGCCGCTTCATAAAACTTCAAAAACGACCATTACAGCTGTCGGAATGACTTCAGTATCTGTAAGTGAAGTTTGGCGGTGATGGTGGTGGCGGTGGGCCATTTGGCCAATTTGCTTTTTTTTTGCGACCCGCCTGTAAGAAGCAGCGCGCAAAGCGCGTTCCTGCAACCACTTTATGGGCGGCCGGGCCCTCCCTCCCTGCCTGTCCCAATGCTGCGTGGCCCCACCTGGCCGCTGGCACGAAACCTTGGAGGCCCGCTGCAAGCACGTCCCGATTTAGTAACGGCCAACACCAACATGTCGTGCGTGCACGTGACCTACACGATGACGGGAGCAACCTGGTGGCGCGGACAATTAACAGAACCTGGAAGTACGGAGGTCAGCGTTGCACTTCTCTGTCAATTGCCTCACCACGCCACTCGTCAGGCTGAATTGAGCAACCCCGGACAGGATGAGATCCTCGTCCGAACCACTCCTGCCCCTGCTCCAAAGCAGGTCATCCAATTCCCGAGCCTGCGTAGAAAAGTGGAGCTTGGTGCACGAAAGACTTTGCCGCCGGGCCTCTTTCAGAGTGGGGCTCCAAGTCGACAAGCACCCATCTGGCGAGCATCCTCAATCTCGCACGTTCCCTGCAGCTGGAGGGAAATTTGAGACCGTTGGTAGGGGATTCGCCTCAACAGCAACAAGAACGACCTGAAAGAACAATGTCTCAGATGATGACGAGCGCTATCAGACGATCAAAGTTGCTGCGTCGTGGAGTCAGTGTACCACCAGCCATGCCCGCTAGAACACCGAAAGCTTCTGCGCAACCACGTTGAAGTCAACGAAGCAAGACAAAGACATAATCGCTCCTCCCCGATCGTCACGGTTCAACGCCTCACGCCCAAGTCATAAAACATCTGGGGGTTTCGCCCACCTATGCGTCGAAACGCGGCTCCGCGCCTTCATCTCTGAAGTCACCACCAATTGCTGACGGCGATGACGATACCATCACGACCTCTGAAGAGGTGAGGCAAGAATGGGGTGTCTCTACTCGCAGCCATAATCGTCCTCCAGCCTTCTCTGCACGAGGCAAATGAACGGTGATCGGACCTATTATACGTGCCGTGGAACGAGAAGGAGGGAGTGATACAGCATGACGACGTATGAACAACGATGCCTTGAGACTGCCTACTTCGCTGACTACTGTGGGTCGCTGGAACAGGGCACGAGTAGCATACCCCGAGTTGTGCACAGATCCACGCGCCCACTATCAAACCGCGTGGCACCTCAACCTTTGGGACTAGTGGGAGGCTACAGCCAATCGGTTCAGCTCAGTCAAACTCGGCACCGGGCGCCATATGCATGCGCCATATCTTGGCGGATGGTTACTCAAGATAGGTTGCGGCGCTGATCGCCCAGCTCAATCCCCACATCAACCCCGGCATGACCTGCACTACTATGGAAGCCAAACAATTGCACCCACCACCAATTTGTATCCCTGCTCGATAAGCGGCTAGGGAAATGACGCGACCAGCGAAGAGCATAGGAAGGAGACGAGCCTGGCAGGGCCCATAAACGTGCACAGTATTCAGCCATGTCAAAGTAAGAGTACGATTTGCGCGAACGAAGTCACTGCCACGTCCAATGCACACGCCTGCACGTTTGTGCGTTGTGCAACAATCCAGTGTGCAGGTTGCCTTGCACTCTTTGGCCGCTGCGCCTCCGCGTCTACCAGCGGAGGCATCGGGGAGGGCCCATTATTTCCCTGCCAAGTGTCCGCGAGGCATGCAGTCGTCCGTCTCCTCGGCCTCACCGGCGTATTTGCGATGGCGAAAGATAACGTCCAATGTGTACATTTTACTGCCCTGCGGTAGCCAATATGCGGCTGCCACATCATGCCGAATTGTTCCTCTATGGCGCCGTGGCGTACCCCCTGACAAGCAGCGCTGCGTCATGTCGAAACGAGCCAGGCTGAAGCCGGAACCGCTAGCCCGTTTGAGGTTGTCCACTGATTTCCTACTATGGTAGCACAGCATTTGGATGTTGTGAGGACCAGCAGGGCCACATGCCCGGTTGTTATGCTAGACGCACTCGGCATAATAAGTCGCAAGTATAGTCAGTGTGTTCACCGCCATCCATCTCGGCAACTAACACCCATAGTCCGACTACATAGCTCGACGATATCAAACATTTGACCGTGAACCAGTCAATGCCTAGAAGAAATGCAGAAAAACCAAATTCTATCTCCTCTTTGCGATTGCCAGCTAGTCTCCAAGACGAACAGGGCGCTATCAATGTCGACTCAGCCCAGACAGCCATCGGTCACGCAACAACAATGCCAAACGCACGGGGTGCGAGAAGCAGAATTGTAGTCAAACAGCACAAGGCTGTACATATGATACATCGCGCGTGCCTCGAGGAATCGAAGGTCCCTCTGAGTCCAACACTAATCATGAAAACGACCTTGGTACACGCATCCTCCAGCAGTCTCCCTGGGTCGCGACGGCCGCACGATGCACCACAGACGTCATGATTGTGGCTCATGTTTTGAACCCACTGGCTGGCCGCACGGCGGCATCGCGGAATGCGCAAGGAATCCTCTATGCTTGTCCGCGAGGTCAGCTAGTCTGGAGGGCAAACGCCGTCTACTGGCTGCAGAGCCTCAGGGTGAGAAAAAGGCAATTCTTCCACGACTTGGAAAATGTCAGAAAGTGTCACACCCCCTTGCAGTCCTGTTTCCTTGCCAGGTATGATTGTATCGCATCACAAGTCTCCTGACTGGACTGTTTTAGTCATTGGACACTCCACGAAAGGCATCCTGTTATGACGCTATTACCCCTTCCACAATCCCGAATCCAGGCTTGAGCCGTCCTGGGCTGTCATATCTTCGCATTGCCTTGAGTCCCAGGGGCCCATAGCAGGAGAAGGCAGATGTGGCATGGGATTCATCGACTAGACTTGAGCGAAAGAGGTATGTTATTGATTGAACACATGCCCACAATGTAGAATCAATTTTCAGGCCCAACTGACGGCTCCAGCTGCTTGAGTCCCACTTCTCGCCCCTTTTGGAGTCTTTCGATGCGTAACTGGGCGACGTCTGAGACGGAGACCAACAAGGAGAGCTGCCTAGTAATACAGACCAGCCAACCACTCGCTTTTTGAACAATGGCCTATGACTTCACATGCCGTTCCGACCATTGATCAGCAGACCAGCGAACTGACAATAAACTGGCTTCTGGGAGTTCAGATCTCAAATATGCGATTGGGTTCGCGCGCATAGCGAAGGCCATGCGTTTAGGGTGTGCAGCGGTTAATGCTATCCTGCGGTGTACCACTTGCCAGCGTGTTCTGCTTTCTTTCCTGTCCCTAGTGACCTTCCAGGATGAAACCTCCAGCTCAAGGTCACTCAACTCTTCTACCAGCTCGCTGAAACTGTCGAACAATGGAGCATTGACCGCTCTTCCTCATCGACGGCCCGCTCACTCATACTTTTGGCGAGACTATCATCGAAATGGCCACTGACATGATCACCCACTTCGCCGAGTTGCATATCAGCGAGAGTCAGGTCTTTGTACAACGTGACGAGCTCGTCGGAAAGCTCCAAGTTCTGTGCTCCAGATCACTTCTCCGAACACCGGCAGGCTCATCAATCGTGTCGACACGGACGTCCACTTCGAGCCGTTTGAACCCGCTCCTTCCAATCAGTCAATCTTGGGAAACAAAATGCAGCACTGTGCGCCAATTTCCCGTTCAGACCGTAGCCGCCCTGCATCCTCCCATCGAGGCGGGCTGCTGGCGCCCTGGAATCTGCGCGTTAGCCAACGGCGACGACGAACAGGCGCGAGCACGACCTGCATGCTTGCCAGCTTGACAAGCTCTTGTGCTAGCTCTCAAGCAAGACGTTCAAGTAGGCGATCGCCTCTTCCCTTCGCCAAGCTTGCGCAATCCTTGGCTATCTTGGACGAATCAGAGAGTGGCAAGAGTGGTTGGCGGGATGGTGCGGATTGGCGTGGCCTGCCCCTGCAGACTACCAGGGTCTGCCGCATCGTGGCAAGCACTTGACCTCCTGCTGCCGGATGCTGCTCCCGGCAGGCTACGCTCCCACCAGCAATAGTAGCGGACCCTCAGGGCAAAGGTTCATATTGCTTTACATATTGCTGCACGTCGTGTCGCGTGCCCGCAATGACGGGGATCTCAGTTGAAAAATGCTGGGGCGCAACACAAGTGGGTGGGCCGGGATGCCTGCCCAGCTGAGCAAGATCGTGAAGCAACCCATCAGTGTAGGTCATATCGGCCGGAGGTTCATGCGCCTGGTGTTCTTCCTCACCCAGCACTTACCTGGCAGAACGTCTTTCGGGAAGCTGAGGTCAAGGACATGACGGTTGAAAAAACAAGCCTGTGAGGGCAAAGATCGAATGATGCCATGCTTATCAATTTCCTGTAGTGCCTAGGGTGTACAGCAAAATGCAATCGTGCTGTTCCATTGGCACTACTACAGGAAGAGGATCCCTTTTGTTGCTTATGGGTGCGAGAAGGCTTTGTTGTTCTGAACGGACCTATCGGATGATACCGCGGGGGTTGCCGCCTTGGCCAACTGGCCGGCGATTTCGACCCTCGAATTGGCTATCATACAGTTCCTATGTCGAAGTGATCAGGGCTGATGTGCATTGACCTGCAGCAGCAGGCCAGCGCACTACAACAAGGTCAATAGACGAGAACCTCTAAAGGCACGACAGGGTTCGGGGTTAAGGCGCACGACAAAGTCCCACTTTGTACTGCAGTACTTCCAGCATCTGCTAAAGCCTCACCAATCCATCGTAATATAATCAAATTAAATACTACAAAACCTCTTCCTAATAATACCCTAATCCTAACTAACCAAACCCGAATTCTAACTAACCGAAGAGACTAAGGGTTCTCAATGTAGAGGACTTAAAACATTTTGCTTAAAGTACCGAGGTACTTTGCTCCACTTTTACATTATCCAATTAGACTTGAGAACCCCTTTGTCGTGCGCCTTACCCCCCCGAACTCTGTCGTATCTTTAAAGGTTCTCCAATAGACTGCCTCACAGACCGAAGTACGGAGGTGCGTCTCAAAAGTCCTGGTCCACAGGGGTCCCCTGCTGTATTAGCGTGCCAGCCGTGTCAGCTGGCATCTGTTTTTGCTGTAGAGTCCAACTCAAATAAGATAACCAGTGAATGCCCCTGTACGACGCGTCAGCTCGTTGTTTCGACGCGATTTGAGGCTTCAAAAAGCAGCAGTAATTGACATTCTGGAGCAATAATGGAGGAGACGGATAGCAGAGGTACGTCGAGATCACTTGACCTCCATGGACAGGTGGCAGAAAGTATGGCAGGCCGGAAGTATCACGATCTGGCGATCCGCGCGGTCTGCGTTTACCTCAAAGCCGACGGCAAGAGCTCTTCTGCGACTTCTGCGATCACTGGCATCCCGACGAAAACCGTGACAAACCTTTACCGCCGTGCCTGCGACCGCGGCTTCGATCTAACGGCGAGGCCGCTGGTGATGAAGGATGAGTTCGTCGCCGATGCACCGAAGGCTGGGAGGCCCAAAAAGCAGACTTCCGAACTTACCTAGCGTATTGTCGATAAAGTACGACTTGACCGTTACGGCCGAGAGAAGACAGTACGATTTATATCTGACGAACTCCGAGCAGAGGCTTCAACGTAAGCCCGCAGACGGTTCTGCGGATTCTGCACAAGTCGAATTTTCGAAAAACGAAGCCGACGAGGAAGCCGGGGCTGTCGCCGGCGATGCGGAAGGCGCGGCTTGAGTTCTGCCAGCAGCACGCAGATTGGACTCTTGACGACTGGAAGAATGTGATATTCAGCGACGAAACGGCGGTAGTTCTAGGTCATCGACGAGGAGGCTATCGTATATGGAGGCAACCGTCAGAAAGAATGACTCGTTCATGTATCAGGGAACGCTGGAAGGGCTACTTAGAGTTTATGTTCTGGGGGTGTTTTTCTTACGACAAGAAGGGGCCCTGCCACGTCTGGCAGGCAGAAACGAAGGCTCAGAAGAAGGCCGCCGAGGCGGAGATCGCGGCCTGGAATCAGCAGCTTGAGCCTCTCCTGAAGCAGGAGTGGGAGTTGACGACTGGGATGCGACGTTTAGGTGTTCGGAATCGTGCTGGGAAGAAGCCAGAGTGGCAGTTCACTGTCAAGAATGGTAAGCTGTCACGTCGCCAGGGTTCTGGGATCGACTGGTGGCGATACAACAAGGAGATCATGCTGCCGAAGTTGATCCCATTTGCGAAGGAATGCATGGCCGATAGGCCTGGTACTTTAGTTCAAGAGGACGGCGCTCCAGCACATCGTCATCACGCGCAGGGAAGGACTTACAGTCTTCAAGGGATTGCGCAGTTGATGTGGCCAGGTAACTCGCCGGATCTCAATCCTATAGAGCCCTGTTGGTTTCATATGAAGCACCAGACGACGAAGTCGGGCGCGCCGACGTTAAAGAGTGAAGCAACGAGGGCCTGGAATCAATGCTGGAAGGACTTACCGCAGGCTAAAATACAGGCTTGGATTGAACGGATCCCGTTCCATATTCAAGAGGTAATAAGGCTTGAAGGCGGGAACGAGTACCGCGAAGGACGACGGATTCGACCTGAGGGTAATGGTGATTTTTGGGATGTGGTTTTGCAGCGGCAACGGCAACGACAGCGACCTTCACCCACGCCGCAGCCTGATTCTGATGGCTGGGAAAACGTTAGTGACGATAGCTTCACTTCTGATAGTGCCCTCGCCGGCGACGAGATGCTGTACCTACTAACAGGGCGCCGTTGAGGTCGTTTAGAAGGTACTGGTACTAGTGGTTGAGAGCAATGTGAGGTGGGGGTGAGCTGCCAGCTGGCGACGACGACCTGCAGGGCCCCCTGTACTAGTGCCTGGACCAAGACTTTTGGAACGCACATCCGTACTGTACTCCAGTGCAAGTCGCTAACTGTGTGAACGCACAGTGGCCCCCGTTGTTCCCCTCTTTGCCCTCACGCTGCTGTGGGCCTGACAGGGGGGCTGGCAGCCACCCCTGGCCCTGGTCGTTCTGCCGGCTCCACGCTAGCACGCGGAGACAAGGCGGGTGGGCGACCGGCTGGAACTGTGGCTCTCAAGGCCACAGCTGAGGGTCTGGTTTTTCTTGTGTGCCAGGAGCAGTGGAAGAGAACCCAGATCCTGAGCCGGTGTGTTTGTGAGTGCTATACGGCAGATGTGCAGAGTTATTCCATCATACCCGTGACATTGTGGAGGTGCATGTTCTATTAGGATGCACATGGCTTGCCGAACAGAGAATCTGGTTCCCCTCGATGCAGCTCTGTATCGGCAATAAGTTGTGAAGCAGGATTTCTTGGCGTGGCTGGCACCTACTTCAAGCTAGACTGAGATGCCCCCCTCCAGTTGCTTTGGAATCATTCAGCTCTGCCTAGTCTACGGAGGTGCGTCCCAAAAGAACTGCGCCGCCAAGAAATGTGGCACTACCCCTGTCCATCGCTGAACAGCTGTACACAGCCGACTAATACACACACACACAATTTATTTACGCCCGGCGGCTAACCCGATAGGGCAACTATAACTAGTCTACCAATACCAATTCTGCAAGTGGATGCCTAACTCCTTAAGCCCTTACCTAAGCTGTTTGTAGCTTCTGTCTACTCTTTTCTGGCTTCTCTTGACGGATTCTCGTGGGTTAGTGGTGTTGGTTGGCTAGCTTGAAGGCTCTTCTCCAAGTGTTCAGCATTGTTACGGGCTCGGGCTCTGGCCCGAGCCTGGGTGGGTCAAAAAGGGGGAGACAGGGGGGGGGGTAACAAAACCGTAACGCGCTCACGGAGAGTGCGAACTACCTGCTTTTATTTCCCAAGCTCGTAGTAAATCTAATACGCCTAGTATCTGTTCAGACCTAGGGCCAGTACTTAACATACTACGAGCTTCCTCTTCCTCGGATATGGCAGAGGTCGATGAGCTAAGAGCACGGCTCGACGCTATGCAGATCGAGATGCGCGACCTCCGCGCCACGTACGAAGCAACCCTCCCTAACGGCTCCCCACCCAATCACCAATCAGGCATCGATACGTTCGAAGACCGACTCAGCCGAATGCGCGTCGAAATCGAACAACTGCGGGCAGCGCAGACACCGCTCCCTTCAAGGGCACCCGGCGACGCAAATACGGACGGTGCAGGGCATTCCCCGCCCTCGATAAGCCCGGCACGCGGATATCCCGCCAACTCGACTCGCCCATACCCTAATCCGACACCGCCGCTCACCCTACGGAAACCGCTCCCGAAAGGAGAGCCTTATAATGGCGATAAGCAAACCTTCGCGGCCTGGAAGATTACTATCCGACATAAGCTTACAGCCGACCAGCACTTCATCGGGTCCGCAGAGGACCAATGGGTGTACCTATGGCAGAATCTCTCCCCTAAGGTCCAGGCGCAAGTCGCGGCCTACTACGAAGCAGCAGGGGAGGGGACAGGCTATAACACGGACGCATTCCTATCGTATCTCGAGACCGTCTTCGGGAACCCCCACCGACAGCAGGTTGCTGAAGCGGAACTCGACAACCTTCGGCAAGGAAAGAATGAGTCCTTCGCAACATTCTTCGTGCGCTTCGAACAAAAAATGGCCCTAGCGGGGGGGCACGAATGGTCGGCCGGAATACGCCTATCCCGTCTCCGAAGAGCCCTCTCCTCGGAGATCCGCGAAAAGAGCGTAGGAGCCGGGGTTTCCAGGGATAACTACGAATTGGCGGTCAACCAATACCGATCGATCGCGACGGATATCGAAACGTATCGAATGGAAGAACGGTTTCGCAATCACCCAAGCCATACGCTAACCCCGAGGCGGACTCGCTTCGTAGACAACGAGGGTGACACTCGGATGACAGGAGTTAACGCGTTAACTCAATACGGCACCAACAAGAAAAGCCAGGGCCGCTCCCAACCACGGAGCGGAAACGGGCAGCTCAAACGGAGGGCTAACTGGGTCTCGAAGGAGATCCTCGACGAAAGAAGGAAGCAAGGGGCTTGCCTACGTTGCGGAGCCAAAGGACACTTCGCTCAGGACTGCAACCTCGCCCCCGCGATACGCCCCTCGACGGCAGTACGGACGCTGACCGTGGATGAGGGATACTCCGACCCGGAGTCGGACCGCGAAGACCCAAAAAACGAGGAGACCTTGGCCTAAGTCTCCGGCCAAGGCGACCAGGGTCACACCCGCAATCAGTCGAAGTACAGGGTCCCCAAGGGGCGGAGGAATTTCGGAAAATAGAAGCGCAAATGAACGAACTACCATTCCTAGTGCCGATATTAGTCCATTCCCTGAAAACCTTCGACGTGCAAATCGACAGCGGCTGTGACTGTTACGGAGCAATCAGCGAGGAGGCGGCACGAGGCCTCGGTCTGAAAAGAATCAGGCTCCACTCGCCGCGGGAGTTGAAGGTAGCACGGAACCTTCCCCGCGCCCCGGCAATCAAAACGTTCGTCCGCACGTACCTCGACGTGGATGGATGGACATGCCCAGCCGCCCTCTACGTTATCCCGGGGCTCTCCCGAGACCTGATCTTAGGCCTTCCGTGGATTAAACGCTGGGGAGTACGGATGGATGCCCAGAGGAGAACATTGAATATCGGCGCGGCTTGGGACCTCGAAGTAAGGACCTCCGAACAGAGGGGTGGACGCTCGCGCCTGACTAGAATTTCGGGCTCGGTAATGAGACGCCTCCTACGGAAAGGGGGCCAAGAGGGAACGAACGTAATGGCGGTCAGTATCCACGATATTAATACGGCGATCCGGGCGAGGAACCCGGTCGAGCCCGAGGAGAAACCGCTTCCCCCGGAACTCAGAGACTTCACGCAGTTGTTCAACAAGGATACCGCAATGCAGCTACCCCCTCATCGTGGCTCTATGGACCATCATATCCGCCTCAAGAAGGATGAGGAGGGAAAGGATCACGAGTTACCGGTGGGGCCGCTCTATAATATGCCAAGGGACCATCTCTTAGAGCTCCGACGACAGATTACCGACTTACAGGATAAGGGCTGGATCCGGGCAAGTTCCTCTGCGACCGCGGCCCCAGTTCTTCTTGTAAAGAAACCCGGGGGGGCTGGCGGTTTTGCGTAGATTACCGCGCCCTCAATAAGATTACAGTCCAGGACCGATACCCGCTTCCCCTTATCAAGGAAACGCTACGGAACCTCTCCGGCGCGAAATGGCTAACAAAGCTGGACGTCCGGGCTGCATTCCATCGAGTCCGCGTCGCGGCTGGCCAAGAGCACCTAACAGCCTTCCGTACAAGGTTCGGATTATTTGAGTGGCTCGTTACACCATTCGGCCTAGCCGGAGCACCGGCTACCTTCCAGAGGTATATTAATCGGGCTATCGGTAACGACTTGATGGACTCGGCTACAGCCTACCTAGACGATATACTGATCTACACCTCCGGGGGCCGCGAAGAACATATGGACCGGGTCCGCAAGGTTCTAGGACGGTTATTAGACGCCGGACTGTTCCTGGATCGGGCGAAATGCGAATTCGCGGTGCAGGAAGTAAAGTACCTCGGCTTCATCGTCAAGGCTGGAAAGGAAGTCCGACCCGACCCTGAGAAGATTAGGGCCATCTCCGAATGGGAAACCCCCCGTAATGTCCGCGCGGTACGGAGCTTCCTAGGGTTTGCCAACTTCTACCGGGACTTCGTAAGCCACTACTCCGACATGGTTACACCTCTCACCCAGCTCACGCGCAAGGACGTCCCATTCCGCTGGGGGCCCGACCAGGAGAAGGCTTTCCAAGATATGAAGAGTGTATTTATCTCGTACCCGGTCCTCACGCAGTG